AACAGTTATGCCACTTCATTTTTTATGAATTTTAAGTGCATTCATTCTGTAGTATATGATGTCCTTATTTTCAGTGCATACTCACCTTAAATCAGTCCCTTGACCCTCCCATATATCAAAACAAATTATTAAAAACAATTGATTCTCGTTTTAAGGACATGTCATATAAACATGTTTTTTATAGTGGTAATAACTGTTTATTGATCTTGCTGACCTCTTAATATGGGATAATTGATGAATCTGCATCAAGGTAATCAATACAAAATATATCTTGAATAAATGTAGTTTTACCCTTTTTGTTTGGAGGTCGATTTTTAGTGGTCGATGTTTGGCTTGGTGGTCAGAGGTTGGCTTCTGTAACAAATCACAGACATTATTGTCATATGTGGCAAAGAGTCATAACTAATTTGTGGTGAAATCATACATAAAATGATAAAGTAGTTATAATTGTGACAAACAGCAGGTGAATTTTGTACCATGCTTAATTTTGCTACTTCAATGTTCATTCCTCACTTTGCCGCTTGGCCTGGTCACAAAAATTATCTAACTTGAGACGATGTAGTGGGAGTTGGTGCAATAGATTGACTGAATGTCATTATGATAAATGATAACATCTCATTTCTCCTCAGTCATGTTTCTGGTAAAATAGAAATATGTCATGAGTATCAATATGACTGAATGTAACAAATGCACCACCTGATAGCTTATACCCTTTGCATTCGTTTGACTTCGCTTCTAGAAGAGTGCTTTGTCTTCACTCTTTCAGTTTACAATAAATCTCTGAACTCACTGAGCCATTCAGAGCTTGTCGTCGAAATACGGACTACTTTCTATATATTTATATATATGTATATATATTTCCTCTGACGTTATTGTATAGTTAATGAGCACGCATTTAGCATGTGTTCCTTTCAGCTCACTGATTGGTTGAGAAAAATCAGTGCGATAGAATTGAAATGATCTAGGTCCTGGACTGTCACAGATATAGGTTGTAGGGGCGGGGCTGCTAAACTGTAATATAGTCAATACTAGGCAGAGGGTAGTTTATAACTAGACTCTGCATGCAGGGTAGCTTAAACCATGTTATACATGCAAGTTGTTTGTTAATCTAATAATATCTTATCTAATTAAGATTTTAGGTCCTTTTGTATAAATTGTCTTGTGTTAAACTATACTTCTTAAAAGAGAGCTTCATCTTCACTCTCTCAGTTTCAAATAAATCTACACCGAGCCAATCTATACGAGGCGGAGGGTAGTTTATAACTAGATTGCACACAGGGTAGTGCTTAACTATAGTGACGTCTCAGCTGTGAGAAAGCAGAATGATAAGATCATTGTAAAGTGGTTCATTCAGCTTTACCATATAACAAATGTAAGACTCTTCCCATCATTGATTTATTGCATTCACCAGAGCAGAATCAATACGCTGTATAGCAAGAACAGGCACTTGCTTATAACTCAAATAATAAGGAACAAAGACACTTAAACCCATCTTGATAATGTTTTAGATTTTTGGGAGTGAGTTTGTTCTTATTGATGGTAAAGAAATGAACTATAGTGCTATCTAGATTCTTCTTAATAGGGAGATGATAAAAACACATTCTGGGATCAATTTTCGGCTTTATGCATAACATTTACAACACACAACTTGTTAGAAAAACTGTGACTATTTAACTGTGTCATCGCATGGCCTCAACTCTACCAAGATCAAATTATCACACCTTTCTGTATTCAACAAACAATAGAAAGGTGTGATTTCTAACTGCAGCTTCATTCTTTGTCTAAGGGCAATGTGCTAATAACATATCATTTCTTCTTCTTAGCTTGAGATGATTTTTGTAGTTGAAAAATTGAAAGATGTGATGAGAATCTTAATGGATGTTAAAGGATGATTACTCATGAATAAATTGTAGTTTTGCTTTCTTTATCACAGAGATTAACTGCATGTAGGTCTATAAAAGGGGATCCCATATACATGTATGTGACCCATCCATCTGGATATGTAGCATGTGTTGCAGTAAATGATGCAGATGTAAAAACATGGGATATTTCATATAAGATGAAAATCAGTATAAAATGCAAAAATACCTGATACGTTAACATTTGCCACAAAAGCAAAGCATTGTCCTATCATCTAATTTGCTTCTGACAGGAACAGTATAAATCATCATAATTATATTGGTTGATTGCTCAGTTGGCCCTGATAGCTGGTTGGTTGCTTGATTGATTGATTGGTTGATTGGATGGTTGATTGATTGGTTGGTTGCATTCTGATACTCATAGCATCTTTCTGTTTCACCTGAAACATGCTCTGATATTATGAGGCATATTCTGAGGGCTGAGAAGAAATGAGATGTCATGGTGAATCATGATGGGTTGGTTGGATGGTTGATTAATTGGTTGGTTGATTGATTGTTTGGTTGTGATGAGGTCATGTGATGCCATAATTAAGTAGCCCTATCATAGATGACACCACTAGTCTCAGTATTAGTGTTATGTTTGAATCCCTAAAGTATAAACGTGTTGGACTGTGTTGTTTTGTGAAATTGCCCTATTAATTTTCTCGATAGACTTCCCTCTGTTTATGACATCGATATAGATGTTCTTGTGTGAGTGCCTCTTATGACACAAAAAAGAAATTCTCTCAATCATGCACTAGTAGATGTATTTATATGATGTGCATCCAGGGAATACCGTAAAACATTGCCTCAGTTCGGAATTATGTAAGAGCTTTCAATTATATAGTAGGATCAAGCCAGTGTAAAAGGAATCTGTATTTGACAAACCTGTTATCTATCATCTTACAGAAAACTCTAAGGTCACAGTTTAATAGAAATGTTAAGTTTAATTTCACCATCATAGGAAGTACATATTGTAATAGTCTCCAACTTTTTTGGGATGGTGTTTGGCGGTTGGTGTTTTTGGCATTTGGTGGTTGGTGTTTTTGGCATTTGGTGGTTGGTCTTTGGCATTCTGCATCTGTAATGAATGGCAGGTGGTGACATTTTGCATGTTAATGCCTTGTTTTAATTGTTTTAAGGTTATGATTGAAGAAATGAAATAAACCATGACTGAACATATTGTAAATGGTTTACGGTTTACAAAGGAAAATATCAGTGAATATATACAGAATATTATTTTCACATCAGTAATGAATGCAGTATAGATAACAAGTGCTAATGACTTCATTATAATGTATGTACTTTATTATATGGGTAATATTATATATATCAAATTTACCATGCCATGTGTTTAAGTATTTTTAGATTGTCATACCTAGACAATTTATTTGATCTTGCTCGGTTTAATTTCCTTAATATGCAGTGAGTGACATACTAATATGTGATAAAGTGCAAGTGGAATGCCATCCTCTCATCCATGTTATAATATTGGAGGTTGAGCATGTCATTACACGGAACAAGTTGTCTTTTGATATCAGGCAAAAAGTAATATCTTCTGAATAAATCTCTGGCTACTCAGGCATTATGTCTATATTGAAAATACTTTGATCTTTCTATGTTTGCATTCGTTTGACTTCGCTTCTTATAGAGAGCTTCGTAGTTAATAACTAGACTCTGTGTGCAGGGTATGATCTTTCACATTCTGAATGATTCTACTTTTTTAAATGATGTATAGTTAGTTCTGAGCTATGCCCATATATATGTCATTTGTCTTGTTTTTCGGTTACTGTTGGTTTTCATATGTCATGTATGGGTGATAGACATTTTATTTACAGGCAGTGCTTCTGTATGCAGAAGCTTAAAATGTTAATTAATCATAAATCATCCCTTCATTGATAGACATTTGGTGATGTAATGCAATAGAATAATTTAACTCCTTGACTAAGTTTATCTCTCCTTTTTTGAGTCTGATTCATCATTATGACATCATAAAGAAAATTGACTGTCAGGCAGTTAACCAGTAATACCAGTCATTAGGTATTTATTAAGAGTAAGGTACTAACAATTATATTGTTCTTCTTGAAAATTATTCTTTGATATTAAACATATAAAGTAAAGGAAGTCTTGTACATTATCAGACAGCCCGTCAGTGTTTGTTATAATTGTATTTATAATGTGATGGAAAATAATTATCAAACAATTATTTTCCAGAGTTGGAAGCAAAGATGAAGACATATTTAGTCAATTTCTGTAGATGGGGCTATTGCTATATATTTACATAAATAAGTTCATTCAGTAGGGTTCTAATCATCGTGGTAACGAAGCCACACCCTCTCCATCTCGTCATCTCTATCCTTCTGGATGCAACAGAGAGATGGTATGAGTATCAGAATGGGTTCTAATAAGCTTCTGTATGGTTTGGTTACATGCAAGTCAGTCACCTTAGTGACCAAGAAACGTTATGCTAAAGAAATGTGCTCATTAAGGAGAGAGGTATTCGTGTCAAAGATTGTTCATACATGTCTTCATTACACATATTCGTATTCACTGAATAGAACACTGAACCTTGAACAGGAAGATGCTCTTATTAGAATCTCATTTTTAGGCGAAGGAGTTTATTTCTTACTGCCCTTGGTGACTACTGGCAATCATTAACGTATAATGAATCAACTGAGCTGGTTGAATTATTTATTGTCTCTTCCTAAGCTGTGGGAGTTTCTCCCTGGGGTTTCTCCATGATGAAGCAGATACAATTTTAGCATTTCTGTGCCAGTCAGTGGTTTTATAAGCATTTTTGTTTGAACTTAATATCTGTTATTGAAAAACAGAAAATCTGGTTTTAACATTATACTGCATCTTTATGTAAAGTCCGCTTTGATTTTTCAATGCCTGCTTTTGGCAAATTGAAGGCAATTATTTGTAAAGCCCCCATGTAGCGTATATGTGTATAATGCTTTAAATAGAAATACACTTATACCTCAAGTCAATACTATTGATATTAAATGGTGATTTTTTGGCAGTTTTTACTATTGTTATATCAAAGGAACATTAAATATGTCGTTTGCTGAAATGGCTCAACATATTCGCTCTATTTTTCAGATGGCTTCCGCTAACGACAGTAAATGGCAGAAGGATGCTGCAGACCAGAACTTTGACTATATGTTCAAACTACTCATCATAGGAAATTCTAGCGTTGGAAAAACATCATTTTTATTTCGATATGCGGATGACTCTTTTACATCAGCATTTGTAAGCACTGTTGGTATTGACTTCAAAGTAAAAACAGTATTCCGACAGGATAAACGAGTAAAATTACAAATATGGGTAAGTACCGTAATTTTTAAATTTATATAAGCACTTTTTATCTTGTTCTGTTAATTTGAATTCTGTATAAATTTACAGTACTACACTTCATGTAATGTACATGTAGATTACAAATAAGAGAAAATTGATTTCATCATGGATGGATATATACATTATTTGAGCATTTCTGAATTGCAGTATCTGTAACCCATGCTATATTTTGCCAGATCAATTTATGAACCTTTTATTCGAAACTTGGCCAACAGATTTAAACCCTATGTAGTGAGTTGCTTCATACCAACTAGCAGGTCAAGCAAAAATTGAACCAGGACTATTGTGGTTCTGTAAGATTATATAAGATCCGGGCCTAGCCATTGCTAGCTTTTGTTAACTATCACAAAATATGTTACCTTGATTTCAATGTGGGAGTTACATTAAGTTTAATCAGATATTAGTTTTCTGTAAACAAGAGATGTGATATCAGAATGTCAAGACTATGTTTTTCATGTAATATGAGTACTCACAATTCACAAGTTATTATAAAAACTTAGAAAATAGTGATAATTGACCAGATATTATTTCTTTGTTTTGACAAGCTCAAACAAAAACATCTGGTGATTGCACATTTATTGGAAAACCTGAAGGTCTTTATTTTTATAGTTAAGAAATGTTGTAGTGATTTTTCTTTATGAATTTGGGTTTTATATTTCAGAGATTGACCAACATGTTTTCTTGAGTGCATTCAGAGTTACATGGTCCAATTTCTAGCATAATGTTTGGCTTAGCACTGGCTGTATTTCCCAATAATCATTGATTCTAAACGTCCTCCAATACGCCTTATTAGGCTCAGATCAATAGACCTTTATGATAAATCTGAGAATTGTATACCTCCTCAAAGATTCTGTCAGTCTCAAGATAAATAGTTAGTCTCAAGATATATACATATTAAGGACAAATCATTTGTATGCATGATATATAGCTTGATAATAAAAATAGATACAACTGTGTTTCCCTTTAGAAGGGAATATATTCATTTCTAATGATATGCTTGCTTGCGAGGAAATCAAGAGTGATTTGAATGGTTATAATGAAAACACGCGCTACGCGCTAACGCGCTAGCGCACTAACGCACTGTTCAGAATGATCGTTCCCACAGGCCCGGGAACATGTATAAAAATCGAGTGAGTGACGAGATTAGGTGGCTCATCAGAAAGCAGAAGTATGAAAAAGCCCAATGTTTGATCGTTAACTGTGCAAAGATTATCGATTGTCAGTGTGTTTTATCTGATTTAAAAGGAAGATAGAAAGTAGCACCTTACAAGATGAATGGTCGCAGATATGCGAATATGCTCCCTATTTCATTGCATTATTTGGGTCCATCCATCGGCGAGAAAAATCCCGTTTCGAAATCTGAGCCGGGGGCCCGACTACTTGACTAATGACTTAATATAATGTTTATTTGTCGCATGTTACCTCTTAATATCAAGTCATGGATGTTTTATATATCTTTACTCTTTGTATTTGAAGTTATATCTCACATGACTTACCAAACGGTGGGATAATTCAGGCGTCGCATTTATATTTTTCCATTTTTCTTTTCGTGCCCGGTTACTCTCTTTCGCTTTCATGGGGGGGGGGGGTGTATAGGGTTATCGTATAAGAGGAGGGTGAAAATCTATTGTGTATGGCCGCATAAGAGGGGGCAACATTTATCGTATATGGCATCGTATAAGTTATATAAACATATGTTTTAAAAGAATTAAAGAAGCCTATTATGAAATTTAAAGGCAGTTTGAACGAATACTGCAGATCCAGCTTATCCCCATAAATTTGGGATTTCAATACACAAGTAGTTGTGGGGGCTTGCCCGTAGCCAGCTTTTTTCCAGGGGAAGCTTTTTCACAATTTTGGCTAATAATCATGAAAGAATCTCTGGCCAGAGGGGGAGCTCCGCTCCCCCAGCTCCCCCTCTGGCTACGGGCCTGGTTGTGGGGGTGATTTGAAAAATCAGCCCCACATTTATGGGGGTAATCCAGATCTCTATATAGTAGTCTCTATATGCCATATGCCAGGACAGTAACCAGGATTTCCCAGGGGGGGTCACTTTTTCAAAAATTCCAAAGTCACCCTCCGAACCCCCCTTGCTTCGGGGCTGTGTACTGCCTATTTGCCGTATGATTATACATTTGGTACTACGTGGATTCTTGCATTATGTTATTTCCTTCTGAATATTATCCAAACTTTTCTCAACGGTAATTTCAAAATTATCGTACGGATATATTATTTACCCGACCTTTTTGTAAAATATAGTACTATAGGGAGTAGGTGCATTCATGCACCCTCTGGGTCTCTGAGGATCGTGTTGGTTCACCGTCTATATAGGGAGATGTGAAAAATATTGCATACACTGTATGTTATACATGTAAAAGGGGTGAAAAATGCTGTAAATGGTATAAGACTGAGGGGCTTGTGAAAAATAGTGTATATGGATTTCCAAGACCCCTATGAACCCCCCTTTCATGTTTGCTTTCGTTTTTCTCAATTTGATTTTAGATTTAAAAAGTTTTGAATTACGTCAGTCCCAGTGAATTGCATTACCTATTTTTATTTTACCAGGAATATTGTTGAAAACAGGATTGTATTTCATTTGGAATTAAAGTTTTAAATAAGAGACGATTTAAAAAGTAATGTAAACCCGACCACCAGCGTGTTTTATCATTGTCCGGTAATTGGCCGTAAATATTTATTAATTCTAAGTTACTCATGTTCTTTCAGGTCAAATAATGAGAAAAGTACACGTTCATTTAGTTTTGGAATTATTTCCTAAATTGAAGTTGAATTCTGTTTTTTAACGGTGTGAAGAACATCTTAATTGGTCTTATATTTTTAGAGAAATCGTAACTTGAAAAGTGTAATTTTCGAGAGGCTTTGTTTATTTCCTGCGGCCGCAAAGTTCACATCAAAGTCTGATTGACAGGTTAGCGGTGATTTATACAGTTTTTGAAGTGTCAATGTTTTGACAAGTTCCCAGGGAGTCATAACCCTAATTATACATGTCCCTGGGCCAAGGGTATAGACCAATCATAAACATGCGCACACATCGTGGGGGAAGGATCATTTTCTATTAGCGCATTGGCGCGTGGCGCGTTAGCGCGTAGCGCGTGTTTTCATTATAACCGATTTGAATCGAGAATAAATTCTGTTTTTCGTTAAAATAGAAAGATGACTCGATTACTGTCTAAAAATTGTCTAATTATGTCAATATTCTGTTGAGGAGAAAGTCAGTTGATATATTCGGGAAATTATAGCTGTCTCATATCTCGAGGTTTGTTTCAGCGACATATCAATTTGTTAATTGACAATTATGTCACACATTTTGTGTTTTATAATTTGGCTTAATAAAGTAATTCACTGCCTGTTTCCTTCTCTGACAGATTTTAATATTATGAAATATAAGATGGGATATTATCCAAGCAAAACAGACAACCATGATAATGTAAATTAAACGCTACTAAAGCTATCTCTGTTAACGTTTGAGGTGTTTGCAGTGATTTATGACTTTATTATTGATTTCTTCGAGAATCTAGAAAAATCACTTTCTCAAAAGGTCAGTGTTCGAATATTTCTTATTTGCTGATATTTTTCGAATGTGTGCTTAGGAGATTAATAAAAACAATGTATCAAATACGTCACTTGGTACTTCAATCTTATATTGAATTGTTTGCATTTCTCAAGTGAATGAGTGTCTGTCTATATGTATTTTACAGTTGATAAGTATTTCTATTGCCAAGTTTTGCCAGTTATTTCACTATCGAGGCTTGCTAATAAGTAGAATTCGTTTTGCGAAATTGTGACGCATTGTAGGATATAGAAATGCCTCATTTCCTTGCTCATTTTTTTCTTATGAGGAGCAAGGTTTTTGTCCATAATTGGATTCCTTTATTTCACTTCCCCTTTCATCATCCTTTATCATTTTGCTCCATCAAGCTTCGGACCTGTCCTCAATAGAACATTGTGATTGTGTGTAGGGGCCAACAATGATCCCTTATACTGTATAATATAGTTTGATTGCTTACCCTTTTTAACAGTTTGGTTTTGCTTCTTAAAAGAGAGCTTCATCTACACTCAGGGCTTGCATTAACGGCGTCCCTTACATGTAAGTGACGCAAAAAAAAATTGTAGGACGGAAAAATAAAAAATATTTCCGTTTTTGGGACGGAAAAAAAATTGAGTCAAAACTTTGAACATTTTTGAAAATCTTGAAAATCTCAATAGTTGATCATGTTTGACTTCTTTGAGGTGTATATTAAGATCAAAATATGTGAGATTTACAACTTTATTTTGAGTAAAAAAGAAAAAGAATGCAGAAAAACGAACTATTGTAATGGGCGATAATAGGTTATCAGTTTGCATGTGACATATTTTTCTCACTGAAAAGCTGATATAAAACCTTCAAAATGAGTTCAATTGTACAAATGATGCATACTTACCTAGGTGAAGTAGTCTATTTGTGATTATATAACGTCAAAATGGTCTAATTTATGATATAAATCAGAGGATTCTGATCATGTAGAAAATGTAGTGATACACTAAATTACTGAGCGTCAGACAAATTCATACTAAAAAATGTTCTTATTTTGTCAAGCAGTTGTTCAGGGCAAACTGCAAACAGCAAGTATAAAGATAATCACAGTATAATAGTACTTACTATAACAGGCTGGAGGTTACATAACATAAGTGAATTGAATATAAAGAACATGTTTAAATCACAGGGCACGAATGGCAACATTTTGAAAACACATAAGACATGTAAGATCCAGTCATGCACATTCCAAAATAGCCCATTATAGCTAATTTAGCTTATATATCGGAGGACACACTTTTTTCAGTCGGGACTCACTTTTTAAATTTTTTTCCTTCATTGGGACTCACATTTTTCAGAGCCTAATGCAAGCGCTGTACACTCTTTGTTTTACAGATGATCCTTTGATGGAGCCTTAACCATCAGAACACTGAGAAAACAGTAGATAAAAACTAGCTACCTAATCAAATAGGATTTTATGTTTTTGTGAATATCTAGCAATCATTCAAAATGAAACTTTCACTAAAGGCCATCTTATATGATCTTATTAGCATCAAACTACTATATTTTTTAGTATATATTTATTTCTCCTTTATTCAGAGCCTTATATACAAGACTAATACTCAGGTTAATGATTTGTGGTTTTAGAGGTGTCCAGATTTTCGAGGTATCCAGATTTTGAGATTTTTTTGTTTCTTGACACTTCTTGTAACCACCAGTTTCCAGTTTTATGTTCTACCAAATGAAACATGTACAAGTCTAATAGTCTTGCATTAACCCCTTATGTATACCCTACCCCCTTTCTCTCTAACAAAGTGATTAGAAATGGATAAAGGGAGGGGAGGGGGGGGGATGGGTAACTCGATATGATATTGAACCCATGGAGGTATGACATTTTAAGGATTGGGGATTGATGGGGGATTGTCATTATGAACACACGTATAAGATTTCTGTCTAAAAAAAGTAAGTTGTTTATAGCCATCTACAGAGACCTTATTAATGCTGTGGTCACATTTGATAGCTTTTCAGTTCCAGCACCCAGCCGATGAGTATTTTTTCAAAATTACAATCAGTTTTAACAAAATACTCATTGGCTGGGCGCCGTTGTTCAAGATCAGAGCAAATGTGACCACAGCATTAGAGATATACTGTTCATCATGAAATACCATGTTCTTCAAAACCAAGCATTCTAACTGATATAGCTGTATTACCCCAATGGTGCATTTAATGCAGCATTCTCCTTATTGATTGAAACTCATGAATTTATATCAGTTATCAAGGGATATTGTGATTCAGTTCATGTTCCGAATTTAATTGAATAATCCAAAGTTTTGTTGCTGAATAAATAAGATAACAATGGCAAATGAAAGAGGTCTAACATTTTCCCATTACCCAACCCCCAGCTTTCAGTCCGATTTCAAGTAGTTAAAGCAGATATGAAATGGTATTTTTAACCTAAAGGAATCAATATAATTTTTTGATAGATGTATTTGGACATGTTTTCTCATCAGTAGTGTGGAAATTATTTTACTCTAACGATCGTTATTAGCTGCTTAATAAGCAATATTCGAATTGGTTGTGACTTTATTGGCCCCCACGTGATCTCTCACTGGTCCCCACATGGCCCGTTTTGGTCCATTAGATCATGGCGTCATAATGCCAAAATGTTTTGTTATTTGTTTACACAACAATCCAATGGTTGCCGTGACGTTGTGATTACTATGGAACCAATAAACCAAAGCTATATTTTGTATATGACGTTACTAATCAAGTGGGGGCCAATTTGATTTATCAGTTAGTTTTATTTCGTTATCTACGACCGTAAGCAGTTATCTAACATTTATTTTATAATGGCTATCGCAAGAACTCTACGTTGGGCTTACAATGGAGAAAACCGCGTTTTTGTAGCTGCAAGTTGAGAAAAGTTATTTCAGTTGTCCTTTAAAGGATAACTGCTAACGGTCATAGATAACGAAATAAAACTAACTGATTAATCAAATTGGCCCCCACGTGATTAGTAACGTCATATACAAAATATAGCTTTGGTTTATTGGTTTCTTAGTAATCACAACGTCACGGCAACCATAGGATTGTTGTGTAAACTAATAACAAAACATTTCGGCATTATGACGTCATGATCCAATGGACCAAAACAGGCCATGTGGGGACCAGTGAGAGATCACGTGGGGGCCAATAAAGTCACAACCAATTCGAATATTGCTTATTAAGCAGCTAATAACGATCGTTAGAGTAAAATAATTTCCACACTACTGATGAGAAAACATGTCCAAATACATCTATCAAAAAATTATATTGACTCCTTTTAGGTTAAAAATACCATTTCATATCTGCTTTAATGATAGAGTCAAGGTGATCTACATTTAGTTTACAGGTGCGTTGTTTATGTGACTGCCTCATATGAATGAAATGGGCCATTACTTTTTTCAATTAGAGTCAATTAGATCATTGTGATAGCCTCGCCCCCTTTGTCTTTATCCTTCCAAAGTGAACGGCAGATATGAGGGGCTCTGGCATACCAGAATGCAATTAGACTTGCATTGCTCTTCCCACATTGAAACCCCTGTGTTGCATTACCTCCAAATAATTCATATTATCAAAGTGCTCCTCTAATAATTCACAAGACTTAAAATTACACTTAAATCCCACAAAGAGCGCTGATTTGGTTCATTATGTCATCACCACAAGTGGTGACATATTTGTAATAGTTTCCAACTTTTTTTGTGGTGGCTTTTGGTGTTCCGCAGCTGGTATTTGTGTTTGGTGGTTGGTGTTCAGCATTTGGTGTTTGCATGTTAATGCCTAGTTTCAAAACTGTTCTATTAAGAGTGATGTTTCCTACAGAGAGGTGTTCCATCTGACAGATTTAACTGTACTTCCAAAACCATGGTAACATTTTTGTTTTGTGTTACAGGACACAGCAGGCCAAGAGAGGTACAGGACCATAACTACAGCTTACTACAGGGGTGCTATGGGATTTATACTCATGTATGATGTTACCAATGAAGAATCTTTTAATGCAGTTCAAGATTGGTAGGTATACATTACTATGGGACCAAATATATTGGAGAAAAATAAAGTTTCTCTCTGTGGTTGACAAAATACGGAATGTTCCAACTTTCTCAAGTTATCGTTTTGACTTCTTATATTGATCTATGGTGTTTTTCTTCCACTGACGTCTACTTATTGATCACATGATCTGATTAGGTAGACATGTCTTTCTCGTTTTTCCCGCTACATTGGTCCCAAACAAGGCCAGTATCAGAATTAATCATTCCATAAATTCATATCACTGACAGTATTACGTCCAAGGAAGTCAATAATGTGGCATAGGGGTCATAAGTACAAAACATATTTGCCAGTGAAAATGTTTTACAAAATAAGAAATTCTTAAAAAATAGTGTAAAATTCAATAATGTATTTGTACTTAATTTGTTTTTGGTTTTATATTGTTTGGATCAAGGAACATATCAATTTTCCTTGTGTTTAATTTTTATGTGGATAATACAAGGTTTACCGGTTTCATTTGGAATGGTTCTTGGCACCTTGTAAACTAATCTTCTTCATAATATCTGAGATTGAATATACCACATACATATAGCACATATAATTTTTATTTCTTTTAAGTACGCACAAATGTCTGAATCCAGAACCGTATATTGCCCTAACTAACAATATTGCCCTTCAGTTCTCAATGATATGACTAACCTTTACTCAAAGACGTGACAAATCATTTTAATATTCTCATAAAAGACACATATATAACTATATTCTATATAGAGTCATACATAACATGATATTATATTGTAGTAAATAAGCATGCTTATTATTGGTCATTGCTTGCTTAAAAAACTCTGAAAGCTGCAAAAATATCTGTTGTTTAAATGCAACAGCTGTAATAAGTATGTTGCTACTATAAAAACATGTAAATGAGCAATTTGTTATCATATAGCTGATACATGTACATGTACTGCTCTATTATGCAAAATATGATGAATCATAATTTAACATACCGTTCATCATCCTGAAAAGTACAGGATTCAAAAACATTGTGGAAATTCAGATCCTTGTTTATCAATAAAGTGAAGCTATCTGATGTAACAAATATGGGAGTCTTGATATAAAATGCGGCGAAAATGACGAACTTTCAGTGTTTTCAAGTTTCTATTCTAGAAAGAAAATTAATCCTTCCCTTTGAGACATCACAGGAAATATCTAATAACAATGACATCTTTAAATATTATTTTTATTTTATTATTATTTATATACAGGATTTCCTGTTGAGTATTCAACATACGTCAATTAATTTATATTTGATTATTGTCGTAATCTGAATATAATTCAGGTTTCACTTATGATTTAACGGAGGAATTTTGTAGGTAGATACGGAGGTGGAAATCTGAAAGTCCCATCTGCTTCTACTTAGATTATTACATTGTTGATATCATGAAATCTATGGCAATATTATTAACACTATCTCCCACTCCATATTAGTACTTACAAAATATATATTTTAATGATTGTGTTTTGTTAACTTGTCCTCTTATCAAGACGTTTTGGGATTTGGAAGATCTTCCTCAATGTAGGCTGAGTCAGATGAGTAATTCGACTAATTAACTTAGATTCCTTAAGTGCAGGAGTAGGGTTGCAATTCTGGCATCATGTGTGGACAGGTTTGAAAGACCAACTACCAGGCCAAGCTTGAAGCCCTTAATCTGGCATTTTGCTATTGTAAATTATTGTAATTCATAATACCAGTTTTTACACTGATAGAGCTACCCAGTCAAATCAAATCAAACATGAATAATGTTATATAATGCAAACCTTTTTTCACTGAATTCTTAATAGGAAAATGATATGGAAGAGTCATCAGAAATCTTCAAAAATCTAGCTGTTATTCTGGTTGAACCCTCGAAATACTCTATCCATCTGACTTTCATGAATATGAAAAACAAAACCATCAATATTTAAGCACATCAGATCAAGTTCCCAACCCTAGAGAGATACAACCATCCATTTCTTTCAACATACTTGATACTCCGAGTCAGCAGAAAAATGTTGCAATCTTGGGTAATGACATTTTGTTATTTGAAGCGGATACCTAATGAAGTAGCCTATAACTCATTGTTCATTAATGATAACAGCCTATTCCGCCCAATGCATACTTCATATCTATTGGTTAGTACAACCTCAGAAATTGCTCATTTCATTGATTGAGTTTCTAGATAATAAGAAGAGTGCTATAGTGTAATTGTATATTGTATGTGTGGGAATTCGCTTTTTCGTTCATGCTCGTATCTTTCAACGAGCGCTCCAGTTATTGACATGGAGCAATTATGTTATTCAGATGGAAAATTGTTATTCACATGGAACTCCGGTTATTCACATTGAATGATCAAGTAATTCTGATTGAACACATTGGATTTGAATTATTCATATTGAACTTGGTTATTCAAACTGAACTCAAGTATTTTAGATTGAGGTTAAAGTCATTTAGGTAACATAGTTGGATCTGAGTCGTCTAAAGACATTTCACTATATTCAGGCGGAGTTCAAACCAGTTGGTCTTAGGTCAGCTCACGATGAGATGTCATTAATGCCTCAGTCACATTTGATCTATGGCAAATGTACTGCGTCTGTAGCTTCCCAAAATCGAGAGAAATATCCAGCATGAAATATAGTGATTCAATTCAATTCATAAGACCCATATTCACTTACCAGTTTGATTTTCAGTCAAATGAAAACTTAGTAATCCAAGAAGGTACAGCCACCATAAAGCAAATGTGACAGGCTTTAAATTAAGGAGGTTAGATCATTCAGCTTGAGCTCTGGTCATTCAGTTAAAATATGCAACTTCAAGTCATTCTACATTGAGATCAAGACATTCAAATTGGGCCAAAATTATTTAGATTGAACTCAAATGATTCAGATTTATCTCAGGCAGACTGGGAATATTTGTATGATTTACTGCGGTATAAATTAGAAAAAACTCCTTGTAGCATTTTTATTGCCCAATATCTTCTAATATTGTATATCACTCACTCCCAGGCTAAATGATTATTCCACCAACGCTAAGCTTGGATGTCGTAAGTTCCTCCGTGACTATTTCTATTTCATGCCCCTTGGGAATAAATGAATGAATGGTAATTTTTTTCTCACCTCAGCTCAAATTCTATGATAAAATGACAATAAAGTAAAGTACGCCATATTGTCAATTGCTTTATAATGATGATACATTTCATGACGTAATCTTGGATGGAAGATTACTATGGACCTTTTCCACGATGCCCATGTCAAGCAGCGTGCCTACTAGGCACGCAGTTTGAAACTCTGACAAACTGCGCGCATATTTCAAAATGTGAGACGGGGAGGACACGACTCCCAAAAAGAGCCAAAATACGAAAAATACAAGGTTAGTCTCGTTCTAAAGATAGTACCATTCTGTAAAGATGAACTTAATTTACTCATAGTACTCAATGTTTATTTAGCCATTGTGTCTGTGTATGCTAGAATATATAGGATCACTCCATCTGATTAAAACAGCAAAGTTTGTGTTCAAAACGATAATACGCCATAAACGTGATTTAAACATGTTTCTTGTCAAACTGCGCGCCTATATTCACATGTACGAGGGTTGTCCCAGAAGTAATGCACTATATGCTCTAACTTTCTTTAATATTCTTCAATTCAGCTGAAATTTTGTGTATATAACAATTGAAGTTTTATCTATTATATCCTGAAGTTTCAGCATCCAACATTAATATTAAGTCTTAATATGGTTGCTATAACAACATGGAGGTAGGGGTGGGCGGGGCAGGTACCAATTTTTCTAATTATGGAAAGATCTAAAGTGTTATTTTATTAATATTTCTTTCCTTTAAATGGTCAAAATGTTTGGGAAATTGTTAAATTTATTCAGCATGATGTTAACCAAGTACGAATAATGACATTTAGCACTGTGATGTCATAATACCACATTTCAATAGTCACGAATTCAAATACAGTCGCAGTCAAGTTATTGCAAAAATGGCTGAAATTCTCACCTGATAACAGAAGGCCTTGCATTTGATGGCCTAATTGCATACTTCACTTGGACTCACAGTCACGCAAAACTAATGCTACCATGAAGAAAGTATATAAGGAGTATATACCAGATAGAACTACAATTATGGGGTGGCAGAAGAGATTTAAAAGAGACGATTTGATCCTGTATGACAACTCCAAACATGGGAGGCAAAAACTCCACAAGTCACAGTGGAAGAAATTGCCGAGAGTGTTTGACCTGACAGGCATCAAAAGTACATAACATGCAAAGGGCAATATTTTGAGAAAATGTGAAATGGGACACTGTGCAATATACATCCATTAAATCTAGGATGTGCTCATAGTAATTTAGTATCTTAAAATGTATTTTTGAGCATACTTCTTATAGCTACACCAAATGGTATTTGTTGATTAATTATTTCATATTTTCAATTTTTTATTCCTTTTGACGTGACTGTATAACCTGCCCCGCCCTACCCAAACTCACCAACTTGATTTTATTATAACATCAATATAGTTTTATCAGTCAACATGAAAATTTTTAGAATAATCAAAATGTCTCTAAGGAACATTTTCTGAAAATTTCATGGAAAAATATCAATTATTGATAAAGTTAGAGCATATAGTGCATTACTTCTGGGACAACCCTCGTATTTCCCAAACTGAGTGCCTAATATTTCAAAACTGCTTGCCTATCCAAGCTTGTTTTGTATTATTAGAAAACATAAGCGCCATACAAGGCACATATGTGTCTAATAGTAGAACCCCATAATTGAAACACTATGAGAGTCCATCCACCAAGATGGTGATCTGAAAATAAACGTTTTTTTTTGTTCCCAACTTAATTGTCACTTCTATTATACATTTTGACTTTCAATATGAAAATCTCATAAAATCTGACCATAAAGCAAAATTTCCAAAGCTACATCGAAAACACCTACACGTACCTCTGTAGAAATTCCAATGATTATGTAGTTTTAATAGTGTATGCGCACAGATTGTAATTTCTGGCTAAAATAGGCGCGCAGTTTGTGGTTTATTATTTCTTTTTAATCTCCTGATTATCTGTTTTATCTCGAAATATTTTGAATTAAACATGATAAATGTGTAAGGAATTAAATAAAAAACGAGTCTAAAGTATTTGTCATTTATGTTTAAAGTGCTACATCGATTTACGTATAAATTAAATCAGTGACGAAAATGCCATTAATCTGCTTATGTTTTAAAACTAAGATTCATTTGCACACAGTTTTTGCTAGTATTTGCAAGATTCGTATATTCGCCACAGAATGAGCGCATTGAACAAGAAAACAATGCAGGATAAATGTCTTTAAATAACGTTTCAAAATACAGACTCCAACTTAAATGATCCAATGTTCTTAGGCACGCAGTTTGTGATCGAAACAAACTGCGCGCCTAAGTAGGCGCGCAGCTTTACTTGGGCACCGTGTTTTCATCAGAGTATATACTACTCGTTTCTCCCCCATACATGTTTACTAATGTGAGAGAAAAGTGAATATGTCTTACAAATTTGAGAGAGATAATTGGATTGCCTCAAGTTTAATTGATACAGAAACATATATGTACAGTGCATTTACAGATAACTGTAATAACAAGAAATTAATGATTGAAGTTTCATTTTGTAAATGATCAAGGCCTTATCATGTTTATGTATGATTCTGACTCATATATTCAATCAATATTTGCTTCAATTTATTTTATCATACATGTAACATTCAGTATACAGTAAAACATGTTCATAGTGAATGCCACTGTACTTTTCATCAAAAGCTTGTTCTCAAAGTTTTATATTTTAAAGTACATCTTTCAAATCAGCAGAATATGCATTGCTCATATATGAAGGTGGTCACATTAAAGTGTGATTCTGACATATACATGGTGTCAAATAAATACGTTCTCTCCCTTAGCTTTAACATCCACAATGTTGCAGAACTGTTTTGTCTGCATGATATCTGAATTGTTCTTTGGCACATTAAAACTAGAGAAACATATTTATTTGACACCCTGTAAAGTCTTCATATTGAAGCTATTTGTTTAGGTATTAGAGAGGTGTTTACATATACACGTTTTACTGTACATTTGCAATTTCATACTAGAGACATACAACAGTGAAATAAACGCTGTAACATACATGCTTATTATTAATTTTACAGCGTAATTTAAATAACAATGAGGATAAATCTAACTCTTATTAAAAACACTGGCAGATTCTAGTACTCTGGTTCTAATATCTATATACACTATACATATGTCACGCTTCATGAAAAATAACATTGAGGGAGTACATTGAACTCCTAATTATTGATGAATGTTTTATGGTCATCTTTAAAATGGTCATGCTGGGAATCATGCATGGCTTCACAGCATCTCATGAAAAGCTTAGCTAAACATTTTTTTCTAAATTAATACTTAAACCAACAATTATACAGACTTCAGTGTAAAAAATGTCAATTTATCAAAGGCCTCATGTAAAGTTTGAAAATGAAGTTAAATTATCATAATATTTTTTGTGATGACTTAGAAATGACAGTAAATGTTATACTATTTAATCAATTTTTTATGCATACGTTAAATGTTACAGAATTTTTAAAGAGTTTTCTATCAAGTTTTAAATATTTTCTGTACTTTTGGTTTCACAATAAAGACAAAAATTTAAAAAAAATATCTTTTCTATCTTATTATGAGTTAATTTCTCATTTTCAACCATTTTTAATTCTTTCAATATACAACAGAGTTGGATGTGATGTATGCAATGCATTGGTATGACGTTTTACCTTACATGGGGTCTTTAAATTTGATACTGTTTTAACATGCACCCTCAAAGATGTTGTGGTATCTTTTTGCATGCGCTTTTGACTTAACAGGAGCTCTCAGATTGAAACTCACGCCTGGGACAATGCCAGTGTTATACTTGTGGGAAATAAAACTGACCAAGCTGAATATAGGGCTGTTCCAACGAAACAGGGACAAGATTTAGCAGATAGATTAGGTATAAACTCATCAAATAGCCATCTTTCAGCACTCTGTGCTTATTTATCCTGGTGGAGGAATCTACTACTGGGCTTTCAGGTGTAAGGATTATTTCTTCAATGTAAGCTGCAAGGACGTGTCCACCCGTACCCTCCTATGTTCAGTCGTTGAAGCATGTTTTGTTCCATTGTTCAAGTTGTGTTGTGCTTGTGAAGTTATATGATTTGTACAGTGTGTATATTTCCCAAGGGCTTCATATTGCAACAAAATGAACGTTTGATATCTGATTCAATGTCAGATCATTTATACCCATCATTGATCTACCAGATAACAGCCACAGAAATCATATGCTACTTCTTCAGTAATATGTAGCTCATGATTCATGGAATTCAATATTGGTTCCATGAGATCATTGGAAACTTACTAAGGAAAACAAAAGATGAAATATCCTCATCAGAACTTGTAAAATAAACTTACTGGTCCTGTGTTTAAGTCTTGCTTTGTCAAACATTGTGACCTTTGGACACTGTACTGTGTGATCCTCTATTTATCCTATTGGGTGGACACTCTCCATGCAGCTTACAGGTGCAGCTTGCACACTCTTGGTGCAGCTTGCATATCCTTGGTGCAGCTTGCACAGGCTTGGGTTGGTGTTTCAGGTGTACCCAGATCCAGATGTATGCCTGGGAGAGCGCCATGGTGCTACTAGTCGGCAACAAATGTGATTGTGAAGAGGACCGTGTTGTCACGACAGCGCGCGGTAAACAACTGGCCAGCCAGCTAGGTAGGATGTCTATATGTATGTCACCCCTGCATCCTCTATTTCTGTATTGTTTCTAGGTGTACACAAATCAAGACATATTCTTGGGATAATGCACAGGTGGTGTTAGTTGGTAACAAATGTGATCTAGAAGATGAAAGAGTTGTATCCACTGAGAGGGGTAAACAATTAGCAGACCAATTAGGTAAGTGGCGACATTGTGCGTCTTCATTAATCTTCACACCTATAACCTCGATGGCATCCTCATGTTTTTCTCCTATTGTGTTGAGATTCCAGCACAGTTGTTTGTTAAATCTTTTTCCTCCGAGAAGTCAGCATCTGTACCAATGAGAGCTTCATATTTCAAAATTAGCGATTTCAAAATTAGAATATCAGTAACTTGATATGAAAGCAGTTTTTCTTGCAATGGAGTATTTGCAAATTATGATTTTTTGGGCATATTTTGGAAGAGATTGAGACGATACGAGACTCATATTCAATAGAAATGGCCAAATTGTTTCTTTTCCATTATATACTGTATTTGAGCCTGCATTCTAGGTTATACTGGTTTCCTTTAAACGACTTTACATGCCTCCTTGATGCTTATCTAATTTTCTAACTAGCTTTAAGGCCTATTACTTCAAAGCAGATTTCACATTTACAGCACATACATTAGACAGAATGTAATCCCAAAATTACATGGCAAGATTAAAATGTTCCAAGTAGAATAGACCGTTTATTTGCTGATTTATATTCCTCAGATCTTTACGCTCTTGCTTGTGTCAGAATGACATTATTTGACGATCACAATCTATCAGCTAATAGGAAAAAAAATTGTGTGCTGTAAATGTTTAATCTGTGGATCCTTTATATGTTTCATCACATCAGTTGTGCTAGGATATCTTGGGTGATATTTTACAAAAATGCACTTTTTTCATTTTTGTCATGAGTGAATAGATTGACAAATCCATTCATTTAGTAAATCAATTCTCTCATTTAGTTATGATTTTGTTCAATTTTTTGTTACTATAACACAAAAATTGATCCTAGAGCAATGTTTCTAAAAAAATCACCTCTTGTACTGGAATGTGCTCATCAAATTAACCAATAATTTTTTATATATATATTTTTTTTCTTTTATTTCCGAAGTCATATTAAGAAAACATTTACAATCACATGAATCTTTGAAGAATTTTTTGTATACATATATTATGATGTTTGTGCATCAATTTTATTTATGGTAGATCTACTCATCTTCGCACACTCGGTCTTCACAGCGTTCAGACGGGAGTCGAGTGAACGAAGATGAGATCTACTTGCATTTTCTAATTGATAATACCAGTCCAATTCTGCTTATTGACAAGTTTCTGGTAAATCAGATCAATATCAAGCGGGCATTGTATCTTATTTATCAAATATTTTATATCCATTAAAAAAATTTAAAGAATTAACCATAGAGGAATCACCATTAACCTATTTTATACTGGATCTGCATATCGACTTCGCCTAAATAATTGATTTCGTTATTGATTCCTTATTCTTAGCACTGTACATTGATAAATAATTTACAGAAACACATAGTGCATAGTACATATTATTGATCTATGAGTACATTCCAATAGAAATCGTCATATATAATGGCTTGGCTTTTCTCATTTGGGATAGGGACTAAAGTTCTTTTGATATTTTCGGATTATTTTATCTGTTTTCTGGCATAATATATGAATTCTGTAAACTGTAATAGTGAGGATATTGGTAATCTGTCACCCTTATCAGACTTCCAAGTACTGCTCAATGTGTAAACATAGTTTCTTTTGTTTTATAACCTTTTTGCTTGATACCCACGCGGAAGAGCACCCTTTGTATTATGTTGTTATACTGTACACGTTTGGCTGTTTGCCTGTCTTTGTGGGTAAGACTGAAGACATATACGCTGGCTCAGTATAAGATCCTCAAATTGATTTTTTTAGTACCATGCATTCTAAGTTGCACAATTGTAATTATAGAGTGGTGTAGAAATTTTTGATTGATCATGGATTGTTGGTCAATAACTCAACATAGGATTTGCAATTGTTCTTTGTTTTTTCTCGTACCCCCTGGGCACATCTCGCATTTTATTGAGCCATCTTATAATATGTCTTCAAGATTACCTATAATTGTACAAGTATATTTGAATTGGTTAGCCTCACAATAACATTGTAACATGCGATTGGTTTAACATGAGAATAGCCCCCGTTTCACTCTATCAAATATCAATGGCAAATACAACACCATCTACAAAATCAATAAAGTATTTCCTGGAAACTAAGTCTCAAATAAGATACCCTGCTTTACACTTATTGGAAAATCTTGCGATTTCCCTCAGACCGTTTGGCATTGTGATATATTGCTCATACTCTGAAGGGGTTCACGCAATGCAAAAATCAATGTTAATGTAATTTAAGCCAAATCAAATGCTTGGTTTGCGATAAATCAACACACAAGTGATCGTAGAATCCGTGAATTCTCAGCAACAATGTTTTTTTGTAACTAACATTCACTGTTGAACATTTTTATTTACAAAATTAGTATTAAATGCCTAGATTTTACTAGATCTATTTTTGATATGACACTGTACATATAATTATACATATAATATAGATGCTTTGGATTATTAAAAGCTTTGTTTTTATACACATACCATTTTAATATAATAGATCTATTTGTTTATAGTTTTTCACATTTTTATTCACAAAGCTCAACTTTTGCTTAGAATATATTAGTGTAGCTCATGCTTTTGGTTGAATTTAATAGCAGCACTTATCATGGCATGCATTTTAAAATATAAAATAGTACTATAGATATACACATCAGCATTTTCCACTAATTTTCAGGATCTTAACTCTGTGCAGTATATTTTTCAGGTTTAGAATTTTTTGAGACATCAGCCAAAGAAAACATCAATGTAAAAGCCGTATTCGAGCGACTCGTAGATATCATTTGTGACAAGATGTCCGAAAGCTTAGATTCCGACCCAACAGCGGTGAATAGTGCAAATAAAACAACGCGTCTTACTGAAAACCCAAATCAACAGAACCAGCAATGTCAGTGTTAACATCCCTTCAAGCCATAAGACATCACTCTAGAACTAACTAAAAGATGGCACTGATTGTAGATGTTACCTACTCTTAAACATAGTCTCTATAACGACTAGCGATTTAGCACTTTGGATGAGTGTACAATTTGTATTGGAGATGAACATTCACAGAACATGTGCACAATGTGTGGGTTACTATGACAACACATAAAAGGACCATAGAGACCATTCTGCTGTTTTATCAACGGACCCCTGATCCTGGACCCCAATATATAGCTAACAGCTGAGTGAGCTAAGAGGAATATTGCTTCATTCGTACTAACTTACACTTTAACATTGCACACTTTTCATGTTTCTCTAAAGCTGAATGTTAATTGTTGCTTTAATTGCAAGCAGTATTGATATTTGGTAGTGTAATTAGCAAACTCATGAACGCATCAACATCAGGATTCAGTTGATGAAACGGTAGAAATGCGAGGACGTAGGTATTTATTCCTCCCTAGAGTAGTAGGTTAATTTAATGAATAAATATAACTTGTGCATAGTGTATATGTATACTGACTAGCCCCGTATATAGAAGAACATATTGTACATAGTAGGAGATTGAAATAATTATAATATTATGAATGATGTAGTATATTATGGCTGTGTAAAGAAGGCATTCCAGGTTGATATGTAAATAGCTTAGCTACAGCTTTAGCACATAAAATCTCCCCCTGGTAACATGGTGGTTTTGATCAACCTAATTTCAATCTCGAACGAGAGCGTGTTAGTCAAGATAATAGCAATGAGTTAAACAGCTGTACTCTAAAAGGTCTTAAGATCTCTTCTGTCATTTACATGTATCATTCTAAAGCTTAACCATGTATCACTCTAAAGCTAAGCATAACCACTATGGTATCAAATATGGGGGAGTGGCCATTGATATTGTAGACATATATGTACATGTGTTGTACCATGTGGGCCACCTAAATATTCTCAAAAGGTCTTGCCTTAGCACTCCAAGCCTTAATCTCTTATAGAGGGATCATCATTTTGATATAGGATGAGAAACTCATAATTTTCTTCCCACGATTTATGAAGGCTGTAGTTTGACATTGGCAAGAGCAAATAGGAAAGTACATAGAGAAAATGTGTTTGAATCCCCATATTGGATTATTGGCATTACTATTCCACAATAGACTTGTGCAAATAGTTCTACATTATCTGAAATGTCTGCAATATCATTGGCTTTCTTGCATTACACGCACATCTCAGCTTTACAGTATTTAATTACTGGGCATCAATATAATCTGATAGAGCAACTTATAATGAATGTATGATCTGAAAACTTGGAATATCTTCACATCGTCTTCATGTATTCACATACTTTGTTATACATTTTTACTTGATTTATTTATGGAATCATGTTGAATTTGTGAGTAAAAGAATTAACCATTTTTCATAATTTGGTATCAACTGCAGAAGTTGATAGCAATCATGGAAAATGAATTAATTCATATAATATATATGTCCATGAATTATCCGCATAATTGGGCTTTTGGCATACCACAGTGGCAGGGGTAGTCTTCATACTACAGTGGTATGTTAAAAACTGCCACTGTATTGAGAGTTTGGGGTTTAGGACATTTTTGTTGGAATATTTATAAGACATTTAACATTATTTTGCAATATTTCTATACAGTGTTCATATATATCACAACAATCATGAAAACTTCTTTTTCTGTATGCAAGTCATGGAGATCATTTTTGGTTTCGAAATTCATTGATTGAAAATCGTGGAAATAATTCAAATGACATCATCTCGTTTCTAGATACTATGGGTGGGAGAAGATTGATATTTGTGCATGAAGTTTCACTTTGGTCATGTTAACCTCACACATAAACTAAGATCATTTTTCATGTAGATTTTAATGTCTAATTCACCTCCTAATTTATAGTTCTAGGATATTCCGCAATTTTAGTAGTTATTGCTTTATCCTAATAGCAAATCAAATATCTGAGCAGATCTATGTATCACGTTCAATTAAAGGCCACTGTAGTCTGTAAGGAATTCAAGTCAAAACTAAAAGCTGGCTATTGATTGTAGATTACAGTTTTGATGGACTGTCAATACACTAAATAATTAGATGCAACGTTTTCCAATATCACTCTTGTCGTGGTTTCTTTTGCTATTTGTGTATGTAACCTTGGCAAGCCCTAATTTAACATGTATGTTGCCACCACGACCCTTGCTGTCTGCTTCTGTATATGAAATACACACAAGCTGTGTACACATATGTCTAATTGACTACTTGGCACGTACAGAGGTCTCTATTGCAATGAATTCTATAATATTTCACGTCAGACTAATTCAAATAGCAAGGGTTGTTTTCGAAGACATTCTCTAGTCGATAGCTTTATTATTACACATGTAATATGAGTTATTTTAACCTGTGTTGAATAACATACATTGGACATTGACAATGAGTAGCTCAGTATAATAGAAATTGCTTATGAAAATATAGGAAGTCTTTAAGACATGATTATTGTTATTAATAATACTTGGGGCATTATTAGGTACAAATCAATCACATTCCATGACAAGAAACATTGGAAACAATGTTTTTTATATCTTGTGAAAAATGAGTGAAAAACATTGTTATTAGTTCGTACTATTTTTATTGATTCAATCCAATGGGATTTAAATTCCGGAATCTACAGAATCCTTTTATTCTATTTTGTATTATATTCTCTGAGAAATCATTCCTTGTGTGTGGGATCCTGTTTATGAAGGTGTTCCTACATTTAGTTAAAACTGTAACACGGATAAAATTGAGAATTTTGTTCAGTTTTCTTTGAAATTGAGAAATCTTAACCTTCTGAACTAAGACTTTCTATGAAGAGTGAATCAGAGTTAAATAATTAACTGATTTTATTTCAGAAACAATGTTACCTGTCTTTCAATATTGATGATTCAATTACCTTGATATGTGTATTAAATCGCTGCAACATCTATTACAAACAGGGTAATTAAATACCTGTACAGTAAAACCTATTGAATCCAAATACCACTTGAAACAACCAAAAGTGTGCAGATTGGGTTTTTAACATAAAAGTCCATAGCAGATTAAAAAATGGACCAAAAAATCTGTCCACATCAAGAGATGTTCAAATTAGAGAGGTGTTTGGATATACAGGTTTTACTGTACTCTAGCCATAGTGGTTATGGTAAAAGAAGGGTAACACTGTTTCTATTACCTATTAAGTGGGAGTGGTATTGAGTGAAGGGTGATTTCATTGATTTGACTAAAACAAAAACAATCTGGTATCCATCAAGAATTATTATTCCATTGCAGTGTAATACCAGAGATGTCAAAATTCTTTGATTCTTTGAAATTGTTTGATCGTTAGAATCAGTAACTGATACAGTACATATCTCTTACTCAGCAGACAAAGCTCTCGTCTCTTTGTTATAATAACAAACCTCTATCAATGGGAAAACCTAGGATGCTGTGGCAATTCTAGGCACTCAAATCTCCTCATGATTTCCTTGCAATCAGAACCATTGCGATGCTGTGTTAGTTGCAGTTAAATCCTCCCAACAAATTAATGCTGTGCAATATAATGCTGTGATAACCTTCAAGCAGCAGTTTAATGACTGAAATCAATGACATTTAGATTATATGTATACAATTGTTATGAGCTTAGATGAATGATGATTAATTAGATTGTTATATCTGTGAGAGAGTTTAGTTTATGTACAGTACGGTAGGGTATGGTACAGTACAGTACAGTACGATACAGTACAGTTCAGTATAGTACAGTACAGTACAGTACAGTACAGTGCAGTATGATACAGTACAATACAGTACAGTACAGTTCAGTATAGTACAGTACAGTGCAGTATGATACAGTACGATACAGTACAGTACAGTGCAGTACAATACAGTACAGTGGAGTTTATCAATCCTATGTGTTGTATAGAATGAACTAGGATTTTAGAAAAGATTTCTACAGTATTTGCTTTATTGCAACACAAATATCTGATATTATAATTTGAAATATTCAACCTGGCTGCCACCAAGTTAATTTGTTTGGTTTGTAGAAAATGAGAGAATTGATATGGTAATGAAAAAATAATGTATAGTTGATTTCACTTTTGTGGCTACATTTATTCTAACATCATATAGGGTGTCTAGAAATCCTTGTCAATTGACTTTAACAATGGGGCTTCCTAGACACCATGTATTGGTACATGACTTTTCGGTTTGTATTTTAAGAGCATCTTTTCGGACTTATATTGATATGCACATACTGATTGCTTTAAACAAGAAATGAAATGTGATGCAAAATTTTGAATCTCAGCCAAGATCTTGAACTCAAATCCCGGGACTCAAATGCTTTAACACAATTTAACAAAGGCATCTTGTCTCAAATGGAGAACAATCAGGAAAAAGTCTTATAAATACATTTTAATTAAATATCAATAAATGTATAAAAATTATTATTTATTTGCTTTCTCTGCTTCTTCATAAAAGTCAAATGTCAAATATGATGACATTATTCGTTAAAATATGTAAAAGATTGTTCATTTTGTAAATCGTTGATCATATTGTGAATTCACTTGTTTGAACTCTTTAGTCATTGTAAATTCTCATTACCATGTTCATGTGTTTCTCTTCAATGATAGAACTGACATTTATGCCTAGACTGGCAATGTTGTGTTTCAAATGTTAGTCCCATGCGAATATACTCAATCTTTCGAAATCCAGTTAGAGAACAACTTTTATTTAACCATTACCTCAGCTTTGATAGCAATTTTGTATTGAGTGTAAAAAATCAAAGATCAGCATATTATTATTGAAACTTTATACCAGCATTTTGAAATGGTTTTTTTTTTCATTTCATTTTAATTTATTCACGAATCGCATGTTATTGTAAGCCTACTGTATAAGTTGTTCTGTAATTCTCGATTTCGCTTGTTTTACATGCTAGATCTACTGTTTGTCTGTGTTGTTTAACTTGTACTTTAAAGGCAACTATGTATTGTTTAAGTTGAGAAGCAGTGCAATAAAATTAAATAAATGATTAATAAAAATAATGATGTATATCTTTAATATATGGATGTAGAATATTCATATTAGGTAATATATGAACACGTGTAGCTGAACTCAATTTGTTTTGTTTGATTTTATTCATATGAGGCAGTTTTTATGTCGCCATCAGAAGTGGTGAAATATTGTTAGTCTCCAACTTTTTTGTGGCCATTGTTTGGTGGTTGGTGTTTGGCATCTGTCACAGTGTTTGGTGTTTACTGTCTGTAACAAATGACAGGTGCTGACATTTTTCTTTTTGTTGGCTCACCTTGTGAGACTTCGGATTTGCCCATTCACCTTTTGGTCTGTCTTCCTGTCCATCCGTCAACAATTCTTGTATATATGAAAAAAGCCCTTTCGTCTAAACTAATGCTCATATCTATTGTATGGGGTCCATACTTTTAATTTATTTACACCATTGATCCTTGATCCTATTCTTGGAAAAATCTGCTTTGCTGTCATCAAAATATAAAATTCTTCAGAATATTTTTACTGGTCATGTGAGCCCATGGAATGGTGCCATATTTTCCATTGGCATTTAGTGCAAGGTCTGTCCTTTCTACCCAATATCGGTGATGAAGTTTTCACTTAAATGTTTAGATATCACAGAATTTCACAGGACTACACAAGACCCCTCATTATACATTAAAGATGAACTTAAGCTGGAACGTCTTTGGTGTTTTTTCACTATATTTTGTTTGACCACCTAATTTTGATTCTGATCCCCGTTTAATCAGTTTAAAAGCAAGAGTGAAGATATCTGCTAATGGGAATCCATCCATATTGTGGGTGTCCCCAGTGTAAACGACATTTATAACTAAAATTTATATTCCAATTCTGTACGAAGCTGACATTTAATAATGATATTGACATTTGGAAACCACCCTTATAACAAAATAGATATGTCATCACAACCTAAATCATTGGGCTTAAAACTTCATTCATTCAGTAGTTGATGGATTCCGTCTTATTACCAAAAAATAATAATTTAACATCACAGTGAAATAATATAGTGTTTTGTGAACGAAAACATATGCTTCGACCGTGTAGATCTAGACAGTAACTTGATATGCCTGTATGAAACCTGTTCATCACAAGCCAACATTACGAAGGCCAGGATATTCAATCAATCCAATTCACTGTTAACAGGAAGTCACTCGACTATTTCTAGCCCTACTCATTGATTTACAAATGAAATTACATCATTACTTTGCAATGTAGATGTAATGTTTTCAGTCTAGTGGATATCCCTGTGAAAACATAACCAAATAGATAAATTGCCTTTGGAACATATCCAGGATCTAAAATAGGCGAGGCAAAAATTGAAAGGCGAAGGAGATTTTAATATGGGAGGCAAATTTAAGTGAGGCAAATATAAACAAGTGAGGCCAAAATTGAAAGGTGAGGCATTTAGGCTAGAGGAGATGCAGAGCTACATGTGCATCTGAACCTTTCCAGTTTTGGTTGGAAAAAATGTTTGACAAAATGTATTTATGTAAAATTTTTGTGAGGCATTTGCTTAGCCTCCTTATGTCTGGCCACGCCATGATATCTCTTTAATTTAAAGCATTTGAGGCGATGCATCCAACAATCAACAATATAATTGTCATAATTTGCAGTTTGCTTCCCTTGGTGTACATATTCCAATAGATCGACATTTCAAGACCACATTTGCAAAATTAATTTTACTCACAAACCCAACTTCTTTTCAAACATAACAATATCACAAAATTGTTCTACATTGCGAATGTTATTTATTAAATTTTTGATTCTAAAAATCATATAAATACATGTAGTGATTAAAATATCTACTAAAGCTATGGTTTAATTATTATTAATAAATATGGTCCAGCCATAATTTAACTAGAAAACGGCAACTCCATAGAGTAGCAGGTCCAAAACAACAAATTTTTCATGAATCTGAAATAGGTCACAGTATAATATAGCCTATACAATCTACTGTTAAAAACCTTTAATTTGCACATGGCATACATCAATGAAGTACTACCAATTCAATGTTTGGGAAGCCATTTTGAATTTTCAAAGCACAAATCAGAAAAATAGCAAGATTATATGTGACTGACTTTAAAATACCTCTGATTTCATTTCTCTACCCCCATGGGGGTCAGTGAAAAAAAGTATCCCTGCTACTCTCAGTGGCTGCTTGGTAATAAAAAATAATACAATTCTATTTAAAACAATGGTTTTCTTTAACTTTACATCTTTATATTATAAACATTTTTGATATGAAACATATATAGAAGTGTACATGTATAAATGGTTGTTAAAATGGACGGTCAATCTGTAAATACAGTGCATAAAATAAATGTAAAAAATATATCTCAATACGTAAACTGGACGGAAGGGGGCTACTTGTTAAAGTCAATGCTGATTCAGATTTATCTAAAATTGTACAAAATAATTAACATTATGAGTACCCTCCTAGATTTATATGGAGTGTTCTTCACTTATAAACAGTAAAACCTGTGGAAGTGAAATACATTTGGTATATCAAAATAGTGTTCAAATTAATAATATAATAACATAATAATAATGTTCATTTTACAATAAGTTAAAAGGGAACACAACTTTAAAAAGTGTTCCACTTATGGAGGTGTTCCACTTCACATGTTTTACTGTATTGTAAATTCCAAGGTCATTCAAAAGATTTAGGGTATTATAACTCTGTTGTTGGAACATCTTTTCCATCAAAAGCACCATTATCTTCACCTTTGGGCTTTGCTTCATCAACAGTATTTTCATTCCCATCTTGATTTGCACTTTCATTTTCTGGTTTTATTTCTTTCTCTTTGGAATGTTTTTTCTTCTTTTTATGCTTCTTTCCACTCTGTTCAATGCCATCACCATCACCCAACTCATTCTCTTCATTACCATTATCCTTCGACTTTTTCTTCTTCTTTTTATGCTTTCGCTCTTTGACGTCATCTTGGGTTTCTCCATCTATGTTATCTTGGTTATCATTATCATTTCCATCAACATTTTCCTCCTTTTCTCTGGAATTTTTCTTCTTCTTTTTCTTGTGTTTCTTCTGTGTTGCTTCAGTCTCTTCACTTTCAGTTTTTGTTTCTTCAACCTTGGGTTCATCTACTGATACTTTGGGCTTGTCAGCAACCTCATCTTTTACTTCTTCCAGTTTGTTGCTTTTCTTATCTGGTTCAGCATTTGATTTATTGCTAGGAGAGACCTGCAAATATTTAACACAGAATGTTGCTCGGAAGGATCAAAAACAAACAAAACAAACATTGAGTGACAATTTTGTGCAAAACACAAAGCAAAGTTAAAGTAACAAACAGTGCTTTTTTGCTGCTGAATTTTTTTTGATGTGAAATACATAAATTACACTGTCTACTGATGCCACATGGCTTATTAATCATGTATAAAGCCAGGATAATGAACAAAATTAATAGTCTAACTACTTTAAAAAGAATATGCTCCAGATTAGGTACTCATTCTACTTCAGCCACCATAAGTGATGACGTAAACTGCAGTTTAGGTTCTCCATTGACAGGTGTTGTGAGTTAATTCAAAACATCAACAAATATTTCATAAATGTTAAATCATATGAAATATGGGTTTATAATTACCTCCTCCACAACTGCAGGATCTTTGTTAACAGGTTTCTTTTCTTCATTCACATTGGCCTCTTCAATCTCTGCAATAACATAATATTAATAATTTTAGTGTATAACCCTGATGCCAAGGGGATACTAGAAATAATAACTAACCTCTGAACATGACAAATAAATACTGGTATGCAGTTTTGATGCTGCTCAGACCTAAATGATCCCAAAAGTAGCTGTCATAGTCTTTCATGTGAATTTGAATATTATTATGTGATAAATCGAAATCATTGAATTGAGCTTACGTTTATGAGGAACATGTGCCATGTTGAGGGTCCTAGAGACACCAGAGCCTGGTCTAGCAGGGGAGCCTGGTCTAATGGGGGTCAGTGACATGGCAGATGCAGGACGAGGGTTATGGCGGGATACACTGGAGCCTGGCCTTACAGAGCGCTGGGAACTTTGACTAGAAAAACAATGTATACACAAAGCATATGAAAACAAAGATCATGAATTTACTGAAATAATCAGATTAGAAGGAGAATCTACGACACTCTTGAAGTATATAATGTCTTAATTTCATGTCTTACAAATTTATTATTTAAGTTACTTACTGTGAGACAGAACTGGGTGTGCTGTGACTATGGTGTGATAGGGACGGCACTCCATGCATCATTTCAGACAGTGCTAATGAATCTGTATCATTATACAGACTCGAACCTGCCTGATTGGAGTCCATATCTACAGCTAAGAATTCTGCAACATCTTGTGATGTGCCTGGTTGGTCCCACATATCAACAGCCTGGCTATCAGTCAGCCTAGGGCCATCCATTTCAGTCATGTCCATCTCGGTGAGGTTCAGGGATGGTGAATAGGTCTGGTTTCTATTATTAAAATGACCAGGGTATAGATCATCAAAGTAGCCATCATCTGTAATGCATGTAAAATAAATGTACTGAAATTCAGAGGTCATCAAAGTAGCCATCATATGTAATGCACGTAAAATAAATGTACTGAAATTCAGAGGTCATCAAAGTAGCCATCATATGTAATGCACGTAAAATAAATGTACTGAAATTCAGAGGTCATCAAAGTAGCCATCATCTGTAATGCATGTAAAATAAATGTACTGAAATTCAGAGGTCATCAAAGTAGCCATCATCTGTAATGCATGTAAAATAATGAACTAGAATTCAAATGGTTTCCCATAGAACTAAGTGTAATAATGGTGTTAAATTGAATATATTTCTAGCATACTGTACTTTTATGATAAAAGTTAAAAAACACAACTTGGATTACTTCGATTAAGGAATATTTTGATGTACTCAATTACTACATGGGATGATTATTATGGAATCATGTTTGTGAAAAAATGTAGACCTGGAGGTCTGAAATTGTATCACATTAAGCCTCTGACCTCTGTTAGCCCTCCTAATGAATAGTCTATTATCTTCCAAACACTTTAAACAATATACATGTAGATGGAATACAGTAAATAGTGTATATAACACCAGAGAGTTAGAAACAGACTGGAATCAAACTCCTTAAGAACTGAGGTCCTACCTGGACTTTCGTCCTCTTCTTTCTCGTGCCATAACTGGGCAGTTCCTGTGTTCATCAACTTCTGCTTCTTGATTCTCTCTGAGCGACCATTAAGGAACAAACCTAAGTGAAAAACATAATTGACTTGAGTATACATGTATATTTCAAATGCTTTGTTCATTAATATTAATCTGTTAACTTTGATTAATCTTTACTTGCAATTTTTCTAATGTTTCTAGGAGGCTATAACCAGACAACAGCAATACCAAGTTGAGACAAATCCTGAGTGTGATGAACTTTATTCAATACATGTATATTATATTATATTATATTATATCATATCATATCATATTATATTATATTATATTATATTATATTATAATACACTCTTGAGATTTCATCCTTCTTTTAAAACTATTTAAACAGCTCTTAAATATTTTCTAAGTAAAGTACTGTAAAGATTACCTAGACAATACATCTTTAGGAGCAATCTTCTTTTCACAGGATTCACTAAGATGAAGTCATACTCCCTCTGTGCCAAACGTCTCACAAACATAGGCATGATCTCCATAAGAGCTTCAGCCGTGTCCCTTATCGAATCTTTAACACTCTCTGCAAAGCAAATTAATCTACATGTATATACACTGGAAACACTGGACATGTATATAACCTGAAAAACGACATTTCAATAAATCGATTCATCAAAAAATGAATAAGTAAGTACATTATAACTGACTTTACTTGTAAACAATATCTTACCAGCAAAGAGTGATCTTGGAGAGACTTGGGAGTGAATCTCTATGAGTTCATCAAGGGTGTCAAGTAGTGTGGTATGAACTTGATCATCTAACATCTCAGCCTCTCTTGTGTATGCATTGATCACTTGGATCTGACGTGCTAACTCATGGGCAGGAGCAAACAGTGGTGGAGCCAATACTGCCCTCTCTGAAACATTGTTTTGAATGATAGTAACATAATAAATAGACCTGACAGATTGCAGAGACTACAGATCCAAATACATAATGCAATTTTATTCAATCATTTATTGTAAATGGTTTCAAGGATAATATCACTGGGAATATATTTACCCATTATTTGCTTGGCTTTCAAGATGGCTCTCATGAACTTCCTAGTCTCTGGTGTGAGTTTGTTCAGCCCGTGTGTTGTGATGGAGGGCCATAATGGTTGAAGATACTTCCTGCAGCCCCCAAAGTGGCGTACAACCAGGTAGATGATAAACACGATGACAGAGATCAACCAAACAACGTTAATGGCAATCAGCATGTATGTCATATAGGTGGGTGTCAACCAAGGAGACCTGACACTGAATGCATCAAATGATGTCAACATGGTTCCCAGGAGACTGTTTGCCATCAGACAAAGATATGTGATACCAAGGATGATGTTGAAGCAGCCAACCCTAAACGGACGCATAATGATGAAAGTCAGTAGCATGGCTATTAGAAAGACATTCACCAGTGCAGCCATGGCAAGGATATGTTGAAAAAGGGCTGCATACCAAACAACTTGGACTAGCTTCAGTACATGCACTGCAGCTCGCATATGTACTCCTTTACGTTTAAACGAAGAAAATATATGGAAATTATTGATTTCGTAAGTGTTATCCAGTCCTTGAACATATTCAGTCTCTTTCAGTTGGAGATATCCTTCATGGGAATCGCTGTTATCCATTAGAACTTCAGCATTTGTTTTCTTGATTAGCCAATATGGAAATGCGATCAAGTATACCAGAAATGCTGCAAGTGCGGGACTGATATAAGCCCAATGCGTGCTTCCAAAACATTGAAGTGAGTTGTCAACATCTACGAAACCATCTCCATTACAGTGGAATACTCTCGCACATGCAATACAAAATGGCAACGCTAGGACTTGGAAGATTATGACATAGACTCGCTGCATGCGGGATATGTGGATGAGAAGCATAGGGTTTCTCTTGCACAGCAAGATGATATAGATTATGACAAAAATGCCAATGAGAAGGAACATGACAATCCCCCAAGCTAAAAGAATAAACCAATAGTTCACAGGAACAGTATCACTTTCAGTATAATGACTTTGTACATTCTTATAAGTTCCATTTGTATGTACTTTCATGAACTCCCATATGTCCACATTGACGAAGAAAATAAAATTCATTGATTTTATCCATCCCTCTGGCCAGGGCCATCTCAAAGACATGGCATGTAACAATGCGTAGATTTGAATGTACTCTAAAACTAGTAAAATTGCATCGTTGAAGATCAGTGATGTTCCCCGTTTTTTACTTTCAGCAAATATGATTTTGTCCTCAGCGGGTGTACCTTCCTCAATTTCCCTTTCCTCCCTCATTTCACTCGTCTCTAAGAGGGGAATAGCTTCCCCTCTGCCTGAACGATTCATGCCTCTATTGTTTGCATGATCAGTAAGTCCACTGTCCAACTCAATTCATGTGACCTGGAAAATTCAAATACTATTACTTTGATAGGCAGTTAATGAATAATGAATTTCTTGTACAGGGTGACACGATAGTCAGTTTGTTTCTGAAATTTTAAATTGTAAGTCGCTAACAATATGGGCTTAAAAGCCCATGCAAATTGAAAAATAATTCCCATGATGGTTGATATATAATATATGTCAAGATTTAGGGAAAAAAAATTATAGAATATTTATAAAATACACAGGAATTTATTGAGGTAGGTATTTTATGTGTGAGAGAGTGGATTTCTCCCTCATGTTGTAATCATATAGGCAACAGTTTTGGATGTTCTCAGGACCATAGTGACAGCTTTGACATGGGATAATTTTATTGTACTTTTAATTGTCTATAGTGTCACCCTGTATGGCAAAGGCTAGACTGTATGCCAAAGCCTAGGTACTGTATCTATGCTTAGCAGTTTTGTGATTGTTCACTGACTTCAGCGATCAGAAAAACTGTATGAATAATGAATTAGACCATAGGTTATATAGAACTTAAAAAGTTCTGACATTTTTTGAAAATTGGCTGAAATTCAAAGTGAAAATCAAAATGTCAAAAGAAGCCAAAATTTCAGAATCCTCTTGATTTGAGTAAAGTCTAACAACAAAAAGATGAAACCCCTCATACAATACTTAAAACCTACAAATAAAGGCATACGTACTTCAGGAACATCATTAATACATACGTACAAAGTGTTAAAATTTTATGTTTACTTCTTTTTGGTCCACCATCTTGATTATTATGGTGACAAGAAAAGACAAGTGCTGGGTAAATAATATAAGATATTTAGTAGATTTGTAATCCGTGAATAAATTTTTTACCTTTTAACTAAACAATAATTATATTACATATAAAAAGTAACGTATGATATAAATAAAGAGTGGCTAAATAAATGTAAACTAAATAGTAATGTTTTAAAGAAATACTAATGCAATAGTGTTTTCCTAGCGCACTTGTTTTTAGGGGACCGTTCATTCTGATATTTTTAAAATGTAAATGTTTATGATCAAAAGTGTCAGATGTCATTAATAAGAAGCAGTTTTAATTCTAGAAGTAACATTTATACCTTTATTTGGAAAAGGAAATTAGTTTGTGTTATAATACTTCATTTGATTGTGTTTTATTAGAATAAGAAAGAAAATGATCATGTACCCTGGCGCGCATTGATATATAAAAATATTATTCTATTTTGTAATCTAATGAACATTAACAACACATTGAGTTTTCTTGAATAAAGATAAGTACAAAAATTACCATGATCAGCAGTAGACAGAGAAAAATATGATTTAGACCTTCAATTAGACAGCACTATATTTACAAGTTTTGTAGCTTCCTGTCAATGTTGTTCGGCCGCAAAGTGTGTAAAAATGTCCGGTGAATTTGAGGTTTGGTTGGGCAATAAATTGAAAGCTATAAACGAAGATGTAGACCTTGACGTATTTGTGCAATACATAGCAGGTGTACTCGATGGTGAGGAAGATGATGAAGAAAAAATAGACTCCATGTCTGGTCTTCTTGAAGAAGTTTCAGTAAGTCTAGATTTTTTATGATTGAATGAATTGAGTGACACTGAATTCATCCATCATCATCATTTTTATTTTTATAACTCAAGATTAGGGATATCACGGTTTCCCAATCACAGACACAGGAACAAGAGTCCATCTCCCACTCACTATGCATTTGGTAGAGTATACAGTGAGTGTGGATTTAGGCCAGGGTGCATGTTCGGAATTTTGCTGCATTCCTCAATTGAGTCACATGTTATTTTTCAAACCACAGGCACAGGAAGATTTAACCACCCCCCCCCCCCCCCCCAAGTCACTGTATCGCTAATGTGAAAAAATACAGGCTCACCTCGTAAACATCCAAATCTCCTCTCTAACAGCTCAATGCTCAATCTCACTTTATGTCCAATGATTTACTCTAAAATTCTCAAATTACGTATATAAATATCTTATGGACGAAACAATCTGGTTGTTAATAGCTGACAATATCTAGGGTTTGTGTCCAGCTGGCTTTTACCGAGCAACCCATGGTCACAACAAATTGACATCCAATCGCCATCTTGTTTTCTTGAAAGATGTCTCTGCAGTCGACCAATCAAATCACAGCAGTTATTAATTAATATTATTTGATAAATTACACATTTAATTTAACATTCTCACACTTATTTATCTTTTTTTTTTCAATTACAAACCTACAAAGTTTTGATTTTTTAATGGCCTGATTACGAGGCTACCCTAGTTCAGCATTGTCAAAGGCATGTCACTGATGATTGTTATTGGTCATATTGAAAACTCCAGCAATTTGATTGGCTTGTCGTAAAGTGTTTATGTAATATGTAGGGTACACCAAAAATATTCCCCCCTTAGAGGCTATTTGAAACAAACCTAGTGTAGTAACCCTTGATAAGAAGTTGCTACTACAGTACAGCTGCAGTGGCTAAAGACATTATAGCTCAGTTGGTAGTGCATCAGACTTTGAATTCAGACTAATGGATAGATTCCATTCCCACACAGGGCGATTAATTAAGCATACGTGTCTCCACTATGCTATGATTGGCAGAACATGCTAATATATGTCAAGCTATATTTGTAATAATGTTGGTATTTTTCCAGCCAGAGAATGTGACTCAGCTGTGTGAAGAAATTATCGTAAAGTGGAAAGAACACCAGGCTTCAATAGAAGGTAACATTTTCACATACTTCTGTATGTTAAATCAAGATCAACTTATAATATATTTACCAGTTTTACTGTGATGAAGAAATTAAATGTCGAGCAGAGCCAATTGGTTAGCCCTGCGATTGTACAATTGTTTTAGTGTCTCAACCATTGAACTTTCACATACTTTACGAAATATGTATTCACAAGTAGAAAACCATCTTTACTCCATTATTGATAAAATCAGGAAAATTAAGATAATTATTAAATCACACAATTGCATAAATGATGCACAGTTGTACATGGAATTGTAAGTACAGTACATGTACTTACAATTTGTTCATAGACATGAAGTTCATGAATTTGGCCCTCCATACCCTTTGCATTTGTTTGACTTAACCTCCTAAAAGAGAGCTTCGTCTTCACTCTTTCAGTTTACAATAAATTTCTGATCTCGACAAGCCAATCAGACTTCGTCGTCGAAATACGGACGACTTTCTTTATAATATGGTCATTTCCTCTGACATCATCCCAAAATAAATATGCATGTATATAGCACATGTTCTTTCCACTTCACTAATTGGTTGAGAAAGGGTCAGCGTGGTAGATTTGAAATGCTTTATTACCAGGGCTGTCACAGGCACCAATCTTTGGGGCAGGGCTGCTAAACTGTAATATAGTCTATACAAGGCAGAGGGTAGTTTATAACTAGACTCTGCGAGCAGGGTAGGCCCTCCACAATTTATGTCAATTAACATATTAGAAAAAGTTCATCAACTATTTCAGTTGTGGAAAAGCCTAATCTTGATGAGAAGCTTGCTAGTATTATGGAGAAGCAGAACTTGACAACTGTAACTAAGAGAGAAATCACCGAGGAGGAGAGGCAGAGAAAAGAGGCAATTTTACAACAGTACTCAGTTGTCTCAGATGGAGAAGAATATCCTTTACAAAAAAGTTTTTATTGTTATCATCACAATTTTATTATTATAGGCCTAACTCATAATTTTTTCATAATCATAATTATGTCACCATGACAAGTGGTGACATATTTTATAGTCTCCAACTTTTTTGTGTTCGGTGTCTAACCAATGGCAGGTAGTGACATTTTGCATGTTAATGCCTTGTTCACTCTCACCAAAAATGTCTCTATCTCTACCAGAAATCACTAGTGAAATCATAGCTAAAACCAGAGAATCACTAGTCATTCACTAGTGAAATATGTGTCTCTAGCTCTGTCACTAGTGAAGTAGAGGTATCTAGAGAAATATAGTGATTAACCAGTGAAAGACTAGAGGATCACTAGAGATATCTCTAGTGATTCACTTGTGAATGTTACTCCATGTATATATAAATGACTCATATATAGAATGTTTGTCTCCTTAACCATATTTACATCTGATGAAGATGAAACAAAGAACATTAATGCTTCCAAAGTGGATCAGGCTGAGAAAGCGATGCGGGAAAAAATGAAGTTAGAACATGACACTAAGAAAATGAAAGATGCCTTAGATAGAGAAAAACAGAAACAAAAGGCTTTAGATAGAAAAGAGAATGAAAAGAAAAGAACTGCTAAAGGAGAGCGCAGGCAGAGGTAGCAGGTTGCTAAGCAACTACCATTTGGATATAGCAGTGAGATTCAAAGAGGATAAGCTCCCAGGGTTTCAATTCCAACTTGATATTCTGCCATATATGGTCATGTAGTCATGGCAATTCAAAATCAAACAGCCTCCATTTTTCATTTTGGAATTTGAATTGTAAGATTTGGGTCTTATTTCAAAAACACACAAAAGCCATAAAAAATGATCAAGATATTAGTTCAACTCTTTTTGATCACTAATTATGAAGGTCAAATATGGAATGGGAACCTTGGGAGCCAATCCTCCTTGAGTGTGATCATTACAAGTAGCAATGCGTTGAGTCACTCCTTAAACTTCTGGTGTATATCAGCACAAAGAATGTGTTCATCCTTTGTACTTATATTGTTTCATGTCTTTATAAACAGGCCATCCCTCAATTTAAAAAATAGATTAATTCACGAAGATGGTATTTGGCATGCATTTTACATGTTAACAAGTAATTCATTAGTTAACTTGTAGTTCTTTGTACAAATAAATTATTTAAAAAATTGGAATATGTTTTATTTAGTTTTATGTGTGGAAGATGCCAGTATTTTCATAGACTCGGTAGACTCCTTTAACCATTCCCTTGATGTTAAATCAATATTGTGTTGCATTTAAATTTAGACTCCTCAGTTATAAGGTAGCCTAGTCCTTGAAGGAAGAATCAGATCTAGCAAGATCCTGACAACTCTTGGCAAAAATTGTCTAATTTTAGAATATTTTGGGCTCCTATCTATTTTCTAAAAATACCCAAGTGTATACTGTATTTGAGGAAAACTAAAGATTTTTACAATGAAACCTTCATTTTCCTATAAACATAGTCACCATTTTTGTTATTAGGGAGAATTTAAAAAATTTTCCCCATTTTGGCACTCGGAATCTTTAATGATTTCACCAATTTATAACAAATCATGGATCTTTTGAGAGATATTGTAGAAGTATTGGAGATTGAAAGACATATTGGTATGCCAACTGTACATGTTTCTTGTAATTTTGTCACTCCCTATGGAACTGATTCTTTGTTTGTATACCCAAATCATACTCACACGTTCCACCACATATGAAGAAAATCCATTTACTAGTATTTGAGTACTTTTGATTGTTTTACTGATCAAGGGCTTCATTATATGGCTACCAAACTTCTGTTAGTTGGGATAATTAGCACAACGATTTTGAAGAGCTGTAATAAAAAATAAAGTTGGTGACCTATGATTTTTATGTCACCACCACAAGTTGACAAGTGGTGACATATTGTTATAGTCTCCAATATTTTTTATTTGTGGAAGGCAGTTGGTGTTTGACATGTGTTACAAATGGCAGGTGGCGATTTTGTTATTTTCTTTAAATTAACTTAAATTATTTAACTTTCCAGTGTGCAAAAATTAAAAATCCTGTCATTCAGTTTTCACCCTATGCAGACAGAGCCTGTGGGAAATATTGGGTGCGGAGCAAATGAGCGGAGGGTGCAGAGCTAACGGTCATTTTTGAATTTAAATTTGGGATATTTCTGAAATTAATCCGTTTTGGGACTTCAAATATACCAAGATATGTGAATTTGACACCAAATATCAATACAATTGTGAAAATAGTAGCGCAATTCATTCTATAGCGACGCAGTGTGCCTTAAACCTTTCCCAGACCTATATATTTTGAAATTATCCTTTAAATACTGAGTCCCCAGCATTCATAAAAAATGGTGTTCAAGGTACACTATCTATACAATTTATCCGTGACACCAACATTTTTGTTTGATTATGAAGCATAATTATGTCCTGGTCATTTTAATATGAATGAACTAGTGATCATAAAGTTATTTAAGGCATCCCGTAAATGGATCTTTGAGGTCTCTGTTTTTCTGTTGTGTCTCAAGGTCTTCAGATCAATGTTGCATAAAAGCATGAGCCAATAACGAAATTCTATATTTTAACAATCCTTAGATTGTATAACATGATGGTCACCTATTCATTTAAAGTGTGATAAAAATGTTGAAAACATATATGAACTAGGGCCAAACAAACAAAACAATCGTAATACTTTTCACTTTTCATGCTCTTGAATCTGCAACCAAAATAAAACTACACATGTCCAACATAACTGATTTAGCATGTTTTAGTTTAAAATGATTTATTTCTTTACTCCTACAGTTCTGGTATGACACAGTCATAAATAAATACACTTTTAGACAATGAGATATTTTTTTTATATAATTCTCCAAAGGCAGAGCTACACTCCTCCACTGGTTTCTTGTGGTTCTCTGAGCCATGCATTTGGAGATTATTGCTTAATAATATACAATGTACATTTTTTCTCTGTGCATGTTTACAGCTTATTTTCATCTCAATTAAGTACTGTAATCAATAAACTGTTCAATCCAAATTCAGCAAAATTTATTTATTTTCAGAAATGCATATAGGGTACTCAGAACCGAATCATGATCTTTATATTTACGACCAACTTGATATAATCAAACATAATATAAAACAAAATTGCACTTGGAACTCGCTGCTCGCTGTGAATGCTTTCTAAAATTACCCCCCATGAACACTTCTGTCTGCCCAGCAGAACAAGACAAAACACAATATTTGGAGTAATTATTGATGGATATCGATCACAAAGTCAAGAATCAAGCCCCGGACACTCATTCTCTCTTAAATGAATTTATGCTGGTGGGAAAGTACAATATTTGTAGATATCTGAGTTTGATGCAAGAGTTGGAAAGTCCAAAGAGAATTACCAACCATTAGACACATTGACACCAAGATTTGGTTTATTTTCTTAATTTTCTGCCTTATCAAATCACTTCCAGTGGATTTCATCCTATTCTGCAAATTTGATCTCACTTTCAACAAGTTCCTTGTATTTATCTATGCCACCTTCTAGGGCTGTCACTGTCTTATTAGCACAAACCCAAAGTTCTGTACATATCATTCTGATCAGACGCTCGTCGTGAGATACTAGGATGACGCCTCCCTGCAAAGTAGAAACATGGGCTTATTAACATGTAAAATCTGCCATCTGTTACAGACGTCAACCACTGAACATCAACAGCAGAATGTCGTACACTGTCCACAAAAAGGTTGGAGATAATAGCAATATGTCACCACTTGTGGTGGTGATATAATAACACATATAATAGGATTGAGGAATATCATTTTTATGAATGAGCATGTCTAGATTACATGTCCCAGTTAGTTTTGCTGGATCTGAGAATACCCATTGGAGCCACAAAGGCAAAATCAAGAAAGTATGTACTACAATGTACATGTATCAATTTTTAGACATCACTGACATCCACTGACCTTGAACTTGTTGAGGGCATGCCCTAATGCCTCCACTGTTTCTATATCCAAGTGATTGGTAGGTTCATCAAGTATCAGGAAATTGGGACTAAAATTACATAATCAATAAATTATGCCAGTTTCATTTTACAATACAGTATCCATACAAGATAAATGATCTAGCATCGATCAGTTCAGTTCAATCTCATAATCCACTCATAGCTTCAAGTACATACAATTAGAGTGTTGCGAATTCATTAAAACTCAGCTGGTGTTCAGTGCTGGTTATGTCAATGAATCAAAGAATAAACTCCGCTCACCTTCCAAAACACATGACTGCAAATGCAACACGACTTTTCTGTCCTCCAGACAGACTGATAACTGGACGCAAAGCTAGTTCCCCAGAGACACCAAATGCTCCCAGTGCACCGCGATAAATCTCTACATGATGACCTGAATTGCACAAAATACATGCATGTATGTCAGTAGTTTTATGTATACCAGTAGGTATTTGTAATAGTATATCCAATAATTTTATTTGAAAATCTACATATAATTTTGTGAAACAAAAAATAACGATGTATTCATGTCATCTGCAATTTTAAATAATTTCTTTTTTAAATTTGGCATCTGTTGATGTCAAACAGTCCTAAATGACTGACAGTCCAGTTTTTTAAGTTTCAAACGATTTACCAGGACAGAACAAGAAACAATGTAGCTCCTAAATGGCAGTTGCTTATCATTAACATACAGCTCAGGTGAGTCCTTTGATATCCCAATCGTCAGAGTATATGACAGGTTTGCCAGTAGTGGTTCTTAATGTGTACTCAGACCATCCATGAGGCATAAATCGGTTATTGTTTAGTTACCTGGCAACTGTTTCTGTATTACTTCAACAGAATTTGAGTTCATGTCCAGCTGGTCTACGTGATGCTGACTGAAGTATCCCAGCTTTATATTCCTATGTCTATGCAAGAATCCTTTGGTTGGCTCCAGTGCACCTAGTAGGAGCTTCAGTAAGGTGGTCTTACCAGCACCATTCTCTCCCACCTGGAAATTATGCATGTATACAATACAATGGGAAGTGTAAAGATCAGGGTTGAGGTAAGGGCTGGGCCACTGGTTATTGCCAGGTTACACCTGGAAATTATGCATGTATACAATACAATGGGAAGTGTAAAGATCAGGGTTGAGGTAAGGGCTGGGCCACTGGTTATTGCCAGGTTACTTTTGAAACTGGTCAGTCGATTATTTCAGCAGGTATTGGAGAATACTATGGCTATCAGCTCAACCCCTGGTGAAGATGCATTTAAACCATCCGACTCACAGGAAAATCCAGATTTTACCCACTGACTGAGAGGGCATAATAAAGCAATACACACATATGAGATATCATTGGAGATGTTAACTCATACTATTACTTTAATTTTTGATAAATCACAATTGTAAGAATTCATGAGAAATAGGAGAAAATTTTTAAATTCTTAGATGTGATATATCTGATTGTGCTACTGTAATTGGATGAACTATGAGGAGGATTTTCTGGAAAATTATTCCCAGACAAAGGAAAGCATTTATCTAGTGTTAGTTTCACATACCATTTATTTATATCACTATTTCACAAAAATATATACATGAGAACTTACAATACATATTCTTGAATCCATGGAGGCAGCTACATCCATCTTTTCAAATATGGGTTTTGCAGGATCATAGTGGAAGGAGGCCTCATCCAATTGGAGGACAGTCCCATTTAGTTTATCAACTTCAGGGAATCTGTAAAAAGGGAGAGTTTACAGGAGTTTGCTCCTAAGTAGAATTACAGTTAGATCTGTATAAGAGGAGCGCCTTTGGTACCTCTAAAAAGTGTTCCACTCGAGAGGGGTTCCACTTATAGATGTTCATTGAACATTAATTCAGTTGTCCACTTCTTGATCTGTTCCACTTTACAAGTTTCACTTTCTTCACTCTATCAGATTAGTTTTTTTACTTAACATGTCTAAAGTCAATGTTCCAACTGAATCCAGATAAAACTATGGTGGTTTTGAGAAGATACTTGGTGTGAAAGTTATTTCTTCAAATATTGCTTTTTTATCAGCATAATTTCTCATACAAGTGTTCACATTTTCTCATACTGGTGGATGTTCGCATTAAGTGGATTCTTATACAATGGCACAAAAGGCAATAGGACTTCCAAAATATGAGACCACTTTTCTATCATTTTAAAATGCTTTCTTATGTAAGTTTTGTTTAAGGATTTAAGCCTTTGACTCAGTGCAATGTGGAATGACCATTTCTTGAAGGTGTTGCTTTCCAAAATTTGCACGAGATGCTTCGCATTGAGTGTTAATTTTAGGAAACAACACCTGAAAGGAATGGTCATTCCACAATGTATTGAATCTTGGGCTTAAATTCTTTTCATACATTGCAAAATATGTTCTTCCATGCAACTTAAAAGATATAAAATTACAAAAAAAACATATTTTCGATGAAACTTTTTGCAAGGGTCAAATTGGCAACTCAGTGAGTCATGCTCCCTCACCATGACGACGACATAAAACAAATGCGTTATTGATTATTTCACACACTACTGATATGAAAAATACTCTGTTCGGAATGGCTGGAATCAGACACACCTTACCTTACCTATGTGTGAATGTACTTTTATTATCTTGATAACATGTATTTAAAAATATTTATTTGGTGGAAATGATTTGTATTCAAGAAAAATACTTACTTAAGCACAACTTCTGAGATTTTTTCAACTGGTTTCAGCTCCGGTCTGGAAAATAACAAAACTGGATTAAACCAACCAGATATACTTGTCAAAAAAGTAGATGCAAATGTTATCACAAATCTAATTTTTACGAATGATGTAACATTATGAAAATTACACAAAGTCCATTTTAACAATTTTTGGTAATTAGTAAAAATAAAAATCACTAAATTTTAACTGACATGCGTAAACATGTACTGTACGAGTATATGGTACAATATGGTATAAATGCTATGTGGCATAGGATGAAGACTTACAATTTTGCTAATAGCTTGATTTTACTTTGGACTGTTGAGGCTCGGTTGGCATTGTATCTAAACCTATCTATGAATACCTGAAAATATTGAAAGAATAATTAATGTTTCAACTTACAATTTAGCAAGTAACTTCAGTTTGCTTTGTACCAGTGGGGCTCTTTTGGCATTGTATCTAAACCTATCAATAAACGTCTGAAAGCAAAGAGGTTTATTTGGGTTGATGACAGTCTGATGTTCACTTTTTGTATAGAAAGAGATTTTTTGAAAAAAGTAAATTTTTTAATTCACACTCTGAAATTATGGTACCATACAGTACAGTAAGAGTATGGTACCATTCCAGTGTGGTGCCATACTGTCTTAGTCTACGATTCCATATGGAACCATATTTTACAGTACCATACATTTGCAATTCAACTATGTGTTTCCCACAACATAAAAACCAGATACAATGAATGTGTAGGTTAGATATACTATATGCTGAACTGACTGGAGTTCAGCCTGACTTAGAAATGATGTTATAATATGGATCCAACCACAATTATGTCACAGATTTGAGCAGTGCAGTTGGCCACAAGAAAGCATTCATAGCTGCTTAACAATGAATAGTAAATATGTTGATCTGATTGTTTGACAGTCCCTGCATTCAGCTATGGTTGAATCAATAGTACTATTCATACATTCTTCAGTCAAATACATACCTGTATATGATCTCTATACATTTTTTGTGACTCATATTCTTTTTGTTGATTTTTAAGTTTCTCATTCCTAGTCTGAACAAACATGTTATAATCTCCTTTATAGTGATCTATTTGCCGCGAGTGCATGTAGAAAATGTCTGTCACAACAGAGTTGAGGAACTGCTGGTCGTGAGACACTAACAATAGTGTGGTAGGCCATGTCTGAAAACAATGAAATTATTCATATTTAGATGACAAAATATCTCAAAAAAGACAAAAGTATTGTTTTTAACTATGCATCTCCAATCCCCTTGGTCACTATATGGAGTAAACAAGGCATTATGTCACCACCTGCCATTTGCTACATATGCCAAACCATAACTGTCAAATACCAACCACTGAACATTGTCCACCAAAAAGTTGGAAGATCATTATAATATGTCACCCATAGAAAAAGTTCTCTTGAATTAGCGCTACTACTTAAAAGCATTGAAATCAGAGACACATGATAAATGAACACACATCACAAGGATTTTGATTCCACGATAATGTGACGATTATATGGTAACTGAAAGTCAAAACTGGCCTTAAGCTCTTACCTGTAAGTAACTTTCAAGCCATATAATGGCCTTCATGTCCAACATGTTAGTGGGTTCATCAAGTAGAAGCAGATCTGGTCTAGAAGAGAGAAGATGGGGATTCATATTATAACTACACATTTAAAATTGCAAACAATCTTACAGAGACATTTTTTAATGACTTAGGCAGATAATTCTAGCCTTTAACTCCTTCTTTGGTCCGAGAAGATCAAAGAAAGGTCAATTCTGATATCAATTCAATTTCTAGCAATTTCAAAATTGGCCTTCTAAAGTTCTGAAATTTGACATTTTTTATTAACATTACTTATACTGAACAACAATAGAAGTATATATCGTAAAAGTCAGATACAGTAATATAAAAGCCATTGTTAGAATGATAACATATGGAGATTGAAGTTTATAAGTATGGAATAAATGCTCACTTACTTTTTAAATAAAGCTCTGGCCAATGCCAATCTCATTCTCCAACCTCCCGAAAATTCTCTGAAGAATAAGAAATTTTAAGATGCAAATAAGAGATTGTGCCATGATCTTATTTAGTGATTATTATAAAATGCTCGAAATGGGACAGATGCAGACCCATCTATTACTTGTAAAATCATTTCATTGCTTTTAATTTCTTAGCTATTATCAGTGAGTAGAAATAGCATGATTCAAAGGGCTAACATGGTGATTCCTTTTACTTATTTTTAAAAAGTAGGTCAAGTTGCAAAAGTAGGTCAAATGATAAATATAACCATATTATACAATGGAGGATTGAATATGATCAAAAGAATCACCTTACCTCATCACGAAATCATTGAGTGAATTACATTGCAAACTATTGGATAACAGATTAAGAAATCCAGCTAAAGAGTGATTAGAAAAAAATAAACTATAAAACCCGGGAAACTGAAACAGACCCTAAACAAAATCAATATCAATTAAACATATTATCCAGTTTGGGAACTTAATAAATCATACAGACTTGTATTTTGTGAAAAAATGTGATATTTTGTCAACAAGAAAGTTGATTTCTTCAAGTCAAGACAAATAAACACTTAGGGCCAACATATTGTATTATATAGCCAATGCTTACTTTGTTGTTCTCTGCTGGTCTTGGTCGCTGAAGCCTAAACCAATGAGTATAACAGCAGCTCTTCCTGGGGCCTTGTCAGCTTCAATATCTTCCATCTCTTGGTAAATCTCTGCTAGTCTGCCACTCAGTTTACTATCTGATCGAGCCCTGTAATAACAAACATAAATGCAAAACCATCACTTTCAGGCTCTATGTTTTCTAGGGACTCTTCTTCAAGCCAATTTCTTTTTCACTAACATCAAACTTAGGATTCTTTATCTTTAATGTGTTAACAAAAATGTGTTGATTTAAAAAAAGAATATTTAGCTCCTGGTTGGTAAAACATTAATTTCGTGTTTATTTGGGGGCTTTTGGCAATGTATTTCTAAAATCTATATCCTAGTTGAAAGCCCATGCTATATCTGATCTATTCAGGAAAAATATTGAACCATTCAGACTGATTGATTATCTCTCTTTAAAGTCCCCGTCTAAAGTTTGAAAATATTTCTTTATCATTCATTTACTATTTGTCAGGACTTAAAAAGTAGTTTTAGAGATTTTTGAACAAAAAAAGATTTTTGATAAAAAAGTTGTGAGCATTTCATTTCTCAAACATTCAAATTTCCCGCCATTTTTCCAAAAAAGTTGAAATTTCTTAATCATCAAATATTTCTTAATGCATTTCAAAAAGGATTATCTTTTTAACACCAATGCAAAGATTGAACAAAGGACACACTATTTCAATAATAAAATGCCATATTCAATGGGCCACTTCAATGTTTTAACATATCAAAAATATTTTGAAACATTAGTGATGTCACTAAGGTACCAAAAACTTTTTGAAAAAAATTGAAATTCTTTTTTCGATGTCAATTTTTTCTAAATATGTTAGACTTTCATAAAAAACTAATGTTGGTTGTCTAACCAGGTTAAAAGGAAGAATAAATTATGTTTTAGATATCATTGTACCATTGGTTTCTATGAGAACTAAAATTTTGAAATGCATTTTTCTCAGAACCATTTTCATGCACTGATAAGTTCATTTCTCGCTTATTTATGAGCCGATTTTCTTAATTTTTTCGGCAAAAAACATGGGAGGATGAATGCTATGCATTGGTATGAATTGTGGCTAATTAGAAGATATGAGTGACCTCTAAAAGTTGGTTTTAAATAAATTCACAAATTTTGGAACAAAAAGTCTATCAAAAACCACATTTTGAAATTAAAAAAAAAAATTCACATATCACACTTTGATAACATTTGGTAAGACTACAATATAAGCCAAAGTGGTTTAAACTTTATATGGGGCCTTTAACAAAACTTGACATTTCACAAAATGTACCTTTTAGAGCCAGCTGCATTCAGAGTTGCATTGATTTCTTTCTCTTCTTTGATGAGAGCTTCTCTGTGTTCATCAGCTTCTAGAACACTCTGTATGGCTAGCGTGTCATCTCCAACTACCTCTTGCTCAACATGTAGTATACTTATACACGCCGGAATCTTTAATATGCCACTAAACAGACATGATGAATATTGTTAACTTATCTTGTATCAAGAGACTTGGAGATGCCCATTTCCTTTAGCACAAACAAACTAGGTCATCACTGATTCATTGAGACTAGATAGTTGCTGTAGTATGTTTTGGAACGCTATTTTTTCTGTATGCACTGAATGAAATAAGTTCTTCTGCTAAAGGTTTTTGTGATGTCTGACCATTATGTAGTCTGTAGATTATCAGCTGCCTTTCGTTTTTGCCAAAAATCAAGTGGAAGATTAATCTTCAAAAATATCTTTTTGATATTGATTATGTTTATTCATTTTCAAATTTTGAAATATTTTTGTATACCAAAAGGTGAAATCATTATTTGTACTAACCTTGAGATCATGTGAAGAAGAGTGGTTTTTCCCACACCATTCCTGCCCACCAACCCGTAGCGCCTGCCAAAGGCACAAAGTATAGAAGCATTTTGGAGTAATATCCTGAAAAAGAACATAACATTTTAATGATGTCACCAATCATAACTCTTGGTCTATTTTTAAAAAAACAGTATCTATGAGATGATTGCTCAATTATCAAAACATTCTTTTTGTATAAAGCATAATTTTATACTGGAATTTACACTTTACAGGGCTTTCTCCAAAAATAGTCAAAAAGGGAACAATTTTACTTTGCACTTACCTTTCACCAAATGAGACATCAAAGTTGTCTATTCTTATGTCTGAGACTTTAACACTTGGGTCATTGTTTTCATAGTCATCTTTCCTGCTCTCCTGTTGACTAGCAGTCGCCATACTGCAATTCAACGTTACACATTACCTTGGCATTCTGTTCTAAATCTATTGATATCACAATCTAGTGATGTCAATATAGTTGAATACTGCCTGATATTCCAGGATGAATATTCTTTAGATGGTCACATGACTTAACTGGTCATCAGTACCTTTTCATTTTTTGCTGGCAGATATTTTTCACTTTCATATCATATGACCAAATATAAGCCAATGAGCAACAATAATACTTATGGGATATACAATAAAAAAAAAATTGTGAGTTGAAGACTGAATCAATGAATAAAACTGGCATTTACATGCCTTCTTTAACACAACATGCAGAGTAAATTAAATTCAAACCCTTTCTCTGCTGGTTTAGCTCTAAATTTGCTGTCATCTGCAGCACGCTTGTCCTGTTTTTGTTTGATTTTCTCCTCAGCCTTTCCTAACTTTTTTTTGTCAACAGTCTGAAATTTCAAAACATATTGTTGAATGTAAACAGTTTTTTCAAAAGCTAATATTATCCAGTTTAAATATATTGATGAATACTCTGTCCTATATCTAAACAGTATTTAACTTTGATTGAAATAATTGGAAATAGAAAAATACATGTATGTACAAATAATTCCCAAAAACATTCAAGAATTCCTTAATATCTGTTTTAGCCCCTATTCAAACTATTTTAATTTTTTAAAGGTTCATTATACAGTTTTTCATAGATGACTAAACTTGATAAAGGGTTATAAATATGTTTTTAAAAACCTGTAATTAATATATATGCCATTAAAAGTACCGAGGAAGTATCCTTTTTAGCAATCCATATGCTATGATCATCTCCTGTACCATTCCCTGCATCAGTTAAACTTCCCATCTGCATTGGGGCATCTAGGATCCGTACTGGACCTTTACTGGCCTTTTTATCACTGAAAAACAACAGAATTGTTAACTAACCTTTTCCATGCATTATAATCCTGTTTACAAAGTTAATAACCTTTTTACTTTGGCTGAACAAAGAACTGAATTAAGATTACTGAGAGCCATTGTTTTAGTTGATACGGATGCATTTCTCACCAGAAATTACCTTTAAAGGCCCTGTGTAATGTTGAAAATAAGTTCATTTACTATTTTCATGCCTTTAAAAGTTGTTTTAGAGATGTTGGGCAAGACTACTTAATATATTCTGTATAAGCCAAGGTGGTTTAAACTTTATATGGGGCCTTTAAACAAAGCAACCAAAACAGGAAAAATATATGAGAGGAAACATATGATGATGTTATTGATGCATTTAGTTATTTGAAAGTTTGTGAGCCAGTTTGTAATATTTTAATGTGCTCACTCTTTCATCATGTTGAAGAGCTCCTTGCAGAGTTTCTCAATGTCATCATCTGGCTTATCATCCAAGCCTTGGAGCACCTCCCCAACAGCCTCGTAGACATCATCTGATGATGAAAATTCATCACTGCCTTCAGAGAGGATACCTGAATTAACAGATTGAACGAAAGTAAGAATTTTATACAAAGCTATTATTTGTCAAAATGTTTTTCAACAAATAATAAAAGTGGAAAAATGAAATTGCCTTTAACAAAAATAGCGCCCAAAATAAGGAAAATGAACACTTCTTAGTAAAAAATTCTAAAGCTCGCTTGTTTTGGGGGTTTACTTTAGTGACATTTCTAAGAAATTTCAAAATATTGTTCATGGTCCTTTCCCACAGTATTCTTTTTCTCCATTTATCTGTCATATCTTCAGAGGACTAAAATTCCTATTTCAATATGTTCAGTGTTTCTTTCCCTATTACCATAGTGAGCTTAGTCAAATCAAAATAAATGATAGATGGAACCAACAAAATTGAAGCAAAGATAAACTGAAAGGCATAAATTTTGATGGACTAACACTGAAAAATATACTGAAAAACATGCGCTTCCTGTTTCAGACATCTTTAGAACTTCATCTTCACCTTAAAAAGCAAAACTGCAATAACCTTGGTATATGTCAATGGTTGTCCTAGACAAATTTATTTAAACTTTTCTTTCAGGTTCCCAAAGGACATTGAAGTGGTACTTTTAAAATCTACATTTCCTTTTTCTAAAACAGCACTACTGATAAATATACAAGACATGTCCATTGTCCATATTATATCTAATATATAAATCGATACTTTATTGCTGTTATAATCTATCAATTAACTTATGACGTACAATACAACTTTAGTTGCTTGTTTTTATTGCCTGAGTGACTGACAGAATGTTGATGTTTGTTTTGCCGGTTGGTTTCTTGGTAGATTACTACTTTTTGCAAGGCCTGACTTCGTCGCTAACATGCTAAATATAAGAGTTAGCTGACGTTTGGGAGTCTGACTTACCTTCTAAAGGTTAGAACCCGAATCTTAATGAAACCATATCACCTTTGTTGCGTCGATGATGATGCATAAACATAGCATTTGATAGAAATTAGTGTAAATGCTTTTCCGACTTTTTCATTTTTCATCAATGTTGACTTTCGGGAAGGCGTTGTAGTTATCACGAAATAACGCATTGACCCTTGAACTTTACTTTGTTGACGTGTCAACCAAGCATGTCTGGTGTGAAAATTAAAAGAATATTAAGCAATGTTCTACATCCGCCAAGCTAAGTGAAGTAGCCAATATAAAATTACCAATTTCGAGTGAAGTACGCAACGAACGAAACTGCGTGATCTACAGTCCCACTATTTGTCTGAACGAAATGCTACGTAGAAATATGAACCGTCTGCTGTATTAGTCCATTAATAGAGTAAGACCTGTTGGTGATGCTTTATAATTTAGACCAAAACATTGAAGAACATACGAACCTGTAAATCGTGAAAACAACGAACAAATATTCGGTTTTCATATATGTTCAGTAATTTTTCGTATTGAAACTTCCGGAACTTACAAGGAAATCATTCATTTTCTCGGTCCATGATTTACCTCTTGGATGTTGTGGCAAATGCTCCATGGTTGACGGAACAAAGGTGATATGGTTTCATTAAGATTCGGGTTCTAACCTTTAGAAGGTAAGTCAGACTCCCAAACGTCAGCTAACTCTTATATTTAGCATGTTAGCGACGAAGTCAGGCCTTGCAAAAAGTAGTAGTTGGTTGCTTGGTCGGTTGTTTGCTTGATTGTATGACTTATACGTTGAGTAGGTCAGTTCAGCTTTTTTGAGGGGAAAAAATCAAATTACTAACCCTGGTAGGAACGTAAGGTACCCAGTTTTTTACACAAACCCCATTGAGAGTCACGTTTTTGGGGCATAAATTGGAATTCAAAAAGTACATAGGAAATCTCTAGAATACCAGAAAAAGAATGGTTAATATAATTCTGCCACCTTTATATAGGCCAAAAACCTCTGGTAATTGCTAAGTATTGTGCAATGAATGAATGAATGAAAATTTTTCTGATCTCAATGATGAAGTCAATTTTTGTATCAATAAAAACTTTTATATTTATAGATTTAGTTGAAAATTTAAAGATACAACATATTACTAAAGTATAACTCTACACATATACAATACTTACCAGTAACATAATCCAAGTATTCACTGTCTATTTCGGGAAAATGACTGGAAATAATTTCTGAAAACATGTTGGATGAAATCACTTCCGGTCGACAACCAGCAACAATTTTAGTAGCACTTACGTAATACATCAGTCAATAATTTCAACAAACTAATTTCTGATCAGATGTATTTATTAAAATATTTGTATAATTTTACATGAAGATATAATTCATATTGTGCTATATCAGTCGATTTTTCAGTCTAAAGATAGTTACCAAAATGTACATCTCGTAGAAACCTAATCAGAATTTCAAAATGGCTACCCATACAGCCGGAGATCCGTTGGAATGTTATAGTGTAAGTAATTTAATATCATGAATATCATATATATACCGCTATATTTCAAAAGATAAAGTATTTATCTACAAACAGGAGTCAAATTTGTACAGTTTAAAGTTATTAGATAGATAGGATTTATTGGCAAAATAAATCCTGTCAAATTTAAAATCAAAAGCTTTGGCATTTCCGGGTTTGGAAAAGATGATGTTTTTATTTATCCTTCCCATAAATGTGGGGTTGATGTTTCAAGTCACCCCATAGATCCCGGCCAGATTTTTTTGTAGTAAGATCAGTAGCTCAATAAATATTCCTCAAGATGAGACACCTCAGAAAATTTCAAATTTTAAAATGGGCCATTCCATTTAAAAAATGTACGTGGGGTATGGATGCAAAATTCTGGGGGGGGGGGGGGTGTTGACCGAAAAATTCTGGGGGGGGGGGGGTAGGAGACCAAAAAATTCTGGGGGGGGGGGTGTTGACCGAAAAATTCTGGGGGGGGGTAGGAGACCAAAATATTCTGGGGGGGGGGTGTTGACCGAAAAATTCTGGGGGGGGGGGTAGGAGACCGAAAAAATTCTGGGGGGGGTATTGACCATGGAATATTCTGGGGGGGGGGTATTTGCAAAGGCATTATGAAGGGGGGGGGGGGTTAATAATAGGGGGTGGTGGTGGTAGTCTGTGGGGGAGTATTCTATAGGGGTATAAGGGTGGAGTGTCTTTCAGTCTTTTAAAAGGCGGTAATAAGTCAGTTAATGTACATGTATTTCTTGAGTATTTTGTGTATGGACTTGTCTCACACCAAATCTCGGTCATGTTTATTATTTCGAAATTTAATCCCAGCCAACAGAACAAAGTATGCTACAGCTAGCTGTATACAGGTTTTTCTGACTTTCATATTTGCAATGTATTTGTGATCCTATATAATGCTTAATGCTAAGATAAGGAAAACTTTGGTATGCTCTTGTTAAGGGTATAACTTTCTCTACAGTGTCATGGCTTTCATAGAACTCCTCTTCCTTTCTGGAACAGTAAAACATGATTTCCCCAAAAACATGAAGAATCATTAAAATTAACAAATATGACATTTTTCTCTGAAACAGTTACTGCATATTATTTAAACATTTTTAAATTCAGACAATGAGAATTAGAATATCTTCATTCTCAAGTGAGATCAGTACATTTTCTAATTTATATCATACATCCTATATACTGGGGATCCTCTTGATTACACTGGTTAGCGAAAAGGTTTGTCGGAACGTCGAAGGTACGATTTTTCTTTTTCCTTATTTCACGCGTTGTAGGCAGATTCCCCACGACATTCTTTCTCACAAACGTGTATCAGTATCATATGTTTTTGAAAATGTACATGTTTGCGAAAAAATAGCTTAGAGGACAACAGAATCGTTACCCTTTGCATTTGTTTGACTTCACTTCTTAAAAGAGAGCTTCGTCTTCACTCTTTTGTAAGCAGGATCAGTAGCTCAATAAATATTCCTCAAGATGAGACACCTCAGAAAATTTCAAATTTTAAAATGACAATTATGGAGCCATTTCTGAAAAATATGAGACAAATCATACCTCATTCGAAGCATCTTGTTATTCTTTAACTTTTTTTATCACCAATGACCGTTATTCAAGCAAGTCTGCGTTGATAAGAGGCCAAAACAGTGATACTTTATCGCCGGACTCTTGTCTGTCCAAATCTGAATGGTGCTCCCGTGGTTCCAGAAATGTGACGTCATCAGTACAATGATATTTGGACACACAAGAGTCCGGATCTCGTGAAAAATATTCGCCGTATTAAAAGTCAGATAACTGCATCCATAGGTTATTTACTCGAACCAAACAAGTAGAAATAGAAAGATGAAGATCTCAGCTATAAAATGAGTGCAAAATCTGTCATGGGGAAGCAGGTACCATTTTGTATAAGAAACATTTTTAAAAGGTGGTCATATTTTTTTGAAATTTTCCAATTTATAGTCGTATCTTGTGAATTATTCTTTGAGCCTATGAGATCCTACTACAAATTAATCTGGCCAATATCTGTGAGTCACCCCACAAATACTTGTGTATTGAAATCTTGCTGTTGAAAATAAGCTGGATTGGTGGTTATTTAGATAGAATTCAGCTTTGTGTCAAATTCTCGCAACGTTTTATGCATAGGGGCACGGTTATGGGAAGTCCTCCATATATTACTATTATATTATTTCTCAGGTTACGCAGCTTCCATCCAAAATAAAAAATATGTATTTTTAAAATAAATTATTTGTCTAGTTTTCGTTAAACAAATATCCTGAGACACATAGGGCCTGTAGAAAACACTAAACAGAAAAATAAAAAAAATATTCATACCTCCAAATCTGCTTTATTGGTCAGATAATGCACCAAATCATAATGGTTGTTCAAAATAAAAATTTAAGGGGACGGAGCGCCGGATCTCGCGAGAATAAAGCAAATCACGCAAAGGCGCGCATGCGCACAACGGTACCCGGAAACATGGCTCAGTTTGTGAATTTACCACGGGAAAATGTCAAGGATTTAGTTGCTGCTGGTCATAATGTTTGCATTGTAGGTCAAGCAGGAACTGCTAAGACAACTCTTCTTCGAGAATTACTTTATGATGCCAAAAATGCCGGAAAAAAGGTAGAAAACGCAATAGTGTTCCCAAAAATTTTCGCTGGGTTTTTATGACACATGCGCAGTAGAAATTGTCAATTTACTGAGCGGAACTTTCAATGGCCTGGAGAAATTTTACTCACGAGAATTGATGATTACTGAACACATATAGGCATAAGAGGTGAGCGACCCAGTTATTTTTGCGTATAAATGTTTCAAGAATAGCATGATATCAAATAATCTGTACATTATGCTACGATTCATTCAAAAATTGAATCTAGAGGACAGGTGACCATATTTTTTTAATTTTAAGTAACATTACCTGGTGTATATACCTCCTAGATGGAGGACTTCCCACTATCAGTGCAAGGGGTTATCATTAGCATAACAGAAGCCCCCAATGTTATTTATAGGTTACACTACAAGTGCGGATAGATGTTTGAAATAAGAAGAATAGGGTAAATTAAAGAATTATTTTTGACTTGTTTTGTTTACATGATTCTCCTGGCACACCCTAAAATATGTCTAGTTGAAAGCCCATGTATGAACTTAACACTTTAGGAAAAATATAATTTTTTTCTCACCTCAAACTGGCTTAATCGGTCAAATAATGAACCAAATTGGAAACAATGTTTTTTAAACTTGCTCCAGTTTTTTCTGATTCAAGATGCCAAACCTAGAGTAACCAGTATATATATATGGAGAACTTCCCATTATGGGGCTCCCCAAGGGGTATGTGATAAGGTGACCTGGCCTCTAAAAATGTGACTAAATGGAACTTTGGGGTACTTAAAAATGAACAAATGTGACAAATCAATCCTTAATCCTTGCAAGTGACAATTTTGCATATTTATCGGACTGACAAGTGTTTTGAGAGTGACAAAAATAGATAATTCGTTCTGAATGAAAATTGATGCTAGTTAAGATGACTTATTCTAACCAGTAATCAAACAATGTAACATAGCAGACTATTTAGTGCATTAAATACTTTGACTGACTAAAAAGGAATGAATCTGACAAAATATGACAAGTAAATTTTAAATGTGACAAAGTGAGAATTTTGAAATCTTAAAAGTGACAAAAGCGACCCCACTACTCCCTCTTGGGGAGCCCTCATTATCTGTGGTATAAAGACCAGGCATTGCTTTGCTAAGTGAAACAATTGAAATACCCTTGAACCAAGCATGATTTTTACATATCTATGGCCCATTTGGAAGTGGAATATGTGTTGTTACAATATTTATTTCATAAATTTATGTATCATGTTCTGTTCTTCTAACCAATCAGTGAGCTGGAAGGAACACATGCTAAATGCGTGCTCATAACTATGCGATAATGTCAGAGTAAATTACCATATATAGAAAATCGTCTGTATTTGGATGACGAACTCTCAATGGCTTGGAGATTTCAGAGATTTATTGTCAACTGAAAGAGTGAAGAAGCGAACTAAGTCAAACGTATGCAAAAGGTAGCTGTTGATGACACTTAACTATATCTCCAAAAGTTGTAGAGTGATTTTGTTCATCTTTGATACTCATAAGCATGGCACATTGTCTAACACTTTGCCTAATAGGTGGCCATTTTGAGAAATACCTACTTAGAAGCATGTTACAGGTGAAGTTGGAGCAGGTGAAACCTTTTGAATCAAGATAGGCTTAAGACAGTAAAGCTAAAAAATTTTCAACCTCCAGTCAAACCAAAAAAGCATCTTTAGTTTTGTAGTCAAGATAAAAATATGATCATACATTCTTCTTGTATATCCCTGATGTTATGTTTTTGTTTGTCATATTATGATGTATCAAATCTTTAAACACTTCAGATTGTTCCAAGAAAAATGCTGGTGCGAAATATTTGTCAACTTGTACTACAGGTCTATTTGATAATTTTTTCCCATCAAACCATGTAGCAGTCCTAACTAAATTAGAAATATAAGTGAGGTTCCTCTTTTCTGGATAATCACCCCATCTTGGGAAATCAGCATTTATTGCTGATGTAAGTTTCACTAAGATATCTTTAGGGCTGAAACACCAGGAGCAGTGCCAACCAGCTGGGTGCATTGTGGACCCTACCACCCAAATGCCCACATCACCGTATAGCTTGCGATATCTCATGACATTATTAAGGTTTTTAGATGACGACAGTTCTCTGGCAGCTGCTCGTATATTGTTTGACTTATTCTCCAAGAGCCTCCTCAGCATATTCAATGAACAAGCAGATGTAACTACTGTGTTGACCTTATTTTTCCAATAAAATGTATATGTTGACCATCTCAGTGAAAATGACATTGGTTCTGGATAGCCGTCATAAAGTTTTAGAAATATTACTACTTCCTTTGAGACCAATTCATCAGCATCAGAAAATAGGAACAAGTCATCTGGTCTTGTTTGGTTCAGTCTAGGAAGTCCCAAAATAGAGGCAGAATTCTTAATATGATTTTCTGCAGCCCAACCGTCTATTCTCCCTGAGGGAGAAAATGTATCTAAGAAAATATATAATAACTTTGGAATATATTTTGCAAGGTATCCATTCTTAAGTTTCTCTAGGAGTCTCAATGGTTTGGGATCACCATGCGAGGAATAATTTGATTCGACAACTAAGAACACATCAACATGTTTGTAGTGCTCATGTAGTCGTGCCTCAAGCTGATCAAACTCATGATTAAATGTAAAAGCCATTACCACTCGCCTTGGCTTCAGCCGGCGTCTCAGTTTTGATTTCAGTGTTGAGTATGAGGGTGCATCCGCCACTGCTTTTGGTATTCCACAATCATTTCCACTATAGTCATTTCTGCATACACAAGTTTTATCTTCAATGCTTATCTTGGTGGTGCCTTCTGTGTAACATATAGCATCACCAATGGTGTTAAAATAAAGATTCACACTGTCTTCAAGTTGCAAAGTTCGGTAAATAAAATCTTGATTAATCCGCGGATATACGACAGCAGGTTTTTGATATGATGAGCCGCTTAAGTCATGTGTATATCTGTTACTATCGATGTTGTGAATTTGTTTTCCAAACTTGTGTATTTGCAATATCATGTATAGTAATAAACATACTGCAATGTTACAAGTCAGGAAAAAGAGTCCCAATGTTTTCTTTTTCATTTTGCCCTTTTCCAAACTTATTTAATTATTCAACTTTGTGTTTCCCTTTTACGATGTCCTATTTATCCAAATTACCAGCGATATGTAATAGCATAAGCATTTTACTTCTCGAGATTGTAATAAGTCCTATCAGTTACGACTATTGGGGACATGTCTGCTGAATTAGTAATATTTGTTAATCAGCAAATATTTTTGTAATCCCGGTAATTGTTTGTAGTTGATATTTACAACCTTTTGGTTGCAATGTTAATTAGCTGCATGTACACAAGCTCAACAATTTCAGGGTTGTTACAAGCTATTCGAACATACCAAGTGTGTCTCAGCCAATCAGCTTAGAGCATTTCAGTGCGTTAATTTGTCAGTTTATGCGGATAAATGATTATTTGTCTGCATTTCATTTTGTTATAATGAACTGGTTGAGCAATATTGTTCTTGTAAACGGGTGATGCTTTATCACCAATGTTGTGATTTCAGTCAATGCAAGAGTAGGAAAAACCCCAGAACTTAAAGAGATTACACACATAATTACGTCTCTTCTTTACCACCTTCATTTGTCAGAATTTTCTCCGGCTAGTTTATGAATACAACATGTTGTCTTGATATTTTAATCGATGTTAGCATATTACTTACATCTTTTTTTATCTTGATGTAAAATAACAAGGTATGATATTAATTAACATGCCAGAAATTAATATAATATTATTCGAAGTGTGTTTAGACAATTTTGAAACTGCCATTGTTTGTCTGTCTAGGTGACCAATCAGCGAGGATGTCTTCTCAATACAGATTTATATTATAAATGTCTTCTTTGAATCCTGGAGTTATTGTCCCTCTTAGTCATCAGTCAATGTCATGATTTTCCAACTAGGTTTTTACAATTTTTCTGCAGACTTCAGCATCGAATCAATAATTTCTTTTTCCTGATTATAACATTTTGATAAATAATATATTCTAAATAGTTTTCACAGGACATCAATTGTAACTAAGCACCCCTGTTTCTAAAAAATTAACTGGTCCAGCTTATGTTTAAATTGCAATAAGAAATTCTGTTGCATTCTATATTAGAAATTCTGTATCATTGATTACTTTGTTCTATATTGTATTCTTTATTCATTAGAAAAGCAAGCTATATTTAGATGAAACTATTGCCATGCAACCATTGTTTAAGACATCAATAAAACAGAATTTCCTAAGAAATAATGAGTAGGTGCCCTTTAAAAGTACTTGAGATTTTCTATTATCATTCAGTAGACACTGTTATATCAATGTCATATTCATCAACAGGTGAAAGTTTTGATGAGTTAGTACAGACAAAATATGAACACTTTGAGAGAATTTCAATAAAAAGGACTATATATGTACTTGCCTAATGCAGTAAATATTTTAAATTGAATATGAAATATGGATGGGGCACTTTCATTCTGAATCTAATATAATTTAATTTGATCAATTTTTTTGAAACTTGTGTTAATTAAGACTTATAATTCTCGGATCAGCCTCACACATCTCATTTTCACAGTGATTGCAGCAGGCAATTATACAATCGATCCCTGGCATAACCATACATGTATTTATAGCGGTATTTAAATGAGGTGAACAGTTAATACTTAATAGGGGTGGTATGATATCCCCAGCCACTTTTCTCCATGCGGCGCACCCAGTTGGACCTAAAGGTGCGCCCAGATGATGAAATGCGCCTATTTGAAAACATCTGTCTGCCTCACAGGAATGATTCTAATTCCATTCATAACAACCAGACAATAGAGTTTATAATTGCTTAATGTTAATTTTACCAGTGTTGAATATCATGGTATAAAGCACTGAGCTTAGAATAGAATGCTCTTGCAGTAATTTTTTTACGACAAAAAGTTGCACCCAGTTTGAAAAAATCCTGGAGATATCACTGGGATGTGAAAAAACTACCCGATAATATTTGATGTTATTATTTTACAGTGGTTTAGTTATGCCCCATAAAATTAGAACCATATAGATGTTTCTAACAGTCTATCAGAAACAATATATGTATGGTGGCTACTCTATTATACTCTCTGTTAAAAAATTAAAAGCATAGAGAGTTAATTGAGACCAATAAGAAAGACAAGGTGGACTGGTTTACCATCCTTATCACAAATAAAATCTAGGAATCCCTGTGCAGATAGATTTTCGCAATCACCCTTTTTGATGCTGAATCAGTTTTTCAGTTATGGCCTAGTCACATAGCCCGGCCGATGAGGTTACGATGAGCCAGCGATGCAATTTTCACTGAACTCGGCCGAACACCGGCCGTACATCCGTGGCGTTTGTTGCTTAAAACCGCATCGGTGGTAGCTCGGTGAAATTTTAACTTCGGAGTTAAATTTCACCGGGCTCTCACCGAGCTCCCTCATCATGTCATCGCAGCACCATCGTAACCACATCGGAAAACATGTCGGCCGGTGCACGGCCGAGTATCGGCCGGTGTCCCGTGCATCTGAGACAACCAGAGGACGAGGTTTTTTAACGGACAGCGGCCGAGCTCCGACCGAGCTCCGGCCGATGTGGGACAGAGCATCGGCCGGTCACTGTTCAAAGCCCGTTAACAACCCGGCCGGCGATCGCACGGTGTCCTGTTACCTGCTCGGGTACCGGCCGTATTCCTTCCGATGTCCGGCCGACCTCCGGCCGGTAGTTGCTGCCACATCGGCAGAAAAAAACTACCATTTTGAGACAGACTCCGTACGGTCACCGGCCGATGTTCGGTCGGTCGCCTGAAGATGTCCGGACGGAGTCCGTTCACATCACCGAGCTCTACTTCCGATGAGGAGAGCTCGGTGGCACCAAAAAAATCCACCGAGCTCTACCGATGCCAGACATCGGCCGGGCTATGTGACTAGGCCATAAGACCTGGCATCATTAGTCGGAATGTTAATTTGTCAGTCAAAGGGAAAGTTCGACATCAAAGTCAATAATGATCCCATCATGACATTTTTTGAAACAATGAATTATTTGGACAAAAGCCATCCAAAAATCTACTGATATTCTCTTATTTTTGTAATGTAACCATGTACAATAAGGCTATACAATACTGATCATGTTTCTTTACATGAATCCTGTTAAAAGTGAAATACTCTTTTTCCCAATTTTATCAGCAGTAGCTGATTGAAGATACTTCAATGCAGTCAGTAGGGTATTTTTAACCCACGGATGTTTTAAGATAAAAAGCTTCTATATTTACAAACTTACACTTAACTGATTGCTGTTTGTTTTATAAATGTCTAATTTGATGATTTATGGTTCTCTCCTGTTTGGTATAATTTGATATCTTATTTTATATAGCATGCTGTTCAGTAGTCCATGCTTTCAAATAGTGATTCAGCATTTCACTATTTTAAGTGGATTTACATGTACATGAAAATACATCACAGGTTTCTTAGGATTCCTGTCATTAGGATTTTCCCTATTTTTCAAAATGACGATTGAAATCATTGATCAATATATGATGTAATTAATGACAGAATGGTTAAATTAGAGTGTCCATGTATGTATAACATGACAAGAGTAGGCTGCATTGAATGGTAAAATTTGTAATTGTTCGTTTTTTGTTTTTGTTTTTATGTACTGCATATGTGTATTTTATTCATCATACTTCTCCAACAAAAAAAGTTGAAAAATGAAAAGTTGTAAAATGATTTGATTTTTCTTATACTTGTTTATCTGCAGATCCCCCTGGTTCTACAGAAGGATCCTGCTACAGACCCAGATGGTAACACAGTGTTTGACAGGGAGGGAAAGCAACAGTTCAGATGCGGGTTCAAGATAGGTGGTGGCATTGACCAAGACCCAACTAAAAGTCCCCAAGGATACCCAGATAAGGTATAGCAAGTAAAACCTTCATGGCTTTGCTCAACAAACAAACAAACAAACAAGGAAACAAACAAAATAACAAACAAACGAACAAGTTCTATACCACCATAGTGCATGTTTTCTGTTACTGTATAAAGAGTGTGTATTTTAATCAGTGCACCCTATTTTTACACTGGTATCCACATCATATTCATCTACTGTACTTATTTTAGTATCAGGTTCCGACTCTTACTCTCTAGTGTCACTTTGTTGAATGGTGAATTTAATATCACATGGTACATGATACTACTATACTTGTAGGGTGTCTACATTACCTATATCTATGACAACAGCCCTGCTGCAAGGGCAGGTCTACAGATCCATGACAAAATATTACAGGTGAGTGTTCACATAATTCACCCTGCTTTCTAGAGGTAAGAATGGATTATTTCATGTTTGACCTTACCTTTAATTATGAGCAATAATTTATTGTAATACATGTACATTTCTCCCCTTTCCATTTTCCCAACAAAATTGATTTGATTTAAATGAAGAGACATTTTGGAGAGAGTATCTTCTCTAGTAATAACCTATCTGTACTTCATATAGTAAAGGTGCTCTGTGCTTCTCTGATCCTAAAGTACACCATTTAAAAATGCACTTATAGGCAAGGACCTTTTTATCATGCATTAGCATTTACAGAAAATGCCTTTCTGTAAGGCATGTTTTAAGTCTAAATGTTTGCCTACATCTCCATTTCCCCAACTTATTTTCCTCCAGGTAAATGGTCATGACTACACAGTAGTGACACACAAGAAAGCCATAGATTACATCCAGCGTAAATCAACATTGAACATGCTGGTGTACCGCAAGGGGGTCCCGCAGATGCAGCAGAAGGGGGGTCAGCCCCAGGGTCAGCAATCTAATCAGCAGTACCAACAACAGTACTCCCCCCAGGCTCAGTACTCACCCTACCAATCAAACCAACCAGCACAGTACCAACGTACCTATTAACCAACCACATCTCTAAATCAGAACTGATTTCAATTATTTCAAAAACAGAGGAAAGAAAGATGCAGACAATTGGGAGTTTGGCAATATAAACTAAAAGTACAATCTTGAGTTGTGTATTTGTGTCATTCTGATTAGGCTAACACACATCAAAGATATTTAAAGGTTCGGGTTCAAGAAGTCACGTTCAAATTATGCACATCTCAAGTTTTAATGAACACTTCAATTTTTACAAAGGCAACATACGCACATTTTACTGAAACAAAACCACTTAAGATCAAGTATTGAGTGTCCTTGGTGGTTTATTTAATTGTATAAGGGATTGTATCAAAAGATCCATGTTTCCAATTCTACAAAATCTCCTTCATATAATTTTAGGAAATCAATACATGTAAATGTATTGATATTTATGAATGATCAATATTTCCACCAAAACATCTTGGTGGATTTTGACCTGATCCCAAAGGCTGTTGGTTTATTAAAACATTCTCAGAGCTGTTCGAGGTTATATGGTTTGTATGCTTGAGAATTTCACTAATATGTTCATGATAAACTGTGTGTGTGTGTGGGGGGGGGTAGTCAGGTCAAAGTACATCATCTTAAGTATTCAGATGGGTGTAAAAATACTGTTTTAACATATCGATACATATCAATATTACAGGTCAGTGTGATCTCTTAACTAATTGAAAAATTCAATTTATTTTAATTGTCATTTGTGAGCATTAACATTGGCTTACAATATGCATTGATATACAAACATTGATGTATAGCCTATTACAGTTTTAACAGTGAGATTGCATGTCATATCTTGAAATTCATATAAGCTGTCAATGTCCCAGTATTTAAAAGCATTCAGTCCTCACAACATGTAGGGATTTGATTCAAATGTGTGTCAATATAAAACCTAGCTAGGAGTCTAGGACCAAAGTTGAACATTTTCAACAGTAATTTATATTTGGTCATTAGGTCAAGATGGGCTCCATGAGATTTAACACCTACATTTAAAAGAAGAGGGGGAATATCCAAGGGTTCAGAGAAGACACAAAATGTGCATCGAGAAGACATTCTCCCTGATTGGTCAAATCGACAGACAAATCATGTCATTCGCTAGCGATTTCAGAATTTTCTAAAAATGCTTCAAATAATATTATGTTAATTTCTGGCATTTTAACCAATATAATTGCTTGTTATTTCACATCAAGACAAAGAAAGATGTTAGGAATATGCTAACATCGATTGAAACATCACAACGACGTTGTATTATTCAGAAACTTGCCGGTGAAAATTCAAACAAACCAAGTTGGTAAGCAAGAGATGTAATTGTCTGTCATCTCTAAGCTCTGGGGTTTTCCTTCCTCTTATTTGAAGGCTATTGTGTGAGGTGCCATTAGATTAGGAATGAATTTGTATAGCATGTAAATGACACATATAAATACTAGTATGTAGTGTAAAAAATAGAGCAGTGCAGTAGGATTGATTAGATGGTAGAATGATTATATAATAGCTATGCTACATGAATTTAGATTTCAATAAAAATAAAATAATACACTGAAGATCATGGATGTTCTGAAAATGGCTGGTTGTACAGTGCTGGAATGACTTGGATCAATTTTGGAGCAAATCTCATATTCTTGCTCATTTTTATCGTTATATACATGTACATGTAAGCTGCTTCAGTACACAATGAAATATTAGCAATTTGGTTTAGATAAAAATTAAGTGAATGTCTACCATGTAGAGCAATTAGAAATGATTTTGTGACCTATATTACAGTAATTGTATTGAACAATATTATTATCATTTACTACTTATACACTGTATTTACACATATTTATTCAGTTTGTGAACTATTTTATTCATCACATGTTGAATTCAGCTGACAACACAAATGTGCAACTATAAATATAATATCTAATGCCTCACTTCATGTTGTATACATTATGATAAAACATGAATGTATATATACAAAGGGCTTTTTATTAGAACTTCTGAAATATTGTAAAACGAATGTCAGTTTACCATGCTAGACTTTTTGCTGTTCGTTGGAATTTTCAAGGTAATTTCCCAGTTTTTCATTTGGGAATCTAGATCTGCCAGTTAGCATAAACATAACACATAATTTGGTGCTTCAGAAAGCATTTATTTCAATTTGAATAATTGAACTATCATAACAAATGGAAATACCATATTCCCTCATATACGTAAGATACACAAGATGCTACATTTATACAATGTAGATACATGTCAAATGAAATATCATTGAGATCACTAATCAGTAACCAACATTCATCGTCATAGTGAGTGAATGTACGTAATGCAATATTCACCATTGAAGGATTGTATGTAGCACAACATTTGTCATTGTTTTTAGGGGTTTGATTCAGTGCAACTTTTCCTATTCAGTGCTAGTATTCACATCTATTGTATTGTCATCACAATATTTTTATATTATTTTATACAACCAATGTTGGTGCCAGCTATTTCTGTATGAATCAAAATTTAGTGTAATTCATGATTTCCATATAATTGCGTACAATATCATTTATTAAATGGATACATGTAATTCATGATTTCCATATAACTGCGTACAATTTTATGGTTCATTGAATAAAAACATGTAAGAATGATTTCTCTTCTGTGTACAAATTGAATTTTATAAAAATACAGTAATAACAATGTTTAAATATTTTTCTGTTAGTTTTATGAAACATTCTGTCTAATTTGCAATCTTAGTGCAATAATTTATCCCATTATCATATTCTTTTTCTTGATATTTCATTGACATGACTGTGACATCACACTTTTTTTGACATTTTGAATCGAGAAAAAAAATGCTAACGAGATTTACTTATATTTGTACAAATTTTAGATGACAAGTATTAGAGTTCATGAGGTTTTGGCTGGACATCTTGGATTCTCTCTGCCATTTAAGATTTTTCTTGTACCTGATTAGTGATATGATGTCATCCATTACATTTCTTGTTCTTTCTTATTTAACTGAGATGAACATTCTGTACATTGAAGATTTTAACACTAGTCATAGCACAGACACAAATTCCTACACTCCCTTACTAACATTACACATTCATTTAACATAATGTGTCCGATATTACACAAAAAAAAGCGTGTTCTATTGACATCAAAAATTTTGCTACTTTAACAAATGCACTTTTCTCATCATACTCCTATAGCACCTTTTATGGTTTCTTAAGTCTATATGTAGCAATTGCACCTTTTCATTGGCATATTTTTCACAAAAAGTACCCACAGTATGTTTTCAACATTTCGTATATATACATTTGCATTTCAACAATATATACAATGACACCGGGGCATAGCAAATCTCATCAAACATCTTGTCCCTGGACTAGTCCTGACCTGGTTTCAAAGTCTTTATAACAAATAATAGATAGACCACTGTCGGAAGAAATTTTTATTTTCACCAAGAAGGAGGTCAATTTGTATCCAAGTATTTTAATAGTAACATCTGGTTCCAGAAAAGCTAGTCAGTCACAAATATATTCAACAGCTTCAATAATCAAAGTGAGGAATCCTCACTGCATTGTTGGAGGCCTTGGTTGTATATACTCATGACGGATTCGCTTTTCAGTAACTGGATGTCGCTATTAAAATAAATATTTGGATACAAATAGACCTCCTTCTTGGGGAAAATGATGAAAATAAATAATTCATCTGACGGAAGTTCATCTATTTTGATATAACTAGATGTATAAGATTGCAAGCAATCGTATAAAGATTGCAAGCAATCTTACGGAGGCCCCGTAGGCTTTTTTGAACATTTAAAGGTCAGCCAAAGGTCAAATCTTAAAAACAAGGTCATATATGAACTCCAGGCATCTTGTAGATGATTTTAAAAAAAAAGTTTGGTCAATTTGAAGCAATGTGAAGTTTGACCTTGAAAAATTTCAACATTAGACCTTTTTTCGGTTTTTGAGTTCTAATATCTCAAAACTGGTACCCAATTTTAATAAATAGTCAATTGCTAATATGTGTAGAACCTATAGAGGAATATATATCCTGACTTTCATGAAAAGATATTGATTTGTAGTCACCAAAACTTAGAAACTTAGAAAACACAGTTTGTGATTAAGTTTGATGACCTTGACCTTTGACCTTGCAAGTCTTACTTTTTTAGACCTCAGTGGGTCTTTTGTGATCAAATATACCTAAATTTGAATCCAGAAAATCAATTTAAAAAATCAACTTTTTTGACCTTTAGAAGGTCACTGAAGGTCAACCAAAGGTCAAAGGTCAAAACTAAGGTCAGATTTGAGGTCCTGAGAACTTGTAGATGATTTTTAAAAAACATTTGGTCAATTTGAAGCAAGTTGAAATTTAGTCTTGAAAAGTTTCGAAATTTGACCTTTTTTCAGTTTTTGAGTTCTAATATCTCAAAACTGGTACACAATTTTAATGAATAGTCAATTGCTAATATGTGTAGAACCTATAGAGGAATATATATCCTGACTTTCATGAAAAAATATTGATTTGTAGTCACCAAAACTTAGAAACTTAGAAAACACAGTTTGTGATTTAGTTTGATGACCTTGACCTTTGACCTTGCAAATTTTACTTTTTTAGACCTCAGTGGGTCTTTTGTGATCAAATGTACCTAAATTCGAATCCAGAAAATCAATTTGAAAAATCAACTTTTTTGACCTTTCGAAGGTCACTGAAGGTCAACCAAAGGTCAAAACTAAGGTCAGATTTGAGTTCCTGAGAACTTGTAGATGATTTTTAAAAAAAAAATTGGTTAATTTGAAGCAAGTTGAAAAATGACCAATTTTTACCGTTTTTTGACGTCAATTATCTCAAAAACGGTAAAAAATTAACGCGAACATATAGTGAGTAATTTGTAGGAAATGCTTATATCTAGTTACATTTTAATTTATCGCAAGAAATAATGAAGTATGAGGACGAAATCTGAGAAACTTAGAAAAAACTTTGATTTGACCTAGATTTTGACCTTTGACCTTGACCTAGATAAAAATTCCTTTCCCGGTAAGTTCAACCTAGGTCCCTAGTAGGTTCATATAGTAGATAGTTGAAATCTAGTTAGAAGTAGGAGAAAAAGTGCAGAGAAGAATAAATAATAATAAAGAATAATAAATAATATCTATAAAATCTATAGGAGGCCCCCCCGTTGGGGCCTCCTAATAAAAATGTAATGTCTTGGGTCTCACAGATATGTATATGACAGGGATATTTTGGAAATCTTATATTGAGAAACATTTGCATCTTGCACATCACTTCATCAATTCTAACCCCCTTAACACAATTGTTGATATGCCACTGAGAATATTCATGAGACGGGAAAAACAACTAGACTTTGGAAATTGAACGAAGTTCAATTTCAGACTCCAGATCTAGACTTTTTTAAGCCCAGTCATCTAAAATAAGCCGAGTCATCCAGAATAAGCTGAGTCATCCAGAATAAGATGGATGGATAAAATAGGAAGGTAGGATAGGATAGAATGGGAAGGAACGATAGGATAGAATAAGAAAGAAGGATAGGATAGAACAGAATAGGAAGAAAGGATATGATAGGATATGATAGGAAGGATAGGAAGGAAAGGATACGAAGGAAGGATAGATAGGAAGGATATGATAGGATAGGATCAGATAGGAAGAATGAATGAATTTTTCAATATTTTTTTCTCTACTCTTGACTTTCTATCAGGATACCATCAGATCGATTTTCCGAAATTTCAAAACGCCATAACTTCCGAACCGGAAGTCGGATCGAAATTTGATTTAAAGATTCGGATGCCTGACAAAATTCTACCCCTAATTCATAACTCATACGTTAAATTTGGCGAACTTTTATTTTGACCTACTTTTTGGACACGCCATAATTTCGGGACCGGAAGTCGGATCGAAATTCCGTTTGCAGATTCGGATTCCTTAGAAAATTCTATCCTTAATTCATAACTCATACGTTAAATTTGGAGAACTTTTTATTTTGACCTACTTTTCGGACACCATATCTCAAAAGTGGATCAAAATACTTTCTGACGGCAAAAGGCTAACACTATTAGCACACTCTTGGCTACATGTATACACAATTTCAAAGAATATTATTGAAGTGTAGTGTCAGAATTGCAAAAATAAGGAAAACCTTTGAATTTGACCTAGATTTTGACCTAGGCATGTTGGTGTCCAAATTTTGAAGCTAGATGGCTTTTTAGGTCCCCTTCTTTTAAAAGCTTTCATTAAATTAAGCTGAACTCAGTCTATATTTCGAATTCTTCACTTCAAAAAAATCTTTTTTCCCATTGACTTAACATGGGCACCAAATTTAGCGATTTTTGAACTTTTAAAACGAAATAACTTCCGAACCGGAAGTCGGATCAAAATTTGGTTTGCAGATTCAGATTCCTGACAAAATTCTAATCCTAATTCATAACTCATACCCTGAATTTGGAGAACTTTTGTTTTGACCTACTTTCTGGACGCCATATTTCAAAATCGGTAAGAGTAATTAAAAAAAAACAGGGACACTTATGAAAGGGCTTTTCCTAAGCTACATGATGAAAAAAAGACGAAGACGTTTTGATAAATAATGACGAAGATAATTGATAGAATGTTGAAAATGTAAGATTTGACCTAGTTCTTGACCTTTGACCTAGATAAAAAATTGACCCAATTTCCGAGAAACTAGATACTGGACCTAAATTGAACATATACAGGACTTGACTCAATGTCTTCTAGTTAAGGAGAAAACGTAGGTAGAAGAATAATAATAATAAAGAAGAATACTGGCAAAAACAATAGACTCCAGATTGACATCTGGAGTCTAACTACTTGACAACACATATTTGGCAAATGTCAAAAAATAAAAAAGAACATGTTGGTTTCCAACTTTCCACACACATGTACAATTAATTGCCAATGGAAAACACATCTTTCTTATTTAATGCATCTGACTGGTACACATAAACAATACGCATTACATAGCACTGTGCTGGCACATATGTCCGTTGCATGGACTGTTAGTAGAATAAAGCTAGCTAGAAGCAAGAATATTTATACAGAAACATAGGTTGACCTGGAAAAGGCCGAGGCCATACTGACCCCACTTTTAAACAAGTTCAATATGAAATGTTCAATTAATTTCAAAATCCAATTAAAAAGATTTGATTCAAAAGTAGCTATAAATTTTCAAAGTGGCTAGCATATCAGGAATTTTTAATGAAAATACTGACACACTTCTGCATGAGGATAAATACAGTTTATACTTTTAATTCATCAAAATTTTACTTATCTGGACAGACATATGGACTGAACCAGAACCATTCGCTCATTGAAGACGCAACCTTTTATATTTTCTTGTAAATGGTTGAAAAAATGTAACTAAAATACTTAACAGACTTTCTGATGAGCATCACTTGATTCTGAATTATGAATGTACAATCAAATAAATTCTTCCTCGATCTAATCATTGAATGTAAACATATTTTTATTAACTGGATAAACCAGGACTTTTACTCCACTGATTGTCATCAGCTGAAAGGAGCACATAGGTTATCGCAAACAATTTCAGATAATTTTAACTTGAATATTGAATATTTTCTGATCATGAAAATGGATGTATCTTTTAGACCTATCTGTCATCTTCAAGAAAAGTGGATATAATGATGATTTAGTTAATCAGACCTAAGTGATATAAAGGGGCAATGGACCAATCAACATACTTTTTTAAAAATGTTGACCTAATTTTCACAAAAAATGGAACCTTTTATTATATTGTTGAATGCATAATTAGAAAGTGTTTTGAGACATGTTCTATTTCCTTAAAGGAAAAGTTGATTTTGGATGACCAAAATGAATGAAGATATAACTGTCTGAAATTGTTTGCGATAACCTACGTGAACCTTTACTTAAGCATTTGTGCTATTTGTTGTAAAAAGCATGCATTATGAATACAATTACAATTAGGCTGCATTTTCTGGGGTTTCATTAGCACGAGGCAACAGGCAGTTTTCGCCAATTGTTTTCACAAAATCGCCTGTTGTTTGTTAAATTTATGATTTCCATTAATCTTGCCCGTTGTTTTCATTTATTTAGCCTGTTGTGAGAAATTCTAGTGAAACCCCTGGTTTTTGACTCCTGTGGCATAAGTCCATTGTGTAATATTTATATGAGTTATCTCCATAGTAACATGACCAACAGGCATTGCTGCTTAGCCAATAACAGTGCAGGGCAGTTCAAATATGCAGCCTAAACATATGTTAATTATCACTGCTTGTTTAGATCTCATATTACTATAAATTATTTTGTTCACAAACTCAAATAACAACGGAGTAGAAAAATAGATTAGTCTCTGATAGTTTGAATTGTATTAAAAGGAGAATCAGATCTAGCGAGCAAGCTAAATAAAAAAATTGTTTCTCGAATTTTAGAATTTTTTTGGCTCATGTCATGACATGTATTTTATTCAGGAAAACTTAAGATTTTAACAATAATATACTATTTGGGAGATATTTTGAGATGGCAATTAATAGATTGGTCAATTGTACATGTTTCTTGCAAATTGATCACTCCTATAGATCTGATCCTGCCTTTAACTTGACACTTTTCAGCTTATATACATGAATATAAGCAACAGTCTATTATGTATTTACATCAAAACAAGCAGAGCTGAAATGAACACACATTGAAGCATAAATAATCAGATCTCATTTTGCTCTGTTGTTTCTATATGTTTTAGTATTTCATATGAGATGAATACACTCTGCTATACCTAACCCCTAGAAATGCATAAGATACTCTGTTTGTCTGTATTGTTTCATATAGTTTTGAAAGTACCTTATTAACATATAACAGTTATCCGATAAACCATTCATAAGGAACAGACACATAAAAACAATTAACATAATCAATACTAATAAGCCAAATGGGTTGCTTATGAACACCAAATGCAAGGTATAGTAGTGTGGAATATTCTGTATGATTCATTCCTGGACTATTTGAATCCCTTACAAGCTGTTGGCCGAAACTGAAAAATCCCATATGAGCAAATAATTTCTTTTCAAATGAGGCAGATGGAACTGTTGAGCAAGCATGGGATATTTAAAGCTCTTTCAACACCAAGTGAACGTTCTTTTCTATTTTGAGACATCCAATCTATACATTGACTCGACTCAGACACTGATTAATCAGAAACATGGAACGGCCTGGTGCGTATCAAAGTCCTCTCTATCTAAATACAGAGGTACTTGTACATGTAATGAGAATGAAACATACACGCATAACTGCACATCACTCATAACAGTTATAACTGTACACAAGCCACAACCAAGCACATAGGCAATACATGTGAAGTGGGGATCCCAAGATACATCATAGTACATGTATTGAAAAAATTGCTCATTTGATGTTCATTTAAGACCATATCACGGTCCATCAAATTCTGAGTATGGTTTTTTCATTGAAAACATATTGTTTCTCTACATGCCAATCCTTACCTAAATACATGTTTTTATAAACATATTGATAATTAGATAATGTATTGTGGGGACCCCCTAATTTTTATACATCCGAAACCACTGTGAATCCACCTCAAAAACCCAAAAATAGTCCTATTGGAAACTTCAATCCACATCATGTTTATTGGACATCAAGTCTAGTCATTCAACTCTAAATACTTGGATCATATTTCAAATAAATACCAAGGAAAAGTATATACAAGCTGATGGAAGGAAATACTGTACTAGGATCCTACATTCACTGTGATTTTGTCCTCGAACATGGCTATTAGAGCCATGATGCTGATGCCAGTAAGTAAACCAAAGTTTTGGAATATCAAATGACAAAATGGATTTTCACCAGCTTTTGGTGTTACTGCATTCATCTCCGGAAGCTGGAAGGAAAAATATATCACATTCTATTAATTGTTCAATATGTAAATATATTCAGTTCAGTTAAAAGTTATTCAGTGTTTTTTAGTTCAAATCCAGACTAACTGCTTGGTCTGCTGGAGATTAGGATTATATCATCACCAAATTGGTTGGTATTTTGACCATGTAAAATAGGACACTGACACAATCATGACACAATTTCACCAACATTCAAAGATAAAACCACTAAGACAGAAATTGACTTTATTAGACAAATTTTAAGGTGTTGAAATAATTATGACAGTAAATGTATATTTGTTTGTGCAAAATAAAACCACTTACCATATCAACTAAGGCTATATATATGAACACACCAGCCATCATTGCAAAGATGTAAAGACTGGCATCCCCGACATTGCCAATCGAGACACCTATGAGCATACCCACGAAACAGAGCACCGATGAGACAATGTTGTATGTGAGAGCTTGCTTAACAGACATACCAGCTCTCAGGAGCACGGCGAAATCACCTGAAAATCACAGATAATTCATATGTTCAAGTTTACTACATGCCGAGATGTTGGAGCAGTTTGGACATGTTGTTAATAGGATATCCTTTTTGATAAGCCAGATTTCGCATTCTACTTCACATTTTCAAACCAGAACAACGGCAACGCCAAAGCGTAGCAAATCCCATCGAACAGCCATGGATGGCATTTTTACAAACAAAGGATATAGCAAAAATGGCATCCATTTTTCAAAATGGCCGCCTTCTACCAAAAGTGTCATTAGACCATGTGCCATGCTTATAGTATTCACATACCAAATATGAACAAAATCGCTCCACTACTTTTCAAGTTATAGTAAAATACGTTAAAATGGCGGCCATTTTTCAAAATGGCAACCTTCTACCAAAAGTGTCATTAGACAGTGTGCCATGCTTATAGTATTCACATACCAAATATGAACAAAATCGCTCCACTACTTTTCAAGTTATAGTAAAATACGTTAAAATGGCGGCCATTTTTCAAAATGGCAACCTTCTACCAAAAGTGTCATTAGACAGTGTGCCATACTTACAGTATTCACATACCAAATATGAACAGAATCGCTTCATTACTTTTCGAGTTATAGTAAAATACGTTAAAATGGCGGCCATTTTTCAAAATTTTTTTCAAAATGGCCGCCTTCTACCAAAAGTGTCATAGGACAGTGTGTCATGCTTATAGTATTCACATACCAAATATGAACAAAATCGCTCCACTACTTTTCAAATGGTAAAATACATTAAAATGGCGGCCATTTTGAAAAAATTTTTTTCAAAATGGCCGCCTTCTACCAAAAGTGTCATAGGACAGTGTGTCATGCTTATAGTATTCACATACCAAATATGAACAAAATCGCTCCACTACTTTTCAAATGGTAAAATACATTAAAATGGCGGCCATTTTGAAAAATGGTGGCCATTTTTCAAAATGGCCACCTTCTACTAAAAGTGTCTTTAGACAGTGTGCAATGTTTATAGTATTCACATACCAAATATGAACAAAATCGCTCCACTACTTTTCGAGTTACAGCAAAAATCGTAAAATAACGAGTAAAGACCGCCATTTTTCAAGATGGCTGCCATGTGCTTCTTTAATATCTACATTTCTAGCTTTATTAATGTCCTATATAATTTTTTTACATCTAAAACGTATTGCTATTACAGTTTTACATATTGCACCTAAATTACTGTAAATTCGGCACTAAAATGGCCGCCATTTTGAAATGAGCGGCCATTTTGAAAATCGGCTTTCGAGCAGAACTTCTACCCCCATAGGGTATATGTGTACAAAATATGAACAAAATCGGGCCAACGGTATTTGAGTTATTGCCCGGACGGACGGACGGACGGACGTACGTACGGACGGACGGACGGACGGACGTACGGACGGACGGACGGACGGACGGACGGAGGCGTTCCCTATATCCCTCCGAACTTCGTTCGATGGGATAATTAATCATATTACAAATACACTGGAGGTTTTTAGGAAACAAATGGGGAAACACCCAAAAGTTCATAAATGAAGCTATAAATTATGGGATATTTCCTCTCAGGGGAACCTGGATTTTTATACACAAAACAAGCAAATATCATCCAAAAACAAAAGAGAGCATTTTATCAAAAATTTGGAATCGCCCTGTACTATCGAAATACTGAAAACCCTATTGAGTACCTACCTAATTCATGTGGCAATTCATGGCAAAATACGGCAACTGAAGTGCTAAGACCTCCACTCATACTATTGGCAAACGCAGCACCTGAAGTGATACAAATGTACCTATGATTTCATGTATCAATTTTAGTTTGATTAAAATCATGCGGGGATTCAAATTCATGATAAATGTATTATACTTATAAGTTGTGAATATCATTTCATAAAATGGAAAAAAGCTGAAGGAATGTTTATAGAAGTAAGATCACTACTTTCCAAGATAAGAAAATATATAATTTTTTTGAAAAGTTAAAAACCCTGAAAGGCACCAAAATGTCTACTAAAAAGGTTGTTACTGGGTAGCCACTCTATTATTATACAGGGTGGGCAAAAATTGACATCTTCAACAGAAAACTTCCGATTTGTCAAATGTGACATTCAACGTGTGAATCATTTATCATGCAGCATCGTTTTATTGTTTACCTATGGCAAGACCATCACAAAAGTTATGCAGGCCATCTCCCATGATGACCATCCAGGCAATTGCACTGACTGTAGTGGGAATAGGACCATGACTGTGCCCATGTCCGTGTCCATGGGACTGCTGATGACTATGTCCTACAACTTCTTCTATCTCACAATCTGCACCATACTCATCGTTATGTACTTCATCTGCATAGCCTCTCACAGCTGGAAATAGAATGATGATTTAGATACAAAAATACAGAACTGAATTCTATTTACAAAGCTGTAGTAGACTTATTTACATGTAGTTGACTTATTGTTCTTTTTTCATCGAAGTGAGCTCAAGTATTTAATTTTATTTTTTATTTTACTACATATTATATTTCTATTTAAGGATTTAAGCATCCTCCAGAAATCATTTACTACATTCCTTCCTTTTTCTTGAAGAATGAGGTACGAATTCTGGAGGCCTGGGTTTAAAGGATGGAATTTAGGAACAAGACTCTTATGCTGGAAAACGGGACGAAGGACTTCACGATATCCCTATCAGACAAGTTCTTTGGGATTAAAAAAGCAGGAGACATGAAAGGTAAAACAAGGCATTAACATGACAAAATGTCACCACCTAGTTGCTCACAATATTATGAGTTCAAACTTAAGTCAGATTTGAATTTCTGAGAACTTGTAAAGTCAAATTTGAACTTCTGAAAAGATGTAGATGATTTTGAAAAAAAAAATGAGTCAATTTGAAGCAAGTTGAAAAAAGACCTTTTTGACCTTTTTTGACCTTGAGAAGGTCATTGAAGGTCAAATGTCAAATCTAAAGTCAAATCTAAAGTCAGATTTGAATTTCTGAGAACATGTAGATGATTTTGAAAAAAAATTTAGTCAATTTGAAGCAAGATGAAAAAATACCTTTTTGACCTTTTTTGACATTGAGAAGGTCATTGAAGGTCAAATGTCAAATCTAAAGTCAGATTTGAATTTCTGAGAACATGTAGATGATTTTGAAAAAAAATTTAGTCAATTTGAAGCAAGTTGAAAAAAGACCTTTTTGACCTTTTTGACTTTGAGAAGGTCATTGAAGGTCAAATGTCAAATCTTAAGTCAAATCTAAAGTCAGATTTGAATTTCTGAGAACACGTAGATGATTTTGAAAAAATTTTTTAGTCAATTTGAAGCAAGTTGAAAACAGACCTTTTTGACCTTTTTTGACCTTGAGAAGGTCATTAAAGGTCAAATGTCAAATCTAAAGTCAGATTTGAATTTCTGAGAACATGTAGATGATTTTGAAAAAAAAATTTAGTCAATTTGAAGCAAGTTGAAAAAAGACCTTTTTGACCTTTTTTGACTTTGAGAAGGTCATTGAAGGTCAAATGTCAAATCTAAAGTCAGATTTGAATTTCTGAGAACACGTAGATGATTTTGAAAATTTTTTTTAGTCAATTTGAAGCAAGTTGAAAACAGACCTTTTTGACCTTTTTTGACCTTGAGAAGGTCATTGAAGGTCAAATGTCAAATCTTAAGTCAAATCTTAAGTCAGATTTGAATTTCTGAGAACATGTAGATGATTTTGAAAAAAAAATTTAGTCAATTTGAAGCAAGTTGAAAACAGACCTTTTTGACCTTTTTTGACCTTGAGAAGGTCATTGAAGGTCAAATGTCAAATCTTAAGTCAGATTTGAAGGTCAAATGTCAAATCTAAAGTCAGATTTGAATTTCTGAGAACATGTAGATGATTTTGAAAAAAAATTTATTCAATGTGAAGCAAGTTGAAAAAAGACCTTTTTGACCTTGAGAAGGTCATTGAAGGTCAAATGTCAAATCTAAAGTCAGATTTGAACTTCTGAGAACATGTAGATGATTTAGAAAAAAATTGAAGTCAGTCTAAACAGTATTTGTTAAGTTATAGGAAGTTGTAAGAAATTGTTACAGACGCCGGACGCCAACCGCCGGACGCCAACCACCAACCGCCGTCGCAAAAAAACGGAGACCATAACAATATGTCACCACTTTTGTGTCACCACTTTTGGTGGTGACATAAAAATAATTGTGGAGAAGATAATTTCAAAATGGAGTTATATGCGTTATAAGTTATTAAGCATGCTCTATGCTTACTAAATAAGTTAGCTAAGTATTTTAATAAATGAAGCAATATCATATTATCCAAATGGCATAGAGTCGGGTATTCTAGTATATACTGAATAACACGTCATTCTATGTACCAGCCAAAACCTTCATACAATATAGAAAAGCTACAGAGAATATTAACTGATGTATAATGCATTTTATTGCAGAGTTCTTCCCAGAGACCTTATACTAATTGTTATGGTGGTGGTTTACTTGAAAGAAAATAGATTTAGTGAGTTGTTTTGCATTTAAGAAAGTGATGTAATATAGTGTTTCAATAACCCATGTGCAGTGCACATTAGAGGTACATGTATATCTGCAGTCTGTACATACATACCCATGTCAGCTTGAAATATACCAATATAATGAAATTACAATGTTTGTTATATGACTATGTTAATCATCCTTAGTATTTGTTTTGTCAATAAAAAGCTTTATTTTCCAGAATGACAATATTTCTGTATCACTAGAATAGTGGCAACCATAGCGATAGTATTGGAATATTGTCATAGCAATGAGGCAAGCATGAGAAGGTGCTGACATCTGGATCAAATACCTGGTTCAATCTCAAATCGCTGAGCAAATATTCCACTATAGCGTAATCTATGTTTTTCTTTATAATTATTCTCTTCATCTATAATAAAAATCATGCAATAAAAAAACAGTTCAAATCATCCTTGAAACAGAGACTAATTTACTCAGGTGATTTTATTTTCGTGATTTATGCTAAGTTGTTCTGGGTAAAGTAATAAATATCAATATCAACATGCACTTACATACAATTCAATCAAAAAGAGACACATTCTCTTATTCTGATCTTAATAATAGGGAGGTAATTGGTTAGGCTACATGTTTTTAAGAGAACTTGTATGGAATGTGTAATATTATGACACACAAGGAATTCTGTCCTCGACTCCTCCCACAATTGATTTTTCCAGGGACCTAATTTCAACTATTTCCCTTATACCTTTATACTCAATTGGGCAAGTAATTACTTCCAAGGGGAGAGCTAACCCTATAGGACCATAATTCTACATGTTCAAGTTCAAGTTGTATTAAAATACATGTAGCTTGACCTCCCTAATAAATTCATATTTACTGAAAAAATAAGGCAATTGGTCGAGTAAGTTAGACATAGTAATATCAATCTTGAGTTTTATTAGAATAAAAATTCAGAACTGAGTAACTTGTTAACAAGAACAGCTTGAAACTAAAACAAATAATACAACAAGTATGCAAACATGCGAATAAACTACAACTAGGTACTCAATTATACATAACAACATCATGAAAACTGAAAACAATCCTTACTCAATTCTTCAGTATTTTAGCTAGCTTGACTAGACTTGAACATGCATTACAATCACAACATGCATTACAGTGATCTCCCCAGCATTAAAGCAAGTGGGCGCAGCCCCCACTTGAGATTTTGCACCCACCTGAAAATCCATTTGCACCCACTTGAAAATGAGAAAAATCATGAAAAATTGATATTTTGATCAATTTTGGTCTGAATTGTGAATATGAGAATTTTGCACCCATTTGAGAAAAAATCCTGGGGAGATCACTACATTATGTCCTAAGCACTTCTGTCAGGTTCGATTATAATCAACATCAAAACAATTTTCCTCACAACCTATATTTATTTATTTTAAGGAGAGTAAGCATTAATATGCGAAATGTCACCACTTGCCATATTTATTACAAACGCCGAACACCATCTGCCGAATACCAAACACCATTCCCAAAAAGTGGAGACTATTACAATATGTAAACACTTCTTGTGGTGACATAATAATAATAATAATAATAATAACAAGGTTCTGAAATGTTCTCACTAAATAAATAAGAAATATAGGTTGTTTAAGAAAGTTGTTACTGTTGTTATACATTATATGCATACCTTTATTTCCATGTACCACCATGATGAAGTCTTCACAATCCTTTGCTGGTGCCTGATATTCAGAGAGTTTAGCCCCTATAGCTTGCAGCTCTGTACCTGAGCTTTTACTTGTGTCAGCTTCCTGGAAAATAGATGCCTGAACATCAGGATCTTTCAAAACAATCTTGTGTAACAATAATTGCAACAAGGCATTACCATGCAAAATGTCAACACCTGTCATTTGTTACAGACTGACTGTCATCCGAAAGAAAGTTTGAGACTAAAACAATCATCCACATATAGCTTGGCAAATCAGAACATGCGATTTCACTAACTGCATTCCGTTATATAACCAATAACAAACTCAAGGTTACTAGTTAAATGGTTGGCATGGTGATGACTGGACTCTGCAAATTGAAACTGATACTTTGCCAGCTTGACCCTTGCAAAAGGTTTCATTGAAAATATGTTCTTTTGGTGATTTCGTATCTTTAAGATGATTTTGGAAAAAATATTTTACAATTAGTAAAATGCCCAAGACCCAACGCTGTGTAATGACCATTCCTTTCAGGAATGTGCTCGACATCTTGTGCAAGTTTTGGAAATCAACACCTTCTAGAAATGGTCATTCCACATTGCACTGAGACCAGGGCTTAAATCCCTAATAACAGTGAATACTTGAGTAGCACATTACATCACTATATGTGACCTATACACGAAGGCGTAACATTTGCTAACTAAATGGCCATTTAAAATTCACTCAGGCTTGGATACCCAATCAGAACAAATCAGTTCTAGATTTCCAATCCACAACAAGAAACATATCAAATAAATCCATTAAGTGATTTATCTAGAAATGAACAGTTAAGACTCAAGAAACATAAAATTAATTTGAATATAAAATTTACCTTCACTCTTGTTTTCTTGTTTTTCCTGTTTCGCCTCATATCGGTACATATGGCCATGATACGTTCCATTAGGAAGAAGAAATATAGTCCACCGAGTGCCATCATGCCCTTCCATGCATTTGATTTGTCATGTCCTTCCCCATCGGAATGATCGTGGCCATCTGATGACATCATTGCCTGAAATAAGAGGATGATATTCATTTATATTATATCATTTGATTGTTTCTCACTCTTCCATTGGCTGAGTCTGCTATTTACTACCACCAGTATTGAACTTTCTCTCAAAAACCTTTTTAGAAAAATGAGGTTAAATCATATTGCTTCATTGCAACAAAATAATATCTTGAATTTTATTTATAATAAATATAAATAGCGGGAATACACATATAATATCAATTTTAAAAAAATTATTGCTACGAGCTAAAATCACAAATTAAAAGGTGTAAACGTTTTATCAGCTAAATCTCGAAATGTAAACTATGTACGGTAAAACCTGTCTTAGTGATCACCACACAAATCTTTACTGACATCTTTATAAATTACCCTCTCTGTAGCAAACACCTACCAACATTTCTTGGCAAAAAAATGTTCAATAGACACAGGTTTACTATAATTGTCTCATGCAAACCTTAGTTCATAAGATAAAATGCACTTGTACAAGATGAATGCTTTTGTCCTGTTTTACTCAGAGTGAAACATTTAGAGTAACAAGTATTCATAGTTCTTGAAATATTTTGATGAAACAAAATAAAGAAACTATAAAGGGCCTATTAGCACTTTTATTGTACAAAACTTATCATTCTTTCATTCAACTGCTTTTTGTCATATTTATACAGTTAAATTCATTCAATAGTGAGGTCAACCATTCAGAAAAAGTGAGTATAAAGTATTTTATCATTTTTAAGGTGACCTGGTTTACTTTCATATTTTGGGCATAATAATAAGTTCATTAAAACCCAAGAAGAACTTCACTCAATGAAACAGCCTAACCAATAAAATTTTGCTTTGCAGAAAATGCTTCCCATCAAAATAAATAATGAACCAGAGCTTTTGGGTATGACTGTTGCAAATGTCTGAATGAATTGAGGTGGTGTGAAAGTGGTTGAGCTTAACGGTTTGCAAAATGTCTTTTATCATGTTTGATTTCATAAAAATAAAATAAAATAAGAGAGCACATTATGAGCAGTAAGCAAGTTGGAAGTTTTATTACAAAATCATTCAAAAACTTAAACTTGCATCGAGATTAGCATTTTGGGTGCATCACACGCAAAGTATATTGTAAAATATGTAAATAACAAGTTTCTTTGTATAAATTGTCTGTATTATAAAAGCTTAGAAGAGCATGACATCTGAAGAGTCAATAAAAGATATATATACTCACATGAGGCAAAAGATGCAACAAAGCATCGCCTGTCAGAGAACCCACTGCCAAGGCAACCAGGAACTGAAGCAGGTGATTATAAAAGACCTTCTGCATGAGGGGTACAATTGCTACTCCTAAAAGGCCAACCAGACTGATGATCAACACAGCCAAGCTGGAGAAACCCCACACTGAAATACAAAACACACAGATGTATACATTAAACTTTAACATGATTGCCTGGAAGTTGTACCTATTTCATCTGATATCATGGCTAGAATGAAAATTGTTCTAGCCAATTCTAGAAGTTCATTATGGTTAACATTGTGACACCAAGCTGTTGTGTCAAAAAGACTCTGATAATCGATATTTTGAAAATGTGGGTTTCTTTCACTTATATAATTCTATTACGGACGAGACAACAACCCTATTACATTTCGAACCAAAACTCACCCTTTGCTGGAATGTTTCCTAAATCAAATGACTTTTGACTGCTGTTATGGTGTGCATGGTCATGGAAATGGTCTATCCTCCTATGTGACTGGGGTATGCAAATCTGGCTATCTAGTTGGTATATGATAGCTGGGGAGAGCCTGAGAAATTCCACTACATGAATACCTTCTGCTGGGACATTAAAGGTTGCCATCATTTCTGTAGCAGTGAGACACTGGAAAAGACATTAGGGAAAATTCTGGATCAAACATATAAGATGTAAATTGACTTACGGTATGACACATTACCTTCTAACAAGGGTGTCGCTACAAGTCAGAGACTCACAAGCCTTCACCAGTTAAGTGGCTCAGATTCATATATATTTTATTAAGTTTGAATTTTGTACAAAACAACACTACAATAGAACATGATGCATGAATTAAATTACTGTGAATTAAACAGCTAATAATAAAGTATGGTATGGAATATACCTTTTTCAATAATTTCTTAGGATCAGTCCTTTCAAGTCCATGTGTATGTTCTTCATGTTTATGTCCCTCATTCCCATGGTTGTGTTCATCGTCTCCATGGCTGTGCTCATCAGTCCCATGATTGTGTTCTGCAGTTTCTCTTCTCTTCCTGATTGGGATGCTACTTGTTGGTGATACTGTTGTAGCCATTTTATTGCGCCTATTTTTACGCTGTTTTTTTCTTCCCTTTCCTTTTTTTCTCTTTGGTTTAACATCAAACTCATCATCACGATTTTGAACAAGAGAAAGGGAACTTAAGAACTGATCGACATCAGAACTAGGTGATGTGGTTTCCTTTAAGGAGGTTTCACCTGGTTTAGAGTTGTCACCTTCAGTTTTACCATGGTCAGTAACATCATGATTGTGGGAGTCATCATGTTCATCATGATTGTGGGTAGCACCATGCCCATTATGATTGTGGGTGTCATCATTCTCATCATGATTATGGGTGTCATCATGATTATGAGTCTCATCATGATTATGGGTGTCATCGTGCTCATCATGATTATGGGTGTCATCATGATTGTGTGTGTCATCATGATCGTATGTGTCATCATGGTGATGAGTATCTTTGTGTGTTTCATGTTGAGTGTCATGAGCATGATCTTCTTTATGTAAGGATCCATTATGATATTGCTCATTGTGAACCTCCACTTCAGGTGAAGTCTTCATGGAATATGCTTTTTCATGTTCATGATCATGATCATCATGCTCCCCAAATTCCACATTATCATGGTCATGAGAGAGATGGAACTCTTTGAAGCCAGTGCTTGTATGATGATCGTGAATATCATGGTCATCCATATGAATGTTCCCCAGGCCAAGACTCTCTAATAGATGTTCGAACCCTTCTAATGTAATCACACCACGTTTTGGGTCTCCATACTTTTGTACGAGTTCTTGTAGGAAAAATTCAGTTGTGTTTGTTACAGTTATATTTGTTTCAACGTTACATTTAGAGACATGGATTTGTAGAATTAGAAGAAGTAGACCAAAATATGCCATTGTAAAAGACATTTTGCCGTCTTGCGGTTACCTGCAAAGTACAAATATAGAAAGAAATGAATGAATTAAACTGTTTAGCTTTTACTGGTTTGCTTTATTTATTGGAAATGTCATCATGAACCAGAGTTTTCCAGTTGGATAAACACGTAGGAAAACCTGGTAGAATAAAGCTATTGACGATTATTTTCCTTTTGATGATTTCATGTGTCAAAACGACATAAATGTCGCTATGGTGGGCAGCGGTAAATGACGTAAATGTCGCTATGGTCGGCAGCCGTAAAATACTTAAATGTCTTAATGACATTAAGAGGTTAAAAAGAAATAAATCAATATGAAAATGCTGTATAAAACCTCAGTCTGGACCAAAATACCACGTTAAAATTAACACTAAATCACCATAATGATACATGCTTAACATGTCATGAACTTTTGAGTCATTCACCCTACATTAGATCCTCTTCTATGAACACTGATCTTGTCTTACTTCAAGAGCCTGTTTCTTTACCCACATTTGAGTGAGAAGGTGTGGAGTCAAGCAGTGGGGGGGGGGTCACAAGAGCTTGTAGCTAGACTTAATACAGTTTGATGTCTGTCCAAAATTATTCACACCTTGGCGAACAGTGAGCCCACACAGTCTCAGTTTGACAGCTCCATAAGAAAGGTTCTAAAGGTACTTTTTGTACCTAATAATACAGCTATGACAGAGTGACATTCAGGGTAACCAGTTTATGAGGACCTTTACCTACAGATGTGGAGGCCTTTGATGAAATATAACATTTTCTATGTATTTGATAAAGGAAGCAAAGAAATAATTTTTTTAGAAATCTTTGCATTTTAACAAAAGCTCAGATGTCATATAAGTCTCGGCATATTTCTCTATTCACCTTTATGATTCAGAACACTCTACTAAGTATTTATCAATTGCTTTTGCTAACGCTTTGTATTTATAAATAGATTTAACCAAGTATTACTTTTGTATTCAGAGTAATCAATTTGGGAATGCAGGGAATTTACTTTTAGGCACAAAGCGGTTGCATTATTAATCTCCTCATTGATCAAGGCTTGGCCGATATGTGAAAATGTGAATCAAATGTGAAGCCATAATTAAACAAGGCATTAAAGGAATTAGATGGGACAAAGGTTGTAAAATGTTAGAAGCAATCCGTTGAAAGATAATCACAGAGCATTATTTTCAAAAAATTGAGGGAAATTATCATGACATGAGTTGCCGCCATTACAAAAGTGTAACTATCAAAGCTGAATTCAATATACAATCCTTGCTAAAAATGGGTGACTAGGCTAAAACATTATATAAATATAAACACAATCCACCCTCATTGTAACATTATATAAATACTTGGTAATACTTGGTAAGCACAAAAACAAATATTATTAACCTTAAAGGCAGAATCTGATCTATAGGGGTGACAAAATTACAAGCAACATGTATAATTGACCTACCAATCTATTTGTTACAATATCAAATACAATATCTCCCAAAAGATTCACAATATGTTGTAAATTGGTGAAGTTATTAATGATTCAAAGTGCAAAAATGGGTGAAAAATGTTTAAATTCTCCCAAATAATAAGAATGGTAACCATTCTTATAAAAAAATAATACATTATTGTAAAAATCTTTAGTTTTCCTGAAATAAAGTATGCACTTTTGTGATTTTTAGAAAATAGACATGACAAGGAATGACATAAGCCAAAAATATTCTAAAATTGAAACAATTTTTTGTTTAGCCTGCTCGCTATATCTGATTCTCTCTTTAATTCATAAAATACATATGTACAAAACTTTAGACATGCTATGGGGACATATCCCATTCTGGGGAGCTGAGTGTAAACCAAATATGAAAAGCAGGAAAAAGGAAAGTAAAAAGGATATACCAACACACATGTTGTATAAACACGGCTTCAAGAAAATCCTGTATAAACATGGCTTAAAGAAAATCTCAAAATGTTGATCAGACCACATTGTAATGTTTACCCCATTTTTATTAAATATTTATATGCCTGTCTGAAACCTGCATGATATCCTTTTATAGTATGTCAATTGAAAAAAAGAAATTGAAAAGCAAACTGTTTGAATTTCATAGGTGGGTATAGAGTTTTTGGTCATCTTAGCTTTAATCTTAAACCTGCACATCGCTCCAAAACGCAATATGTTGACATATATTGTTTTTACATTTTTAAGCTCTAATATAAAGTTTATGTAAATAAAAATTGTTTTTTTCTGCGTTATATCAAAGAACAATCATTTAGTTAAAAAAATAAAAAGGCGAGTGCGGGATTCGAACCCGGGCCTCCGGCGTGCTAAGCGTGAATTGTACCCCTAGACCACCGTCTTCTTATGAATGTTAGAAGTAATTAAACGCTACTTATTTTGAATGCTATGATTCGGAAGTGACGTCACGTTCTTCATTTAGAAACTTTTCCAAAATCATATCGTCGGCGCCGATCGAAGCAATTCAATGAATAATCTTTGAAATTACACATTTATCGTAAGTATTTCTACACAAGATTTGCCCCATTTGTTCATCATTCTATAATCTTTCATTAGGCTCAAAATGATAAAGTTCACCCCCGAAACAACCCAAGATTGCGTTTCGGAGCGCAGTCCAGCTTTAACATTCAAGACAAATATGTGTTCTACAAGTTGTTTTTTATAAGACTACACACAATTAAATATGTCATTTGCACTCTCTATGTAAGGCTGAGCTGATATGGAATTAACATTCAGTAAAGAGTTGCAGTTTCTCTGTTTTAGATTGTAAAATGATATGTTTGAACATACTACATATTCAACTATCACCTTATGAGGTGAAGAGATGGTAGGATATGTGTGTGGGGGTTACTTGAGGTTATAGAAAGCAGGCTTTCTCAAATTGTCCTATCTATGGCCTCGTAGAACTGTTCAAAAGCATTGCTATATTCTTATGTATATTCATCACCTCCTCCAGATCTACAGTATAGCTAATTCTTCTTATATGATCTGCACATATCAGACTGTTCGCCCAAATAGATCTAGTGTCATTGTCTACTCATTTACCCTCCCTCAAAGAATAAACAAGGCATCAACATGCAAAATGTCACCACCTGCCAATTGTTACATTTTGCAACCACCTACCACCAACTAACAAACACCTACCACCAACCACTGAATGCCAACTATCAATCACCATCCACAAAAAGTTGGAGACTATTAAAATATGTCAACACTTCTGGTGGTGACATTATTGATAAAACCTACCACACAAGGAGGGATAGAAGGGCTGGACGAACTTCAGTTTATAGTAGTACGGTAATCTGCATTCTGATACTCATAGCATCTTTCTATTTCACCTGAAACATGGTTACAGGCTGAGAAGAAATGAGATGTCATGGTTTATCATGAAGGTTAAATCTGCTCAACTGGTATTCTTATGCTACACTGTCAAAAACTATATCAAGTCCCAAGATTTTGGAGTTCATTGGATTTTGAACTCTTTTAATCTTCCATATGTGTGTTAATAATATTTACACAGCACTAAGGTCCTAGGTGAAGGTGGTTTCAGCAAATAGCGACATCACAGGTTTGAACAGAGGCACTGGAACAGATAGTAGATGAAAAGAAAATCAACTGTAAATTTTCTTTTCAGGACAACTCTACTAGATGTTCAGATGCATATGGTTTTGAATGTAATACTGCAGATAAAATCCAATGTCATCTGCATATTACCATTTCCTGTTTATCATATGCTGCTTCAATTTCCTTATAAATTGCCAGCTGCTGCAAATACTGCAGCAAGTTTTGATTGGGTTGTATTTTAGTAAGAGAAAGAAGAGAGGAAACAAGATCGCCATCTTGCTTAACATTCCTTCAGCCAGCCCTGTACTCGAGGTTCTCTCATTTTTTATTGAAACCTATCCATTTCCAAATCTAGAAAAAACAGGTGTTAATTCAAAGATACATGTATTTTATAACACATATTCTTATTTCAATCTATAACTTGACAGATTAGTTCCTTGGACTACTGTTAAACCTCACATATGTTAGCCGTTTATATTTTATAATGTTATCTTGATATTATATATTGGTATATTTCTGTTACTTCTCATACCAATGTCATTGTTATGCACCTGTTTTTGTAGAAGAGACAAACAACCATTTCTATTAAGGCCAGAGTGCACTTAGGAATTTTTTTGCAATTTTAAAAAGTAAACCACTGAATATTCTAGTTATTCAAACATTCTGAAGAATTATCAACCCTCAATTAATAGTCTAGGTAAACTAATGCATCTTTTGTGCAAGAATGAAAGATGTAGATGATGTTTGGAAGGAGTGATGTTTATAGCACATGGTCATGAAATTTCCTCGAAGTGCATCCTGACCTTAAAACACTTAGTTTTGATCATTATTTACCATGGCGCAAACTTAAAATATTGCATACAATTCCATGTACATTTCCTACCACACATCATAAATCTTTATGTACCATTATCTGGCACCAAATACTTCCTCCTGGGGGTCATAGCCGCTATAACCTATGTACATGTTACATTGATTTTCATAAAAAGAGAAGTGTAAACTATAACTTTTGTAAGAGCCATTTGGTAAGCATTTGTAGAATAAAATGTCATTAGAGCTGATGTCCATAAAAATGTGAAAAACACTACTTATTTCATTATCATGAAAATTATAGCAATTCCTATCATAAAGATCTACCTTAATAAACAGTCCTTCAATGCATTTAAACAACAAGAAATATTTTACAATTATACATATAGTTCATAATTAAAAAATATAAAAACTTTCTTACCAGAAGTTAGATATTACATTGAATAGCTGCTAAGCATTTCACATAAACACAAAATAAAGCCTGATATGTGAATGTTATCATTGGGTTGAACCAATCCCTTGTCCTATTTTATATTCTTGTAATGTGAACGCAGCATATGTGTAAAATTGTCACCGTGGACTTATATTTATCAAAACTCAAAATTTACTTTAAATATTTACTTATCAATTTGTTTGCTACAATGTTTACCACAATCAATCATATACAGTTTAAAAGTAATTGTATCAAACTTATAATAAAGGAGCCTGACCCACAAAAGCACCTGCATTGCCCTTATAATAACTTAATTAATTGATCAAGATTAGCAATTTCACTGAATTGAAAAATAGTCATGTTGTCTGTTATAAATCAAAAATGCAGATCATTTGAATTACTATGTTTTAATTGGCTGGATTTTGACATCATGTTATGTGTGAAAGTAATTCAAAATTTGATTCCAATGATTTTTACATTGACAAACTTACTACTAGTTGGTGTTATCAAACATTGAATAATAATGATGGCTTCTATTTTTACTTATAAGAAGCCAATAGTCTAGCATTAGCAAATATTACATATTTTTTGATAGTTTTTAGAAGAATTTGAATTCTCAATATGAATTTTATTTTTTAGTACTTAGACATTTATATTTATTATGCAAAGAATTAACATTTTCTGATTGAACTTTCCTATTAAATGAGGTGTTTATCACCTGACATTCGGCGATAGAGATCAAATCTAATTTATTTCAATTTTGAAATCTTCTTTACATGTTTCCATGAACCTATTTTCTTTTGCCTCAACTCAATCTTAGCAGCTATTGCATCAGACTGTTTGCAGATGATACTACTTTAACTAGGTCAACTTGTGATGTACCATCTCTTCATACACTACTTCAAAATGATATTAACTGTATTGATGAATGGATGAAATGTAATAAGATGAATTTAAACTATAGTAAAACAAAATTAATGAAAATAGGAAATACCTCAAAGTATGGAAATGATGAAGATACCATAACAATATCAAATAATGTGATTGAAAATGTTGAAACTTATAAATATTTAGGTGTTATTGTGGACGACAAATTAGCATTCAAAGTACATATTGAAAAGCTTTGTTCAAAGATTTCTTGTAAGATAGGTATTTTAAGAAGGCTTAAACCATTTGTTTCAAAGGAAGCACTCATCACAATTTATAATACAATCATATTACCAGAATTTAATTACTGCTCAATTGTCTGGGGAGAATGTTCTAATAAAATCTATCTGACTAGACTAGAGAAACTTCAAAAGATGGCAGCACGAATTATACTGAGAGCTAATTTTGATATTTCAAGTGTCACTTTATTTCAGTCCCTAAATTGGACTCCAATTCAGGAAATGATTAGATATAGGAAATCAATTTTAATGTACCAGGCCATTTCAGGCATCTCTCCCCCATATATTCAAAAATGTTTCAAAGAGACAAAGTCCATACATAATTATGCCACTAGAGCAGTTGTGGAAAATTCACTTTATGTACCAAAACCAAAACTTGAAATATTTAAGAAAAGCATATCATACAGTGGTTCACATCTTTGGAACAAGCTTGATAAGACTGTCAAAGAGTCTGATTCTGTAAACTCTTTTAAGAAAGCATATAAACAAGTGTATCAGATCAGAAAATGAAAATCATGTAAATGCATTATTTAAAGACATTGTTCCTTATATTCATGTAATTCTCTTATAAGTTGTTCTCTATGTTTCATGTAAATGCATACTTTGAAGATGCATATATATCAAATTGTTCTATATGTCCTATATATCTATTTGTATGTTTCTATATTTATTGTACACATTGTAAATAATTGTAAATTATTACTGGGCCTCTAGGAAGACCAGTTTTTGTACTGATAGAGCTACCCAGAATAAATATAGTTTTCAAATCAAATCAAATCAAATCAAATCTTATTTCCATAATACTAATATTCACATAGGTCAAACTTTCATAGCGTATCTAGACCTACCGAAATTTGCAGTTTCTCACAGCTTTGGACTTGAATACCATTAAATGGAGAGACTCTGTATAAAAGAGTAATGTACCAACAGAAAGGCATTTTTGTTTTGATTTTAATAAAATGAGTTTGAAGAAAAACAGTGCAGTATGAGATTCACAATCCTAATTTCCAAACACCTGGTAGGTCAAAAATTCAAATTAACGGTTTTTCATGGAGTAGTAGATTTCGATACGCTATGAAAGTTGGTACCGCGTGATACTCTATTGTCTGAGTTCATACATAAATTTTTATTTGAATAGTGCTATGATGTCTCTTTATATCATTAAATTGATTGAATAGAGGTAATTTATGTGTATCATTTCTTGAAGTTCAAAGCACATGTAGGTGATAAAATCCTTCAGAGGTCCCGACTCAATTACCATTTTTCACGAACTGTGATAATGAGTCTGCATGGTCACTGATTTTTCTAAAATATTTCAAGCCAGTCAAACAAAGTATTCAATAATTAACAAAAGTTTATGACCAACAGGTTTTTCAGAAATTGTTGCTATGGCAACAATTGATTAGGTTCCTGCCGTACTTTCATAATTCCCATAAAATACTATTTTAGTTCCAATTATGGGTAAGAGAACACTCAATCTGTTGTTTCTAAGTTCAAGAAAGTTCAGGAAATGTTCACAAAAAACCAAGCAAATAACCAAGAAAAATCAAACAAACAACCGAATAAAGAAGCAAGCAACTAAATTAGCAACCAATAAAGTAGCCCAACAAGCAAGCACGAAACCAAGCAAGCAAATGAAAAGGTAGCCATGCAAGCCACTTACCTTGAGCAAGCAATCAGATAATCAATCAGGAAATCAAGCAACTAGACATTCAGATACTCAGCCAAACAGACAAGCAACAAACTAACCGGACAACCAACCAATAAACCAAATAACCAACCAATTAACAAACCAACCAACAAATACAGTAGTTAAAAACGACTGAAGATGAAAAAGAATGACAAGTAAGGTGAATGTATACTTTCGGCCATTTTGATGCAATCCTCATAGTCACATGTTACTTTTCAATCCTCCTTTCCCAAATTATTTACATTTTTCAGTTTTGCACAAAGAGTGCACTTATGTATCTCAAAGTGTCTAAAGAAGATTTTTATATAGAATGTATGAAAATGACAAAATTCAGTCAGGCCTGTTTTTTGTACTTTTGGAAACAAAGGAAAAATGTGTAATTCTCAAAACAGTTTTTTCTTTTTTTCAATTTTTAAGAACTATCTCAAAATTCTCAAGCTTGTTTGTTTTGGGGGCTTATTTTAATGATGATTTTAAGAAATTTCCAAAAATGTCTATGGAACTTTCCCATGGTATTCTTTTTCTCCTTTGTTCTGTTGTATTTTGAGGGGCTCAAATTCTCATTAGAACATGTTAAGTGTTTCTGTTTATAAATTCCATAGTAAGCTTCCTCATATAAACAATAGGTTAGAAAAACAAAATTGAGATGATGTCAAACTGAAAGACATACATTTTAATGAACAAAATATGCTAAAGAATGTGTTTTCTGTTTCGGCCATCTTGAATTTGAGAAGAATGTTCTGGAAAACTCAGTGACCTACATTTTGAAAATCAGTCACTAAATTCTAAATTGTCATACATATAGAAAATTATTAACATAATAACTAACAATGTAGGACTCTACATACATTTATGTACTCTTTGTGCAAGACTGAAAGATAAAGACGTTGTATGAAATGATATATATGTACCTGAAAATATTATGTGCTCCAATAGGAAGCCATTAAATTTCTGAACATACGGAGATACCTTAAATGTTTAGAAATTTAAATTGATAAACAGTACACATCGATACTTACAAACTGTCCGTATTTTAGGCAAACGCTGTCATAACTCACGCCAAACTCAGGTGTGAATACGATGTCATTACTGACTGTATCCCTTTGTCGATTACATCAGGATGAACAGTTGAAAGTGATCATAAAAGACGATCATAAGTCCTGGACAAAGAATGAAACACGAAACTGTCTGCCTATATCTTACCTAATTTAACAGCCTTATCAGAATAATAGCTGTGATTATAGACTGTGTGATCGTCAATATTCGGTATGTAGTCGACTTATATCAAAAGTTGTTCTATTTGCAGTGGTAATTTATCACGTTTTCTTCTTCTTTACGATATGTGAAAATGAGAAACAAAATGGCGTGCTATGGGAAAATGTGAAGTTGCATCGACCAATAGGAACAGCTCGGTGATCACGCCCTTGGCGGCATGTATACTCCATTTGACATTTACTTTTTTAGTCAAACAGGCAGGGGCCCGGAGAAACGGCTAGCAGTAGTCTAGCAACTATCCCGAATTCCAGAATATCGTCATTTGACAAACATGAACCTTGAATATGCATTTTTATTCTTTCGCATTAGAACAGTAACATAGGCCTAAAACACAATAGAATCAGGGGCGGATCCAGGAACCAACAAGGGGGGGGGCCCAAATTTCAGGTCAGAGAAAAAACGTCCGCGCTTGCGCGGAAAAAAATTTTGGGCCCCTAAAATCCAAAAGTGGGCCCAAATTTTGAAATTTTGAGGCCCATTTTCTTCAAAATTTGGCCTGAAATTAACAAATAAGGCCTTAAAAGGCCCAGTAATGACCAAAAAGGCCCACTTTTTGGGGCCTGAAGGCCTTGTTTGGCCCAAAAAATTTTTGGCCCAAAAAATTTTTTGGGCCCAATTTTTTTTTTCTGGGCCCACCCAAGGGGGGGGGCCCGGGCCCCTGGCCCCCCCCCCTAATCCGCCAGTGAGAATACAAAGTGTACGTGTACTTCAGATTCTGATTAAAGAATCGAGTCTCACAACCATTCCCCGGGAACCATTCCCAGAGGTAATGAGCATGGTACATCAACCATAGGCCAAGGGAAAAGTAATAGTAAGCTGAATATAGAAGAGACAGGTCCACAAGTAAGATTGAAAATTTTTCAAATTTTTTTAGTCTTGGCACTAGTTCTCCTTACTGGAATCAAATTGTATTCCCAAATCTCTTCAAAATCTTCTTCAAAGTGTTTTTCAAACTTATATCATTGTTTTTTTCAAATCTTTATCTAAAAACTGCATATAATACTGCATATAAAACAACAACTCTGGATATCTGCAATTGCCTGGCAAGCTGAAACTGATTGTCACTGTTGGAGGTCAGGGAGGTCAGCAGTGACCAATCAGATCACTTGTTTACTAATGAACTTGCCAGGCAATTGCAGGTTTTCAGAAATTCTCTCTTTTAGACAGCATTATTCACTCTATATCATCTGACTGAGTTTCAATCTTAGGTAAGAGCTACAAACTATCAATTTTCTATCAACTCCCCATGGCTTTTTGAAAATAATACACTAAATATTGTTGAAATCTCCATCTTAACAAGTAGTCCAAGTCAGAGTTGTTCACCTGTCTCTTCTATATATGGCTTACTATTACTTTACCCTTGGCCTATGACATCAACAGTCAATTATATATGACACCCTTCTTAGTCACACACTCTAGAGACATATAGATCTCTAATTGAACAATTTAAAAAAGTTTAATTGATACATCTCTATTTTCACCATTTTCAAGACCAGACTTACAAGCATATGAGAGCAAGACAGTTGTTCACTAAACGTCAAATGGAGTGCCTAATAATTGGCGACGTACTCCCGCCATGAGTGGGCGATAATATGATTTGAAAAACAAAATGAAAAGTAAAGACCCAAAAATTGATTTAACGAGGCAGTATAGACTTGGTAAGCAAACATTTTTTGTCATAATGTTAACAGGATCATTTCTTTGTTGTCAAGCATTCATTTGACTGGTCAGGCATCAGGTGATGTCCTAAGAATAAAGAAGATTGAGTTTCTATTCTACATCAACAATGCACGGATTGTGGGAAGTCCACTATGGGTTAGTGTTGTCGCGATTAATCGATACATCGCGATATACATCGCCAAAGCTGGTTCTGGCGATGCATCGATGTCTGAAACAAAACATCGATGTTTTTAAAAAATTTTAATTTGCTAAAAATCGCCCTTTCTTATCTTATTTTGACTCAAATTGCTTACCTTTTTTCATGTCTTATTTCATTTTCAAATGTTTTCTGATATTCTTTCGCTTTAAAACTGTTTTAGCTAGTCGAAATGAACCATCAAAAAATTACTTTACTTTCATTTCACCGTTACTATGTTCCCGGATGTACCAGCGTACTCTTATTAATTTGTTCTGTTCGATATTTTAGTGCATTAGCGTTCGGTATTTCAGTGCACTTTTCTCGAACTTTTTCTCGATGTACATCGCGATGTGCATCGTTGTTTACTACTGAAAATTGCCGATGCATCGATGTACGATTATGGCACATCGCAACAACACTACTATGGGTCAAGATTGTGGAAAATCCCATTGAAGACCATTATAACGTTTCAATTCATAATATATTCATGGGCACAGATCTAGCTTGGCGAAGCAGTGCCTACAGTCTGTTAACTGTTAAAAATAATAACAACATAACTTAACGGTAACAGTACTGTCAACCCCTAAAGATTTTCTCGCGGGACAGATTTTTTAGACCCAGTGCCCAAAATTCGCGGGATTTTGTGGGACATCTACTAAATTCGCGGGATTTTACGGGACATTTAAGGGATTTGCGTGATTGCGCTAATAGGAGGTTTTTTTTTTAATTCGCGGGATTTCGCGGGACCATTCGAGGGACAAACACCCTAATTGCGGGACAGTTAACAGGTGTACCACCAAAAACTTCATGGAGGGACAGATTTTTTAGACAAAGTGCCCTAAATTTGCGGGATTTCGCGGGACATCCACCTAAATTTGCAGGATGTCCCGGGACATTCAAGGGATTTGCGTGATTGGGACTAATGTAAAAGCGTGTAGAAGTACTTAAATCAAACTTTCAGATACTGATTAATCAAATATAATGCACCGTTACATTGTAACTTAAATAAACGTAAACACAATTTCACAAAATACGCATAGGAATATTATTAAACTTTATTGTAATTTATCAAAAACAAAAACCATGCTTCAGGTGTGATTACCGTAATCTAACACGAAATTCAAAAATTCGGAACAATACTTTGCACTTCTGGCGTCGTGACCAACTATGAAACGCTTACCCCCATAATGTTATATATTAAAATGTACCTATTCATATACTGTAGGCATGGGCTTTCAATTGAAAGCCCATGATATAGGGGTTCGATTAATCTACATCAAATTATAGGGAATGAGGTTAATTTTATAGATAGGGTTTGTATAAAAAACCTGTAAATAGCTATCGTTGCTTTAGCAGAGAGGTGACGTGTGTTAATTTGCATGATGCAACGTGTAAGATTTTGATTATTAATCGTAATTTAAGTTATCCCAATTTATGACAAAATGTCCACTGAATTGTAAATTGTTATGTCTTACAATGTCATAGGCGTAGCCAGGAGAGGGTGCGATGATGCGATCGCACCCCCCCCCCATAACCAATGAAAATATGGCCATAACGATAGAGGAAGAAAAGTGCCTTAAAATATGCTTTTTATTTGAAGCTTCTAGCTCAATTTTGAATCATGTTACATACATTTTTGCAAATTCAAAACAAATCTTACACGTTTTCTCATAATCTAATTATGTTATATATTCGTATTTTTCGTTTTTTGGGTACCTGTTTTTTTTGACCGGGTACCAAGTTTGAACCCAGCATGGAGGATTTACTACCCGGTACCCGGTTTTTTATACAAACCCTTTCTAGATATCAGCGTACATTTATTGTAACTCGCGTTTGCTAACATTTGCTCAGTTCTGAGATGAAGGCCACACGGGTAGTAAAAAGGCCAACGTTGGAACTATTTGTGACCTACATCCCTATTTTCGTAATTAAAATGAAAGTTGAACCCTTCCCCTTTATTTTGATGCTATGTACTTAAAATTAGGTAAACTTTACTCCTCAAAAGTGCAAAAACTTAGCTTCTTATATAAGATAAGATAATCAAGATATTCAAAAATTCGCGGAGGTCAAAGCCACATTTTGCGTGACTTCGCGGGACAATGCGGGACACGCAAATTAGCCTAATTTTGATCAAATTCGCGGGATAATCCCGCCATTCGCGGGACACTTGACAGCTCTGCGGTAAGACCGGCTACAGGTCAGAATGACCTAGCAGTGAATAACTATAACTATAACTTCGACATATGAGTGTTACCTGATGAATGGGACCCTCACGTGCCTTCCAAATGGTAGTACACGAACTCTAGTGTAACTACATCAGCTTATTCTTCCGTCCGATCAACAATAAGTACAGTTATACAAGAAATGTAAACGAAGTGAAAATATTCCCCAAAATTTTTCGAAGGCATGTCATTCCGGAAGTTGTGATACGTTATGGTGTCACTACGGTAAATCATTGAAAAATATTGAAAAAAATCACAAAATTCAAGTTCTGGTGTGAGGTTCCATATCCATCCGCTAAAAGGTATGACACTATAAAGTCCATTAACAAATTTGTGGTTTTGTTCTAAATAACGCCATAGTTGGCTTCTAGGGTACCTAGTATCATCGTATCAAAATAAAGAAAATAAATAAAATATTTAACATAGGGTTTGCGTCTAGATTTTAAATATCACTACGCCATCATAGGGACTAATTTTTAGGTAAAATGCCTGCTTCAACGATGAAAATTAACGAATAAAGTAGTTCCTGTTTACGGGACCATATTCTTGCCAACTTCAATGGTGTGTATAGTAGGTTTAAGTGTATGCACTATGGCCATTTGAGGTATGTATGTAAAGCTGAGGCCAAGTACTTTCTAAATGTGCCATTTTTAGAAAAAAATCTCAAGAATATTCGTTAATTTTCATCGTTGAAGCAGGGATTTTACATAAAAATGAGTCCCTATGTTGGCGTAGTGATATTTAAAAATCGAGACGCAAACCTTATGTTAAATATAGCGTCAAGATGAAGGTTATGTATAGGATATTGCAAAAATATAGTCATTGTATGGGCTAATTCGTTCAAAAATGGAAATATGTACCCCAGAAGGTGTGAGTATTGTAATCCAACACCAAATTCGAAAATTCAGAACAATACTTTGCACATATGGCGTTTGTGATCAACTATAAAACGCTTACCCCCCCCATAGTGTTATATATCAAAATGTACCTGTTCATATAGGGGTTCGATTGATCTACATCAAATTATAGG